ACGTGCGATAAAACGCTCGATTATAACTCCTCCCTGGTGGCGACGCCTCCTAATGGGAGCGCTGATGGTGAGAGGAAGAGCGAGTGAAATTAGAGGAACGTGGATTTATAAAAGAGAGGAGGGGGATGTTGGTATTTATGAGTTTAATTTTAATGTAAGAAAAAAAAAAACAGGACATCAGGAAACAGACAAAACACTTCCTGTCTGTTTCTGGGCCTGAACCGCACTCAGATGATCCTGGTTCTGGTTTCGGCCGGGTGTTTCCTGGTACGTGTGGGTACCTTCTGCATGCCTTTCTTCACACATTAAAGTCGACGTCCAGCACCAACATTTTTCTGTGATGACGTCTGCGAGCCTCGAACCCCGACGTCTCTCTTTTTTTGTGATTCTCTGGAAAATTCCCAGATCGCCGCAGAGCCGGCGTAGAAAACATGGAGGCTGTAACCGAAGCTCCGGCTGTTTCGGTCCTAATCCCCAGTGCCTCTCCCTGCACTGCCTCCCCATCAAAGGGGCGCTGATTACTGGGAACTCTACTGGGAACAGGACTCTGAGATGGGAAGTGGGTTCGGACACGCCTCTAGAAAACAGGACTGTTTGCAGTGATGTGGAGCTGGATAAAAAACCGCTGCAGGAGTTTTTCTGAAACCTGCAGACATGAGGAGATATTGACAAATACTCGACTCTGATTGGTCAAAACTCCTGATCATAAAGACCAGATCAGATCAGACCCTTGGTAGGAGTCCGGCAGATCTCCTCAGTGCCTGTCGACAAAAGAGATCAGTTTCAGATGTGGACCTCAACTCAGTGAGAGCTGAAATATAAAGATGAATATTCCTGTTTGAACTGGACCACAGAGTCTAACTCTGATAGATCCAGTATGGATCACTTGGATCAATAAAGTCTGGTCCTGATTTCGGCTGTGATGTGATTTTGAGAAATCAATGCCAGAGACATCACGCTGAATCAACAGCGTTTACTAAAGTGTATCTGGGGGTCAAGAGTTAAACTAGATTTTTAATCAATGTAAGTAATAGATTATTCTTTTTTTGCCTTTAGTTAAATCAAAACACTAAAAAATAAACAGAAGAAAAAAAGTCCAAAAAACAGAAAAAAAATTAGTTTAAAAAACAAAAGAAAAAAAATTATTCTGAAAAACAAAAAAGAAAAAAATATTTAAAAAAAAATAAAAAAAAAACAGTCAGAAAAATAGAAAAGAAAAAAATTAGTCAGAAAAACAAAAGAAATAAAAGATAGTTCAAAAAACAAAGAAAATTAGTCCAAAAAAAAGGTTCGAAAAACATAAAAAAATAGTCAGAAAACAGAAAAGATAAAAAGTAGTCAGAAAAACAGAAAAAAAATTCAGAAAAACAAAAAAGAAAAAAAAGTCTGAAAACCAGAAAAAAAATTATTCCGAAAAACAGGAAAAAAAATTGTCTAAAAAACAGAGAAAAAAAATTGTATAAAACCAAAAAGGGAAAAATTAGTCTGAAAGAAATAAAATACTCCAAAAAAAGACAAAAAAAATAGTTTGAATAACAGAAAAGAAAAAAAACAGTCAGAAAAACAAAAGAAAAAGACCTGAAAAAAGTGAATGCATTAGTAAAGGCATTTAGCTTCCATAAAAAAAGAGGGAAGACCTATGGAGGCTAAACCCTGCAAACACTTCTGACCGTCTCCTGCAGCAGCAGCGGCTCTTAAACTGATGAAGTTTAATTTGTGTTTATAAACCGAGCTTTCATTTGTACGAGCTCGAATGTGCGATGTGCTCTCAATATTTACACAGTCCAAATTAGCTCTGAGCGGCGTGCTCTCCGTGTAAATAAACTCTGTATCTTGTTTAAGTGGCAGCTAACACAACTGTTTATACAGGGCCGGCTTTTTCACATGTCAGGGAACCACAAAACAGAGCCGAGGCTGTTTGAAGGAAGTGAAAGGTATTCAAAACACAGAAACACGGCGAGCAGGAGAAACGCCGTCTGAGTCAGAGGAGGCAGAGACGGCAGGAAGAGAAGCATCCTCAGACCCACTGTGTGTGTGTGTGTGTGTGTGTGTGTGTGTGTGTGTGTGTGTGTGTGTGCGCCTGAAATAGATGAGGGAGTGTATCCGCACATTCTCTCCTCGTGTTTTTAATCTTCCTGTCCATTTGTCCATCATGTAGCGCTGCGGCACTTCCTGTCTGTGTCGCCACGGCGATGGCCGCAGAGCCAATAAAAAGTCAAACAGGAAACGGAGCAGAGACCCTCTGATTGTTCCCGAGGTGTCTGGACCAGGAGTCCCCGTTTGTACATCCGCCGTGCTTTTTCCCTTTTAATAACACACACACACACACACACACACACACACACACACACACACACACACACACACACACACACAGAAACACACACACAGAAACACGCAGAGGTAAACAGCGGCTCAGAGGAGATAAACAGAGAAGAAAGGAGCCTGAACCTGTGATTATGCAGAAATGAGGCGGATAAAAGTCTTCACAAATATCTGTGTGTGTTGTGTGCACAAACATATAAACACACATTTAGTCTCAGCAGGATGGAGAGGAGAGTGGAAGTGAGAGGAGGTGAGAACAGACGACACAGGAAGGATAATAACAGAAACATCCCAGATCTCTGACTGTCAGGCAGGTTCAGGGGTTTTCTGCACTAAAGCTCCACTGAGTGACTTTTTTAAATCTGTATTTAACTCTTTAACATGATTGTAAGTTCGGTGGTCTTGTAGCCCAGACGGGGTGGGATGTGCAGACAGGAGCCACCTGGTGAAAGGCCGAGGCCTGGACTGTAACCCTGGAAGGAAGTGGAGGTCCTAAAGACCGTCAGGATGTCTGAAAAGGTGCAGAGCGAATCTGTCTAGACTTACATAAGAGGCCAGCTGTTCGTCATGAGCAGAATCTAGTGTGTTCATTCTAGTTTGTGCGGTTCTACGTAATTCTGCTCTGTTCTACCTGGTTTGACCAAAATGATCGAATTCACTCTTTTTCTTATGATGATGATAAAAACTAAACCGTAAAGTCAGAGTTGAGGTCATGGAGGTTTTGAGGAGCTGCACTCACACACAGGCGTGTTTCAGGACACTGATGTCAGTCCTGTGGTCATCAGATAACTGCTGATTGGCTCTCTAGGATCACATTAGAGCAGATAGCATCCCCACTTTGGCTCTCCACTCAGTTTTCCCACTTAGAGTCCATTTCCTCTGGGAGACGCAGGGATGAACCAGGAGCAGAAACCAGGACACTCAAACATGGAGGCAGACCTGCGGCTCTAATGTAACCCTTCATGAGACATGAGGAAATACTCTCCAGGTTACAGACTCTGAATACTGAACATTAGAAATATACAGTCTTACCCTGAATCTCCTCCTTCATCCAGTCGTCGTATCCACCAATCGTAGCTGATCGTAACCATTCAAGTTAACGTGTCAATTTACACCAACTTCTTTCCGTTCCTCTGCGGATCGCCGGACTCCTCAGCTGATCACAAGAGTTCTATTTTTTCTGGACGCCGGAGCATGGCGGATAAATTCAGCACAGATTAACCCGTGCTGGAAAGGAAGTCGGGCACAGACACATCCGGCTTCTTTTCAAAATAAAACACTCGGAGACGAACAAGTGAAAGGTTTTTAGACGTCATTTCACCCCGATGACACCATGGATGAGGAGATGCTGATTCTAGAAGTCTAGAAGTAGATTTCCTCCTCTGGAAGGACACAATCTACTGCTTATATGTCTATGTGATGTGTGTTCAGGTCGTCTGCAGCATCCAGAGTTCAGCAGCAGAGTAATAATGAGATTTAAAGCTCCAGTAAAACCATAAGAGCAGAGATGAAGATCTTACAAACAGAATCTCTGCAGCTGATCTTTGTTCATCTTGAGAAACCAAATTACTCTTTAACCGTTGAACCTTTCTCCAGCTGGCCGTGTCGTGGTCACGTGACCGCTCTGAGACTCTGATTGCGTCAAACCCTCTCTGTCTCTCTGTCAGTCTGTTGTCGCTCTCATTGTGTGTTTCACATGACCTGCAGCGACACGGCGTTAGCGTGTTCCAGTTTTGACTCTCGACTTCGCCAAACCCCGCTCTGCAGTTTGTGCACGCGTCACAAACATGCATTCACTTGTGTGTTTGTGTGCAGAATACACCCACAGACGCACACACACGCTCGCTAAACAAGAGCAATTATGTATTTCCACACTTTCACACAATCCTGTTTTGACTTACACACACCTTCTCACACACACACACACACACACACACACCCATACACTGAAGTGCGTTCTGGCCTCTGCTGCCTGATTATATAATAAGTGAGTTTATAGATTGGAGAGCATCATAAAAAGTGTGAAAGCTTCGTGCCAGACCTCAGACGGAGTCGAACCCGCTCACTGCGCCTTAATTGAAAGTCTCTCGGCTCGCTCGCTCTGGGAATCAGCTGGGAGGGAGGCGGCTCCGGGGTGTTGCTGGCGCTGCGTGCAGAAGCTTGTGCAAAAAAAGAGAGAGAGCGAGAGAGAGCGAGAGAGCCGCCGATTAGAGACAAAAGAGCGGAGGTTTTATTTGGTTTCGATTCACACGTTTCCCGTCACTCTCCCACGATACGAAGATGAGAAAAGGTCGCCGCATGTGAGGTGGAGGAGCGAGGTTGGAGTCTGATCTGCTGACTCACTCTCTGGTGTATAAAACCAGTAAACTGATGCAGTCAGTTCTCCCTCTGTGATCTCACGGCGAGAAAACGGCGTGTAAATAAAGCAGGAATGATAAACGCTGACTTGTAAACACGCAGGTCTCGACCCGGGCATCGATTCTAGGAGCGCGTTCTGGCGTTATCCGTGGAAGAAATAATAAATGAGAGGAGTTTTCTAATTTGGCCGGGACTCTGTCCGGGGTCAGAGGGCGTCACCTCTGCGCCTTTGAGCTCTGTCTCAGGGGTCAGCGAGGTGAGGGCGCCGCCGCAGGCGAGGACACACAAATGCAAACATTCATATACGAACACACTGAGGTCAGCGCAGGGGTTGTGGGTTTGAATCCCTGCTTTTCAGAGACGAGGTCCAGGGTCAGTCAAATTTCACACTGTACTGGGACTGTAGCGGGACTGTAGCAGACTGTAGCGGGACCCCGTCCTGTAGGTGGTAAGGTCAGACCTCATATCTCTGAAAGAAAGACGCGCTTCAAAGATTTCCATCACAAACTCCACGCTCGACGCTTTTTCATAACCCTCCACGCTCACTGTCAGTCCCACCCGGGCGAGCAGACCCCCTGGGCCCTCTGACCCCATGAACTGTGCGTGTACAGAGCTGAGGCGGAACTAAACGGGTGGCTCCGGCGGCGTCATGAGAAGAGCTCGCCGTCATCCATGCAGAATGCGTGTCAGGGGGATTGGGTAACTCTGCCAAGGGAAGAAAAGGCGGTCGGCACACACTGCACACATTGTTGAAACAGAAGACATCTCACTTACACAAGACAAGTGCGTAGTGTGTGTGTGTGCAGGCGGGGGGGGCGAGTGTGATGGCGTCCGCGAGGAGTATCTGCAGATTTGAACGCGTGCGTGCGTCTCTGTTCGTGTTTGTGGATTAAAGCGAAAACGACTATTTATATGAACGTGTGTGTGTGTGTGTGTGTGTATATACATACCCCTTTGTGTGTCAGCATGTGGTTCTGCCTCTGGTCATAACCCCCCCTACACACACACACACACACACAAACACACACAAAACCTAAACATATTTAACTGAAGCAAATGACCCCTCATTACTCAGCACGCTACAATCAAGGTGAAAGGGCACCGTGTGTGTGTGTGTGTGTGTGTGTGTGTGTGTGTGTGTGTGTGTGTGTGTGTGTGTGTGTGTGTGTGTGTGTTTACCTGTCGCTCTTATCTGAGGTCAAAGTCGCGCCCCGCTCCCGGAGGATCATGTCGAGTCCACCTGAAGGTCAGATCCGCGTAGATCCTGATCTGGTCTTACCTGCTCTGACTGACGCTGACAAATCAGGGAAACAGAAATTAGTCAAACACGCCGTGATGAAGTACACAGACACGCCAAAACCAGCCCGGTTCTGAGTGATGATTCAGGAAAAGGTTCTGGTTTGGTGACTGCGGCTGATCTTGATGGATGGTTTCATCGCTCCTTGATTCCAGTCTGGACCTGGAGTTTGGATCGACTGTTCCTGCTCAGCGGAGGCGCCTCGTCCTCCATCACTGACATCTCTGCTGCTGGATCCTCACGCCTCAGAGATTTACCACATGACCACGACCGTCTTCAGCTTTGATCGGGCCTCCTGCACACGCTCAGTTCACAGGGTCAGACGACTAAAGATTTAAAAACAGGCCAGAAAGAAAAACAGATCATGAGGAGTTTGTTCATCGTCTCTTTTTGAAGCTAGAAGAGGCTAAAGCTCTTGGTTGTTGGATTATGTTTACACTAGATTCTCACTTCAGTAGATTTCATTTTGTCTGTGCATGATTACTGAGCATGTTAAAGAGATATTCTGGCGTAAAATTTACACCGAGTTAGACCCCCCCTACTGTAGTAAAATGAAAAGTTAAAGGTGTTTTTATTGAGCCGAATTATCAATAAAATCATGATTTTGTTAACAGGTATGGATTTATGTGCTGTCGAGTTAATATATTTGAACAAGAGCACAGTGAAGTTAAATCAGATAATTTTCCAATGAGGTTCTGTTACTGAACGGAACTACACCATGTTCTACTGAGGTTAGTACATATAGGGTCACAGCCATAGTACTAGACACCAAACATCTTTTTAACTTTGACTCATTTCTTTAGCAAAGAGACTAAACACAACTCACCTACTCTCTTCCAGTCCATTAAGGACTACTGTGGGGTGACGCAGCTCAAGGAAGAACATTTATGATCATTTCTTTATCATTTCCTTGAAGTAATAATCACCATATTAATCATTTTACAGACGCGGTAGTTCTTCTGTCTTAGCGTCTCGGTCTGATTGTATTTCCATGAAGAAATGATCATAAATGTTCTTCCTTGAGCTGCGGCACCCCGCTGTAGTCCGTAATGGACTGGCCTGAGGTCTCTCTACAAACAAGCGTCTGCTGGAAGAGAGTAGGTGAGTTGGACTCCTGTGCAAGATGGTGGCTGAGGCGGATAAAGAACTATTTCATTAACCCAAAAAAGTGATTTTCTCACCTTAAAACTGGACTTTGCTCTTACAGAACAGTTGCTGCTTATTGACCCTGTCGCCTTTTGGTTGGTTGAATGAATTTTACGCCGGAATATCCCTTTAACAAACTGACTGATGTTCTCGATCCGCTCTGGACACTCAGACAGAAACGACCACAAACAGAGACCAGAACCCCTCAGTCACGAAGTCTGTTCCCTTTCATACGCTCATTTTAGGACCCCCCCCATCTTTATCCTCATCATCATCATCATCATCATCATCATCATCATCAGCTCCACCACCCCTGGTCGTATCCGTTTCCTCTGTACCTCTCAGCGCGAACAGACAGCGCTCCTCCACATACAGTCAGACCCATTATGAGTTTCCTGAGTCACATTCCAACCAAACGACCACGGCGACTGACGCCCGACGCAGGGCCATGCTTTCCCATCCTCACGCTGATCCCCGTCCACGCTCCTAACCATACCCATACTCTGAAAACATCCGGGGCCCGATCATATACCCCCGCCAAACGCCGCCTGGCGACTCCTGGCGTCTCTCGACCAGCTGGCTCACATAATCAGGAGCTTTGAGGAGACACCCGGGAACCCGGCGTTTCCTTGGATATCATTCCCTGTTTCTCGCCAGTGTTGCTGTCAGCGTGAGTAAAGGGGGCTCAGGTTCGGCCGCGCCGACGGTAATGGGATGGACAGATGTTTAGATGTGAGGGACCGGGCCCCCTCTGGGACCCCTACAGCGGTCCGGGCTGACAGAAAGCAATCAGCTTGATGTGGAGAAACAGAATACAGTAGAGAGAGAGAGAGAGAGAGAGACACAGAGAGAGAGAGAGAGAGAGAGAGAGAGGGAACATGAGCCGGGAGAGAGATAACGGGATAAGAGAGGAAATGAGAGGAAGACGAGAGAAAAAGAGCTGAGCAAGAAAGAGAGGAGAGAGAGAGAGTTTGTAAAAGAGTCGAACGAAACGACGAAGGAAATCTTAGAGAGCCAACGAGGTGAGGCGGCGGCGGCGGCGGCGGTGTGGGGGGGTAAAAGTGAGTCATGTTGGCAGGAGCGGGGGGGAAACAGCTGAGAGGTTTTTGAGGTGCGTCTTTGGCTCTGATCAGGTTTTTATTTTGGCTGCAGAAAGGTGATACTCTCTCTCTTTCTCTCTCCCTCTCTCTCTCTCTCTCTCTCTCTCTCTCTCTCTCTCTCTCTCTCTCTCTCTCTCTCTCTCTCTCTCTCTCTCTCTCTCTCTCTCTCTCTCTCTCTCTCTCTCTCTCTCTCTCTCCCCCCCTCTCACGTTTGCCAAGTTTTTTTTTTGTGTCCTGGGAGGTGATGTGAGTGTTTCCACATGTGGTCGGCCGGTGCTACTAGTTTGGCTTGTAACTCTGACTCGACACAAAGCCTCCTTATAGAGCGAGAAGAGCAAACAGGAAAAAGGCCGCCGTGACCTCACAGCGCCGCCTCAGCTTCAACACTCAGCTAAAAAAGAGGGCGCTGTGAGGAGAGCGGGGACGCCGCGACCATTTACAGATAGTAGGGTTTGATTTAGAGACGAGTCGGTTATTTTTGGTTTGTTGTGTTTTTAATTTCTTTACCTTTAAGACGATTAAAGCTTCAATCAGGAGTTTTTAAAAACAGACTCAGATGAATCCTGATGTTTCTGCAGCCAAAACAGACCAACAGGGAAAAGAAGAAACGAACTTAACCCCCAATTTCCACCGCATCCAGAACATCTACTAAAAGGTCGTATCCTCCGATCGTAGCTGATCGTAACCATTCAAGTTAACGTGTCAATTTACACCGACTTCTTTACGTCTTTCCGAGTTCTATTTTTCCAGACGCCGGAGCATGGCGGATAAATTCAGCACAGATTAACCCGTGCTGGACAGACAAGCGGGAGCTCTAGACTGTATCTAGAATAGACGCCGTCTGCCTCCTCGCTGCAAGAACAGCGCCCTCTGGTGACGGGCTGCAGTATAGATCATAAACCCCGCCTCCTTATGGAGCTGTGGACAAACTTTCTAAATGAATGACACAGAATATAAATGTTTCTCCCCCCTGGTTGTGATGTTGACATGTAGTTACTGTCAGACTGGTTTGTGCTCAAGTCCTCTTTTTTCTGTTATTAGGGGGTTCATGTTTTCGATGATTGACACCTGATACAGCCTATGGGAGGACAGAGATTGCATATCTCACCCGGGGGGAAACGCTGTTCTCTGCATTTTATTTCTGAAAATATCGGCGAAAATCAGCGAATTTTGGCCGATTACCGATTAGTCTCAAACAGGCTAAAATTCGCCGATTTAATTGGCTCGCCGATAAATCAGTCAGGCCCCAGAAAATACAGTCTGTGGTGGGAGAAAATAAAAAACTAAATAACTGAAAATGTTGTATGTAACAGGAGGAGGAGGAGGAGGAGGAGGAGGTGATGAAAGAGAATGAGAGGATAACACTCTCACACACACACACACACTCACACACACACACACACACACACATTTTCAGTGTCGTCCGTTAGTGCCTGCCACCGTCACAGTGGGGGGGCCGTGGCCTCTGCATAGCCTGAGAATGCTAAAGGCTAATCCTACAGGAATGCTAAAGGAATGTGAAAGTTGAGTCAGGGATCGAACAAGAGAGGGGGAGGAGGGGGAGGGAGAGAGAGAGAGAGAGAAAAGGATTGCATTCAGGATTAAATGAAAGAGAGAGAAAAAAGGGGGAGGAGTGGAGGGGGGTTCAGAGAGAGTGAAAGAAAAGAAAAGAGGAGTTAAAGAAAAGAGACAAAGGAGGAGAAAAGAGGAGAAGAGAGGAGAAGCAGGAGTGTCTTAGTCTGAAGAGAAATGCAGGGATGCTTTCTTTCTTTCTTTCTTTCTTTCTTTCTTTCTTTCTTTTCTTCTTCCACTTCCCTGAGCCGCCGTCGTCATGGAAACGGGCCAAAAACCCGTTGAATTGTTTGAACAGACGGCTCCTGTTCTGCAGGTACGCAGAGATCCTCCTGATAGGTTCTCCTTCCTCCTCTGGAGGAGGAGGAGGAGGAGTGTGAGAGCTTGTCTCGTCACGAAACAAATGAACTTTGTGCACGCTTTCGTAACAATGGCGGTTAGGCGTCCACCGCCGCTGCCGCAGCTTAGCTGTCAGGATGAGTCTCTGCCTGTCCTCCTTTCCTGGTTCTGGTCTTCCACCTCTGGAGTGTGACGTCTCCACGCTGGCGCCGAACGCCACCCTCTCACGTTGTGGTTCGTTCACTTTTGAGTCCAGCTCGATTACAGCTGAAACGTGCTGCAGGTGAGACTTCCCTGAGACAGGTTTGGCCCTGATCCACCTCAGAGGGAAGTCTCTGTTACCACGGTAACACCAGGACTTCCTCAAGAGTTTAATATTAACCCAGAGAATCAAAGACCTGGACCCGATCCTCGATCAGGTCTCTGAGCAGGCCGTGAGAGATCCCCGAACAAGAAACCTTCAGTTACCTGAAAAGCAGGTGTGTCGACCTGTGTTTACCTTAGAGGCTGTGTGTGTGTGTGTGTGTGTGTGTGTGTGTGTGTGTGTGTGTGTGTGTGTGTGTGTGTGTGTGTGTGTGTGTGTTTTCATTGTCAGTTAGTTCTTGAGCAACAGTAATTACAGTTACAGTTACAGTTACGGTTACAGTTAAACTTGCTGACAAAACACAGCGCACACACACACACACACACACACACAGTACTATAGAACAGCAGCTGCTTTATTATCTTTACATGTGTGTGTGTGTGTGGGTAGATGTTTGTGTACATTGATGTAAATGTGTGTGTGGGTGGATGTGGGCGTTTGAGTCTTTTTTCTGCTCAGTGAATAAACTGAAATCTCGTCTGTTTGGATGAAAATATAAAAGTAATAATAAATTTTATTTTGAAAGGACACAGACCTAAATATCAATGTTTGATATTAAATATATGATTATAAGAATAATATAGATTTATTAAATATAAATATTTACATCTGAAGACGTTAATATCAGAGTCTCTGTCGGCTCTCTGACTCTTTCATAACTTTTTTAATCCACTGGAGATAAATTTGATTTTTCATTCGACTTGAAAGTTTTTAATGGAAAATTTTCTAAAGTTTCAGTAAAATAAAAACACAATAAAGTTTCATCAACGACGTCCAAACAAATGATTTCAATCAGACATGACTTGAGCTGACCCAGCTCCATCACCTTAGACTCAGCGGTGGAGTCGGTCATTCTCCAGTCAGAAGGTTGGAGGTTCGATCCCTGGATAAGACAGTCGACCCCACCTGCCCCTGCTGGCTGCCCCCAGTATTACTATGTGAGTGAAAACAGTCCAAACTGATATATATACAGCAGTGTCTGCCATCAGTGAGTGAACGGATGAATGTGAGATGATGTAAAAACATTCATTAAACACTGTCTATTTACTATTTACTCATGATCAAATATCACATTAGTGCACAATCAACAATTACGGGTCATTTACGGCGCCGCGATCTAAGAGGTCAAAATTAGTCCTAGAATAAAACCTTCAACCTCTTAGAGACAGAGTGAAAAGTCCTTTATAGTTTATTGTTAATAAGCAGTGAGAGAAATTACCAAAGTCAGAAACAAAGATCAGCCGAGTCATGATACGGTGAAGGTCGGACTCTTCTGCTCCAAAGACTGGTGGACCTTCAGGATTTGGACTCAAGGTCAGATGATGATAAGAGATGGAGAAGGTGTTTGCTGAAATATAAAAGTGATGTTTTGGACCAACTTTAACATCCTCTGAAAAACTCTTGATGAAATGAGAAGAAAGTCTCTCATTAACGTCATTAACAGAACTAAAGCCCGGTTCAAATAAGAATGAGAATAATCCGGTTAGAAACTGGACCGGGGCGGTTCTGGGGCCGAAAGTGATCATCTGTTAGAGAAAAAAGGCCCCCCTGCATGCGTAGCTGTGCAGCTGCTGTCTGCTGGTATGTTTGGACGTGTGTGTGTGTGTGTGTGTGTGTGTGTGTGTGTGTGTGTGTGTGTGTGTGTGTATGTGTATGATGAGTGTGTCTGCTGGCTGTCAGGAAGTGCTCTCATCATTAGGCCGGCTGGCTCGGTGTGTCTCTGTGGTCACCGGATTATTCCCCCCAGAGAGAAACTCCCTCACTCATTCAAGGACGGACATCAGACTTAAAAACAATACCGCTGAGAGAGAGAGAGAGAGACACACAGAGAGAGAGAGGGAGACACAGAGAGAGAGAGAGAGAGAGAGAGACACACAGAGAGAGAGAGAGAGAGCGAGAGAGGCGCAGTGATAAATGGGTTTAGATGTTTGAAGGCGGCGGGACTGAGAGGGAGAGGAAGAGTGTCGATGGAAACTGAGCGGTGATGAGAGATTTGAAGAGGGAGGGATCAGAGACAATAGGACAGAGTGGGACACACACACACACTCACACACACACACACACACACACACACACAGAGTCATGCAGTTGGAGGAAGTCCCCTAATAAAAGGTTTCCTGTCTCGCTGAGCATCTCTGGTCTCTGACGGCTTTTCACCGAGGTCTGCTTGACACCAATTAAACCAGATCTGGAACTAAAGTCCCCCCCCCGAGGACACAGACAGACAGACAGACAGACAGTGAGAGGACTTCCTATGTAAGGATACAATAACAGACACACACACACACAGGCTGCTCATAGGTGACATGTGTATAGAGGTCTCATAGATCTGTGTAAATCAGTGTATCGTCTGCGTACGGGTTATCAGCGCTGAATTTGGAGGTAAAGTTCATCTGTAAATGATCGAGCGTTTCTGTAAATGTCACGGCTGAATACCATCGTGTTTTTTTTTACCGTGTTCCTTTAAAGATGTTCGTGTCGTACTGATGGGAACGACGGCTCACAGTTGTTTCCCTTTAACGCCTGAAACTTTAAATTAAGGACTGAAAATTCACATTTTTTATTAGAGCTGAAATTTTTATTTCAGTTACGACTGAAAACCATAAAATCAAAATGTCCTTAAAATTTAACAAATATATTTATTTCACTGGTTTGATTCTTTGGATGTTTTTGGAAACTGATAAACTACAAGAGGACATTTTGATCATTTATCCGACTGTATTCAGGTGTTTTTTTTAGTCATTTATTGATCATATTGATTTGATAGAAGTGAATAAAAGTATGAATCAAATAAAATATAAAAGGGTTAAAGACAACGTCAGTTTGAAGGAAACTAAATTTCACCTGAACTCACAACAAAAAAGATTTTAGCAGCAAATCCAAACTTTAACAAAGTTCATCCAGATCAGACTGTGGACCAGTTTAAACAAACAGCTGATTTTAAATAACAGGTTTTTATTGATCGTGGTCGTCTATTAACCCGATCAGTCTCTGTCTAACAGGACTGTGAGAGACCAGGTTCAGGGAAAAGTCCTCCATCTGTGAGGTCCTGGAGATCCTGAAGGATCCAGGATGACGCGGCTCAGGATAAAGGACTGGGGTGGCAGATTACAGAAAGGGGGTCGGTTTGGTGGAGGTGGGGGTCTACGCGGATTGGAAATTGGGCTAAAGTCCCGGCACAGCATGCCACGCTCCAGGCTTGATCCAGACCCGCTTCAAAGAGTCCTGAGATCCTTCAGAGCCGCTCAGACAAATTATAGTAATAAACAACCAGCCGCCCCCCCGATCCCACCGCCTCACCTCCCAGGGGGAAAACAAACGGCCCGGGATCCCGTTGCCCCGGCGACTGAACCCTGACCAGCCCGCCCAGCCTCTGACCGTCTGTTTCCAAGTTTGTTTGTTTGTTTGTTTGTTTACTCAGAGACAGCAGAGACCGCGGCGGCGGTGGCGGCGAGGAGGTTATCTTCACAGAGCTGGAGAAAATAAAGCCTCCAATTACATGTGATTGAGTTCATCCTGGGGTATTATGGACCCGACTGTGGCTCTGATCTGGGGAGATAAGCCGGACTGTGAGTGGTCCGTAATGAGGGAGCGGCCTACGGGAAAGATGGGCGTGTTTTCTTCACTCGTCTCCTTACAGTAAGAGACTCGTCATTTCCTGGTTTTAAAGACAGAAGGTCAACGACGATCAGATCGAGAAAATCAGAGAACGATGTTTCCAACAAATCTAGATTCACTAAGAAAGTAGAGTTGGGCGGTGTCCAAATTTCACCGCGGTATACAGTGTTACAGTGAATAATTAAAATTATGACTGAAGGTTCAGACAGCGTCACCAAACTGTTGGCTTGTACCGACACCGTTCAGAACCTAAACACTAAAAACTAATAATTAAATAACAACATAATGTGAACAATATGAACAATATTTATTAGAAACAGCTTAAAAGGTGCAAAACAGTTGATAAATTAAATGAACAGAACCATCCAGAACCGATTTAGCCCAGAATTGTGTGGACAGAGACCGTTTCCTTCGTCAAGTTTTTGTCTCTGCATCACTGCAGGTTTTCAAACAGACACGGTCCCTTTTTTACTTCGTAGTTTTTCCGAAGACCCCCATTACTGTCAGCTGTGTATGAGTGGCGTTGGATTTAGTTGTTGTTGGACCTGGTCGGTATCGGCGGGAGGCGTTGAAACTGTTGCACTGAGTGAACTCGGGGACAAATGCATCCAAAGTGGGTGGTTGATTCAGAGATGCGTTTCCATCTCTTGTGGTCACCTTTATATTATTACTGTTTACTAATATTTATCAATAAATTTTAAAAAAAAATTAATTTTCTCGCTCTGTCTTCCTCCACTCTCCTTTTCTCCCTCGTCTTCTGTCAAAGTTGCGGTTTTGTTGGTACCGTTCCAGATTACCGTAATATATACCATAGATCATATATTGACAGAAGCTCAGATACTCAGCTGTCTGTCGGTGTTGGATTTTTCCAGATTGAGCAAACTTTCAAAGAGTTACGGTATTGAGAAGCTGTCAATACTTCCTGTGTTTTGCAATGACTGCCTACCGTAGTGAATCTAATATAGGTGCATTCCCACAACTCTCAGCTTTGACGGAGTTACGGTAATTACACTCCAGGAATATAACACAGCGCTGATGCTATGACGGTATTGAAACTGAAACCATTGCTTTTGAAAGACATCGCCAGTTTACCTTCAGATCTTCTCACCGCCCAACCCTATAAGAAAGGCCCCCACCACCAGGAGGAGGGACCTGCAGGAGACCCTCTAACGGGTCGGCAGTAAAAGCAGAGAATGTATGAACAGGGGCAGAAATGTACCACTCAGATACTTCACCTCCCGTCCCAGACCGCGGGCGCTCTGAAGGTGTGGAATTTGACGGGGCGATAACTCTCAGCTCGCCACTGTAGCTCTCATGGAGCTGCTAACTGAAGAACCTGAGGAGGCCCCGCCCAGAAAGTGGGCGATCAATCAGGACTCCCTTCTTTAATCTGCTGTGGTTCAGAGGAAAGACAGATAAACACTCTCTGGTACTTTTCCTCCAAGGTCAATCCCTGAGTGACACCAAAGCTCTGAGATCCACCAGCACCGAGGTCGGAGAGAGAGAGAGAGAGAGAGAGAGAGAGAGAGAGAGAGAGACACAGAGAGAGAGAGAGAGAGACGCTCGGACGGTCGAGGAGATAGATGCAGGACCAGAACATAAATGTTCAGGAGCCCAGAGGGGACTGGACTTCCCAGAGCCAGCAGATCAATCATGCTTATATCAGACCGTCATGGGAGGAATGTCAACAGCGCTGACCTCTGACCCCACGTGTAAAGGCATTACAGTGGAGCGCTGACCCCCTGATTCTCCTCACGGCGACCTCCAGGCAGCCTCGCTCTAATGGAGATTTTATGGGCGGTGTTCCACTTTATAGAGACCCCGGGTCTGACTGAGCGGCTCTGGGAACCAGATGTGATGGAGGGACGAAAGCGAGCCAATTAGCTCAGACGCTCTTCTCAGGTACCGGTGACAGAACGACGATTAAACTCCCCCTAAAGGTCAAAGGAGGGAACTGCAGTTGGCCTCCGTGAAAAAGGAGCAGATCACAGTTAAAATAAAATAAACAGAAACGCTCACATTAGACAGACTTCAGTAACAGGACAATAATCTCATTAATGCTCGGTGCTGTTATACTGTGGCAGGTCCAGTTTAGTCACCTAATCCTGCCAGAACCAGAACCAGACTTTACTTAAGTCCAGGTCAGAAACACAGACGAAAAATTGCGGCGATGACGACTTCAGCGAGCGGACGCTTTAACTAAATCAGTTTAATATCTGAAGTCCAAACGTCTCGACCTGTAGGAGGTTTCTGTCCTCGCTCAGCTGAAAGTCTGGATGTTACACAACTTCAGCTGTTTGGTCGAGGTCTCAGTGTTTACGTCCAGAGCTTAGATAATGTGGGAGGAGTTTAGAGGAGATGGCGGTGGGTCGGTTAAATGAGTAAAAGGAAAGAAAGGACTGACAGGAACTGAGCTCAGATTTTAGGTCTATCACGTCCTTAAAGTCGACTCAGAGAAGAAAAAGTGAGAGAGGGATAAAAATTTAACAGTGAAAGGAACGATGGAGCAAAAAGAGAGAGAGAGAGATAAAAGAGGGGCAGAGAAAAAGAGAGGAGGGATCAAGTGTCAGGTCCACTGTGGTCCATTTTCGCCCAGAGACAGCTGCAGTCACAACTGACAAATCCAGAGGGGCCCCTGCTTCTACAGGCCCCGGGAAAGCACCGGGAATTATCCAGCGTCTCAGCTCGGCTCCTTGGGGAACCTCGCTCGCTCTCTCTCTCTCTCTCTCTCTGTAGTTAGCAGGGAGGAGGAGGAGGAGGAGGTGAAGAAGGTCAGAGTCAGTTCTACCTCCAGTGATACCTTCATTCATGCGCCTCGCTCTTTACCTCACGACCTTAAAACACGGCGCCCCCCCATACTTCCTGTCCTTCCTGCAGACGTCCTCATGATGATTTGTGTACATGTATGTGTGTGTGTGTGTGTGTACATGTATGTGTGTGTTTTAGAGGAGGGGGTGTTGGTGTGAACAGCTGTGATGTATTGTCGTCTGGGGCGTGATAATACACCCGTGTCATTAGGGGCTGGACGCCGCTAACGCGTGTTTGTGTGTGTTTGTTACGGTCAGCCTCCATGTCTACCTGCTGCGGTCGTAAACGACGGCGGATGAAGCGGACTGAACGCAGAGCGAGAAAAAAACGAAGGAGGAGTCTGTCAGGTAAAACGGTGGGGGGGGCGGTAGCTAGAAGGGTGAGAAAAAGGTGGATGGAGGTTTTTGATGTGTGGCGGCGGCGTTGGGGGGGAGGGGCAGTAATGTATCTATTGAAGTTCAGGCCTCTGTGTTTGATACACTACATCTGTACCCCATTTCCCTCCTCTCCCCCAGCTGTGCGCCCTCACGTGTACAGGAACAATCAGACCCAGGACCATAAATACCCCCACCCCCTTCACTCCCTCTCCTCTCCTGCATCCATCTCTGTTAGCAGACGTGTTCATCTCCTTTAACCCTTCGTGTCAAAGACGGAAAATAAGGGCGAGTGTCCGACACCCCTGAGAGTCTCTGTTTTTTTTCGATAGGTACCCTAACACATTCATTCTGGGCAGGTAGTAAACTTCATTTATTTTAGAAATGTACTTTGGTAAAAATCTGTCACCCAACCCTCTGGTTGTCTTTCTTGGGGCCACATGTGTCCTTCTTTTCTGTCAATACTTTTGAAAGAAGTGCAGTTCAGTTCGGGATGGTGATCGCTAAAAAGCTGATTCTACGAGTTTGGAAAACAGACTCTTTTCTTACTCTTATCTTATGCTCAGGAGAATTGTCAAACACAGTAAAGATAGAGGAGATACGTTTGATAAAACATGGGACCCTGTACTGAAAGGTGAGCGCATAGTGCAAACAAAAGTACCTATTTATTTTAGTATTATTATTACGATCATAATCTTATGTTTGCCTTTATATTCTGTATAGTTGATACTCATTTTATGACCATGTAATATAGCTGTAATTCTTGATGTGCTGGGTTTTGTACTCCTGTGTTTTTTTAATCATTATGTTTAAATATATGTAAATATTGTTTCTTTTCATTTTAATGTTCATTGAAAAATTGTTAAACATATTAAAAAAAAGGAAGTCAATAAAGTAAATATCTGCCTAAACTTTAAACTTATTCCCTCAGAAAATAATAATAATAAAAATAATAACAACAACAACAATAATAATAATAATAGTAATAATAATAATAATAATAATAATAATAATAATAATAATAATTAACAGAAACTCTATGAAAATAAAATAATTCTTGACTGAAATGTCTTTATTTTACTTTAAAGTTTGTGTCTAAAAACATCTTTGTTCAGGAGGTCTCACTTTGTCCACAGAGGGCGCCAAAGTTGGCGCACACTAAAAGTCACTGACAGCAGCTTTAATGAACAGCTGGCCAAAACTGCCACATGTCAAAACTTCCTGCTAAAGTTCTTTGACTCAAAAACACGTCGTCTTTTCTGAAACAAACTAACGGTAGAAGAAGAAGAAGAAGTGAATTAAACGCTCGCTCCTTCCTCCTTTATCTTGATTAGCTCTGGGCGGACTGACTTATACTGTCTCCATGTTTGATTTACTGACATGATAAGTCGCCTCTGCTGTTAAACCTGACACCTGCCTGAGGTTGCTGACTCGGCTGCAGCTTCTCCTCGCCGCCTCTGCGCCATAAAAACGTTGAATCAATTGATTTCCCGGCGGTAAGAGGGGTCATGTCTACCGCTCTGGTTTCCGCCTCTCTCCCCCCCCATCTCCTCACCCCTCTCTCTCTCTCTCTCTCACTGCCAACACCCTCCACATCCCTCAGTATCAGTTGGCCCCCGTCGGCAGGTCCGCTGGGGTCCGGGTGCGCGGTAAATGAAATATGGTAGCTGTCGCATTAGGAAATCCATTGAAGTTAATTAGGGCCGGTGTTCTCAGCGGAGACACATCTGCTGCTGTTTAGGCGCCAACACCCCCGCCACCCCCCCGAGCCGGTCCAGACACGACTATGGGACTGTGGGGGTGATAGATACAGATGGGGAAACTGGACCTGAGGTATTGAATGGTACTGGCCGGCAGTCGGCTGGGGGGGAGAGCGGCGAGGAAGCTGAGTGGCTCTAAGGTCGTGACCTCCAGGTAATTTGTAATGGCGGCTGGACGGAGCATCGAGTAATGGATACCGGACTGTTATCAGGGATATCAGCTGTTGTAAAAAGGGGCAAGTCCACACCCCCATAGTGTCACAGAATACCTCTGCCAGTCCAGTCCGACCCCCCCGCTCTGGACATTATCATCGTGGTCGTTTCTTAAGTCCACTAAAACGCCATCACACAGCGCCGCCATCATCCCTCCTTCATACTCTCATATTGATCCCACAGCAGCAGAGGATCGCTGACACGGTCTGTACGGTTTCACATGTCATGATGTCATAACCTCTCAGAGGTAAACAAACAATGTGAGCTGCACAGACGCCACTCAGTCCCATTACTACGACTTTGATCTCCACGCCAAACGCAAATAATAAAATCATCTCCTCGCTTCGTTTGTGTTTTTAGTGCGGGAGCGTTTTGACAGGAGAGGAGGGGCGGGGCTCCCACATCAAACAGAGTCGAACCTCACTGAGAGGATCTGTTGTGTTAAAACAACCAATCAGACGATCCGACCTTCTTCCCGTCACCTTGTTGTAAAAACTTGTTTCCTTTAGCTCAGGTCGCTGCGTATCATCACCGTCACCATCTGTTTGTCCCCGTTATCCAATTAAATTCATTTGTTGACATTTACCTCCACGGACTCTTCATGCTGATTGGCTGAATGAGCGGCTGGAGTTCAGATTGATCAACTTTCAATCATGAAGGAAATGAAGCAGGTATCATGTTGAACACGACGCAGTCAGACGGTCGGCACAGAGTGGATGTTCTGCTCATCATGGATCTCTTTAAATGAGCTCGATCTTTCTCAGGCAGATGGTGGTCCACCTGTGAGTCCGGTCCACCTGTGAGTCCGGTCCACCTGTGAGTCCGGTCCACCTGTGAGTCCGGTCCACCTGTGAGTCCGGTCCAGCTCCAGGTCTCTCACCGTGGCCCACTTCTTCAGTGTTTGATTTCAGAGGTGTGAGATCTTTCTCAGCATGTCTCTGCCTGTCTGAGGTCGTCTTCCTGAAGGCTGGTGTTTATAGATGTTTACACATGGATCGATATTTAATTTCTACTATAAATGAAGTCTTTGATTCTTGGAGGATTCTGCCCGTTGAACAGAAACCTTAACTTTGGGTCTGGTGTTTTCAGAGTTTGATCTTCTCTTTTGGGGCAGAAGACTGTTAAACATGAGTCTGGTTCTGCTCAGGGTTTCTGCCTGTTAAAGGAAGTTTAAGTCCTGCTTTTAAAGTGCTCGTTTGTTGTTTCTCACATTGTTAGCAGACTGATTTCAGCGGTTTGGGAACATAGAGCTTTTGGAGCGGGCAGAACCGTCATCCACTCACAACAGCTGATTTATATAGGTGTGACTGATCAGGTGATCCGGCTGGAGAGAGATGAAGACGACCAAATAATCGAGGAGCTGACACAGACAGAAGTCAGAGAACTAAAGGAGCGGGTTTTGGTCAGAGTGACGGACGCAGCAGGGGTCAAGAGTTTAATGATAGTGTGTGTGTGTGTGTGTGTGTGTGTGTGTGTGTGTGTGTGTGTGTGTGTGTGTGTGTGTGTGTGTATCAGCATGTGGACAAACGGGTCCAAGCTGCCTCCAGTGGACGGTCACAGCTCTTTAAACCGGACTCTGTGGTTCTGGACTGATGAATTGGTCAAAGAGTCGTTTATTTTCAGACTGAGGTTAACTTCAGGTTAAATCTTAGAGAATGAGTTTAACTCTGAGTGTTTTGACCTGAAGATCCAGATGGAGAGAAGTCGACTGTAGTGAAGCGGTTCAGAGAGAGTCTGGAGGAGCAGTCAGTCACAGAGACGGAGGTCGACCCTCCGAGGCTTTTCCCTGAAATCAAATCTCAGTTTGTTTGATCAGTAAATAAGCTGCAGGTCTAATGATCCAGGGACGAGTCTGTGGACCAATCTGTGTCAGATCGTCAGATTTTAAAGAGGCTCCATGCTGCGAGCAAACTGAAGAAGATAAGTTTTAGTTTCAGAATAAAACCGAGTGCATTTTTAAATAAATTCTTTAAATTAACTCAGAGTTTGTGTAAAAGAAGAGACGACGTCCAGATAGAACCTGCAGTCAGATATCAGACGTCCTGATGGTCAGGAAAGTTTATGGACTCTTATGTTTTCCTCTAATGCCTTTTGTATCATATTTGATGCACATTTTTATAAACTTCTATCAAATCAATCTGATCAACGAATGACTAAAAAAACACCTGAATACAGTCCGACAAATGATAAAAATGTCCTCTTGTAGTTTATCAGTTTCCAAAAACATCTAATGAATCAAAGGAGATAAATAAATATATTTGTTAAAAAATATATATATATTTTTTTGGTATTCAGTATTAAATGAAATAAACATTTCAGCTCCAAAAAAAATTAGAATTTTCAGGCCATAATTTTTGGTGTCAGGCATTAAAGGGTTAATCATATCAAAAATAAGTCATTATTTTAAAAACTCTCCATGTTTTTTTCTCAGAGGCGGCACAACCATCAGATTTATCTCCAGATGACTTAAACTGATCTGATTGTTCTGAGAAAACCAGCTCTGTAATCTGGAGGTGATGAGAAAGGTAATCTCCATGGTAACAGCCTGAATTAAAGGTAAAGATGCTGTGATAAACCCGGAGAACACTGCAGCAGCAGCAGCAGCGTGTTATAGTAATAATGGTTTCTCCGTGGACCAATGAGGCAGCAGGAGAAACGGTTACTTAACCTTTTCCAAATTGCTGAATAACCCACCTTTGGTCGACCACAGCAGGGGGTCAGTCCACCCACTGAGGCGGCGGATCATTTGTCACCTACAGTCCAGTTCAGGGAGCGCCGTCTCTGCGTCGTCCATCTTCACTCCGCTCTCTAAGTGTGTGTGTGTTTCACGCCATTTGTCAATAGTTCAGAGTGCATCTTCACTCATTCGTCTTCAGCGAGCGTCTTAAGTGTGCATTCTTTTGTCCGTCTGGGGTCATTGGTGGTCAGCCGCTATAATGGATGAATGAGGAGGTGGGTGGTTATCAGGATCATTTAGGGGTTCAGCGTTTTTTTTTCTGTTGGTTTGAAGAAAAAAACCTGAAGAGAGACTTTATCTGCTGGTCTTTAAACGTAGTTTATCATAAATGCATACTGACATATGTATATATATATCTATACTCATACATATGTTAGTGCTGCTCACTGTCCGACTGTCCGACTGTCCAACTGTCCTCTATGAGTGAATCTTCTGAAACCAGCTGGAGTTTGTTTTCTCTCCACAGACCTGAGAGGATCTGAAGCTCCTGACCGCAGCAGGACGTTTGTGCAAACTCTGACACCAGAACGCGGATTTCTCATCCATCAGCTGACGGAGGAGAGTTTATCATACCGCCTTAAATATAAGAGTTTATCAAACCACCTTAAATATAAGAGTTTATCATACCACCTTAAATATAAGAGTTTATCAAACCACCTTAAATATAAGAGTTTATCATACTACCTTAAATATAAGAGTTTATCATACCACCTTAAATAGAAGAGTTTATCATACCACCTTAAATATAAGAATTTATCATACCACCTTAAATACAAGAGTTTATCTTACCACTTTAAATATAAGAGTTTATCATACCACCTTAAATCTGGAAATTTATCATACCACCTTAAATACAAGAGTTTATCATACCACCTTAAATATAAGACTTTATCATACCACCTTAAATAGAAGAGTTTATCATACTACCTTAAATCTGGAAATTTATCATACCACCTTAAATCTGAAAGTTTGTCATACCACCTTAAATATAAGAGTTTATCATACTACCTTAGATCTCAAATTTGTTCATACTACCTTAAATCTGGGAGTTTGTAACTCTACCTTAAATCTGGGAGTTTATCATTCTACCTTCAATCTCAAAAGTAACATACTACCTTAAATCTGAGAGTTTATCATAGTACCTTAATTTTCAAAGTTCATCATACCACCTTAAATCTGAAGTTCTGTTTATTGTCATTAAAGAGCCGACGATCATCTGGACCTTCATCAGAGCGTTCACGGACGGTGAGGAATCTTTAACCTCAGTAAACACTGTCGTCCATGAGACCCCACCAGACTCTGTATGATTCAATTAGCCCTGTGTTGACCTTTGACCCCAGGCCTCACAGTGTAGAGTTAACCTCGACTTCCTGCGGCTGTTCTTGTCTCCTCCCACCATGAAGGTGTTACTGTCCAATACTGTGGAAACACACGAGCGAGTGAACACTGGAGAGAGTCAGTCTGCAGAAATAATGTGGTTTAGCCGTGGATCAGAGGATAGTTACCTTCCTCCTCCTCCTCCTCCTCCTCCTCCTCCTCCTCCTCCTCCTCCTCCTTCTCCTCCTCCTCCTCCTCCTTCTCCTCTTCTCCTTCTTTCTCCTCCTCTCCTGTGTATCAGTCGTCATTTCCACAGAATTGACTCTCAGTTTCATATAAGAGCAGAAATCAGAGCAGCAGAGATGAAGCTCGCAGCGCTCCTGTGAGTGTGTGTGTGTTCTGCAGACATACTTGGCATCAGATCAAGGTGAGTGTGGTGTGAGCTGAGGAAAGTGTGTGTGTGAGAGTGTGTGTGTGTGTGTGTGTGTGCGTGTGCATTCACAGCCCTCATTAGCTAACTCCAGCCCTGCGATCTCAGTATGAACACACTCCTCCTCCTCCTCCTCCTCCTCCTCCTCCCTCTCTCCTTCACTTACAGCCTCTCAGCTAAATGAGGTTAATAAACTCCAGCGTTTACTACCATCAGCGACACCGTCTCTCCTCTCCTGCTTTTACTCCTTCATCCCTCCCTCCCTCCCTCCCTCTCTACCTCCTCCACTTCCCGTCTCCCTCCTTAAGCCTCCTCTCCTCCTTTCATCTCAGCTGAAACGCTTTCTTCCTCTTTTCCTCACCTCTTTTTTATTGTCATTATTGCGCAGCAAAAGCTCTGGGATTTCCTCCCTCTATTTCCCAGGACAGAGCTGCAATTACAGCTCAGGAGAGAAGAAGACCAGCTGTAGGGGAGGAGAGCGCTGACACCGATCAAGATAAGGTTTCCCCCTAGAGGTGGGAAACCAGACTGCGAGCGCTTCGACCTCCTCACATCAGGCGTTCAGAGAGTTTCCTTCAGAGGCAGGCCGGGTCATCATGACCAAACAGGAATAACAAGCCTTCATAGAAACATGATGCTGTGTTATGACCCGGCTCACACACGTCTGCAGCGTTACTACACACACACACACACACACTCACACTCCAGCTGTGGCAGGATCAGGCAGTGATACCGGGGAAATGTGAAGAATGTATCAGACAGCCTTGGGTGCTCTTATCGGGGATGGCATGTGTACAGGGACACCCTTAAAGAAGAGGAGGAGGAGATACAGAAGATGAACAAAGTCAGACAGCTGCAGACAGACGAGCAGGAACGCTCTCAGAAATATGAAAGTGGAGTCACGTCGTTAAAGTTGAGTGTGAAAGTTTGGCTTTAATCTTCATGAGGGTTTCCTGCAGGTGAGAAACCCTCAGGTGTCTGTTACCGTTAAAGAGATAAGAGCGACTTTCTGATCTTACCTGAACTCAGCTTCTGTGTGAATCTCAGATCTGATCAGATTACCCTCCAACGTGAGACTTTCTTAAACAGCCCAGGTGGTCCCGCTCAGATCCGGACTAGACCTGTTAAACCGTCTTTATTCTGTTTTGATTTAAATGAATGGATGGATGGATGTTGAAGGAAACGAGGAGGAAGGATGGAGAGTGACACTAAAGTCTGTGGTCTCTGAGCATGTGCAGGAGGAGCAGGTTATCCTCCGATCTGGAGCTACATTCATGTGTTTTTACGATGTTTGTTTATGTACTGGAGGATCACAGAGGCTGGGAATAAATAACACTTTATATTGTTTGGATTTACTGAATTAAATCTAATACTGAAAAGATTTGGAGCCAAAAGACTGAATTTGCCATCTGCCATTTGACATCAACCCTGATGTAGCTGAGAGATCCTTGGTTTACAGAGCTGTCAATCATAACGTCACGTTTCCTTTTTTTTAAATCATAATTAAACTGAACTCAGAAAAAAGAGCATTTTGACATTTATCAGTATAAAAAGACAGACTGTAGAGTCCACTTATTTGATGTGTATTTTTTCATTTATAGTTTGGCCTTATTCCATTCCATTATGACCTATACTGCAGACGGCCAGCAGAGGGAGCTCTGGATGTTTTGTGTCACTCAGTTTGTTTACAGTCTCAGTTTAATCAGACTAAGATCATACTTTGTCTTTTTCTCTGAATCAGACTTCTCTCCTTGTCTTCGTTTACATACAGCTGAGAAAACTGAATTATTGACATGAACGTGTCCTCCTCCCCAACACTAGGGGGCGATATGGGTCTTTTCAGCGGCGCTGTTTCCGACCCCATACAACCGTCAACAACAACAGCAGGTCGGTGTCAGACGTCAGAAGTGTCTACAACTGCTGCTGGGCATTTTGGAGAAACAAGAAGATGGAGCATCGTACAGCGTTGTTTTTGTCCGACATGATGGACGCGCTACTTTTTCTAAAGAGGAGACCAACGCTACTCCTCTACTCTGGGGGTTTTGTTACGGGGGTTACGGGGGCGTGGCCTGTAACTGATCATACTCCGACTACGCTGGTTACAGGGTAGAGAAAATCGAATTCCAATCACATTATCTGGGTGTCCAATCGGAGTTCTACGACTCCAATTATAGTCAAACTAATGCACTTCAGTTGTCCGGTCTTAATCGGAATAAGGCGATAATTCGGTTTTCTTGAGTGTCATGGAAACGGACTGAGTGAAAACTGTCATTTACAGACTGTGAGAATTTGTGATTTGGTTTCTTTGATTAGATCAGATCTTAGATGTTATGTGAAGATTAATGTTGTGTGTGTGTGTGTGTGTGTGTGTGTGTGTGTGTGTGTGTGTGTGTGTGTGTGTGTTGACAGTGACCTGAATCGTTAGGACTTCTAGATAAAACAGTTCCCAGTGATCTAATCGGGGATTTTTCGTTTCTCCTCGATACAAAAACATGAACTTTATTTTGAAAGGGTAACTAAACAAAACATGAAACCAAAACACAGACGGAGTCTTGAATTAAACAAGTCTCTAAATTAAAGGGCTATTCTGCCAACAGCGCAGTAACACACCGCCTGTGAAAACACTTGTGTAACTCTCACAGCGGTCAGCTGACATCACTTGTGTATCTCTGCTCGGGTTTGTGACTACAACAGTCCAACCCGACCCAAACGGGGACGCACTGATCCGTGAACACACACAGAAGACACACACACACACACACACACACAGAGGAGCTGCTGAGCCTCTCACAGGTTCGTCCCCGGCCCTGCCTTGCTCATGAGCGTGTGTCTCTTTTTCTGAAGGTTCATTTTGAGGACACTGGAGATGAACCCCTGACTCCTGTAGCGCAGCCAGATCCTCTCCACACACACACAAACACACACACACACACTCACTCAGGACCGTGTTATTGTGATATCTGCCTGTTCGACTTTATGCATCAGCTGCTCGCCATGTAATGTTTCCTCGCAGCTGTCGCACCGTCGGCTCGCCCGCGTGAGCGTGTAACAAAGAGAGAGTGATGGCAGCAGGAGCCTCCGTCGGGCCCACGGGACGGTCGCAGAGGAGCAGACGGTCGTGTCGTTTCACTGCAAACATATGGTGAAACTCAAGTGTGTAATTTACCGAGGACCACGGGTGGCCCGGGCGACTACACACACACACACACACACACACACACACACACACATGTTCACACACACACGGTGACAGGGTGTAATTTACCTGGGGCCTATGGGTGGCCTAGTATCCCGTTGCACTTGTCACACACACACACACACACACACACACACACACACACACACACGGTTCAGACAGAGAGAGTGAAACTAATTTCCCCAGACAGGAGAGTAAGAAATCACCGACTGACAGAGATGTTACAGTCGAAGCTGCGTTTAGTGCGAGACTAAAAAAAATCCCAACCTGTGGGAGTTTCTGCTCTCTCTGTATCACATCCTCTCCAATTCGTCAACCTGGCAACTTTTCAAAGCGGCGCTCTCCTCCCTCGGAGAGAGCGAGCCAGAGATGAAGGTCATGGGAGGAAGACGGATTAGAGGAGTGTGTGTCCCTCCCTACATTCCTGCTCTGACCTTCAGAGTGGCGTGGCACTGTAGCTATCATCGGCCCACCGTGCTTTACAGTCGTCTGGTACTGAGGGGCGGGATCCACCGCAGGCCCCGCCCTCAATTCCATCGATTCGCACCCGTGAACAACGCGGAGTGTCGAGTTTCACATCAGGATTGACAGAGAAGGCCGTCCCAGACGTTTACAATCAGAGCTGTTTGAGGTGTGTGTACGTCTGCGAAGGCTGATATGATGGCATGTCTGCGAGTAGCGGTGTGTGTGTGTGTGTGTGTGTGTGTGTGTGTGTGTGTGTGTGTGTGTGTGTCTGAGAACCAGTGTTTGATCTCTGTTCCCAGCCAAGGGGGCTTTAACTTCACTCCAGGTGCAGAGAAGTCAACCTGAGGGCATGGGAGGCACATACAGTTGAGATCACAGTCCTCACACACACACACACACACACACACACACACACACACACACACACACACTCACAGGCAGTGAGGCAGGAAGTCTCCTTGAAGCAGTAACTCAGACTAACTGTGCCGTTTAAACAGGTTTACCAGTCCAGCGGTGTCACAGAGGAATGCCGACTCTGCAGTAAAGTGCAGTCAGGATAAACACCGAGGACACGAGCGAGTCCAAACAGATTAAAGGGAGTTTATTTACAATATGCAAACCAAGAATATAGAAAATAAAACAAGAGAAGTAAGGCAAAACATTTTAACATAAAACATAGAAATACATATTTGATAAGGAGTGAGCAGAAGAACTTAAGAACTCCCAACTCTACCCTTTAAATAAGAAGGACCCACACCGAACTTCCATAGATACAGGGTCTACAGGGTCACCAAGATCCCCAAGCGTCCCCCATCGTTTATGTTGACCCGGCTTTTTAGCTCTTGTCCGGTCTACCTCCGTTTTAAGCGCCCGTTATTCCTCCAGAGTCTCCGGTATTTACTTTGTTTTCTTGCTTGTGTCGGCAGTCGTGGCCAAAGGAGGATTCAGACAATTTTCCGAACTTTCTGGTTGGTTTCTACTGTCCGATATTGTAGCACGCTAACTTTGTTTGGGCTCCTGAACGACACGGGGGAGCAGCAGTTTCTTGTTGACTGCTTTCTTGTTGACTGTTTTGGTGTTGACTGTTTATGGTTGACTGTTTTCTTGCTGACTGTTTTCTTGTTGACTGTTTTGGTGTTGACTGTTTTGGTGTTGACTGTTTATGGTTGACTGTTTTCTTGCTGACTGTTTTTTGTTGACTGTTTTGGTGTTGACTGTTTATGGTTGACTGTTTTTGTTGACTGTTTTCTTGTTGACTGTTTTCTTGCTGACTGTTTTCTTGTTGACTGTTTTCTTGCTGACTGTTTTCTTGTTGACTGTTTTCTTGCTGACTGTTTTCTGGTTGACTGTTTTGGTGTTGACTGTTTCTTGTTGACTGATTATGGTTGACTGTTTTCTTGCTGACTGTTTTCTTGTTGACTGTTTTTTGTTGACTGTTTTGGTGTTGACTGTTTATGGTTGACTGTTTTTTGTTGACTGTTTTCTTGTTGACTGTTTTCTTGTTGACTGTTTTCTTGCTGACTATTTTCTTGTTGACTGTTTTCTTGCTGACTGTTTTCTGGTTGACTGTTTTTTGTTGACTGTTTTGGCGTTGACTGTTTATGGTTGACTGTTTTTTGCTGACTGTTTTCTTGTTGACTGATTATGGTTGACTGTTTTCTTGCTGACTGTTTTCTTGTTGACGGTTTTTTGTTGACTGTTTTGGTGTTGACTGTTTATGGTTGACTGTTTTTCATTGACTGTTTTCTTGTTGACTGTTTTCTTGTTGACTGATTATAGTTGACGTTTTCTTGCTGACTGTTTTCTTGTTGACTGTTTTCTTGCTGACTGTTTTTTGTTCACTGTTTTGGTGTTGACCATTTTCCTGTCGATCAGTTTGGTGTTGACTGTTTTCCTGTTGACTGGTTTGGTGTTGACTGTTTTCTTGTTGACTGTTTTCTTGTTGACCGGTTTGGTGTTGACTGTTTTCTTGCTGACTGTTTATGTTTGAGTGTTTTCTTGCTTGTGTCGGCAGTCGTGGCCAAAGGAGGATTCAGACAATTTTCCGAACTTTCTGGTTGGTTTCTACTGTCCGATATTGTAGCACGCTAACTTTGTTTGGGCTCCTGAACGACACGGGGGAGCAGCGTCTGCCTCACAACCAATCAGGTTAGAGGAGGTGGAGAACGGCTTTGTTTACAGTCAGAAAGAGCGGACCGCTCAAAAATGTTCAAATGTTGACGACACAGACATAAGAGAACACAGAGATATCGTTATATTACCAAATGTCATCAATAACTAATAACTATTGACTGATATTAAAAGATTTTTGTATAAAAAACACAAAATAAAAAGATGCTTCTTTAACAGATTCCTGTCTACTTCACCTTTAAGTCGGTTTTCTTCTCGTGGTCCAGACTTCTTTCCTTAGACTAGAGATCAGCTGGACTCTCTCATATGAACACTGAGTTCTTGTTGCTGATGTGGATCTGTGTGAGTCTGAGTGTGTTTGTTTTTTGCTGCCATTCTTGGTCAGGACCCCCCCTGAAAAAGAGATTGATGATCTCAACAGGACTAGTCTGGTTACATCAAACCAAAAAGACACACAACCTGCCTCCTGTCTTTGTCCTCTACAGAAAACCTGATCCAGCTGCAGGACTCACATCTGGGACATGTAAGACCACATGGATCCATGACCCGGACGGAGCGGTAACATGACATCCAGCAGAAACAGACACAATAAAGACAAACAGACGAGGTGATTTCAGTGACTCAGTTTGAGGATTTTTATGATTTTTTTACCCACAATCAGAGACTTGACCACAATCTGAGCTGAGTCAGAAACATCCAAACAGTCGGACTAATAAATGTGATTATTATTATTATTAGAGTGATTGAAAAGCTCATAACAACATGTAGATCTGTCCAAAGTCTGATTCTAGATGTCTTTACAAACACACTGATCCAACAGAAGCAGACAGAAATATCCATCGATCACATGAACACAAATATTCAGCAAACAGAGAAAGAAACAGATCATCTGAAGAGTTTTTGGGGACGACTGGAAAGACTTTAGACGCTTGGATTTGGGACAGGAAATAAGGTCGTCCTTTTTCTGTGATTTTGACCTCACTTTTTTCTAAAGTCTCAGACCTTCAACATCTGCACCAACTGAAGGTGATTTGAACAAACCATCATCTTGATGTTGTTGATATCAAACTGTATGAAGATTTTTCAACATGAGAAATACAAACAATCAAAGTTCTCCACAATCACTGTCCTTAAAGCTGCGACCAAATCAGCATCTTTAGAAAAGAATCAAAAAGCTGAAATGAAGAACTAAACCCAGAGTGTTTGGTGAGACTGATCCACAAACATTTACAAACCAGAACATTTCAAGAGTTCAAGGATCTCAGTCCATGATTTTGGTCTGATGGACTCAAAATTCTCTTTACTTCACTTCTAGAAACTCAGCAGAGTCTCCGTAAGACCAGTTTAACCACAGTCCAGCATGTAGAGGTTCAGTGAATGTGGTCTGGACTCTGTGGAGGAGAGTCATGGTTTCAGAGACGCTGTAGAAGGACAGAATACCTGCTCTGTGATCCAGGTACACTCCGACTCTGGAGGACGGAGGACCTGAGACATCAGTGCCGACGTTGTTGTGACCAAATTTATAACTGTTTTTAGAACAGAGTAACATCCAAGATTTGTCATTTTCTCCAAATACACAATCCTCTGAGTCTCCGTCTCTCCTGATAGTCTTGTATGCGACTGCTACCCAAACCCCGCCCCCTCTCCAGTCCACCTCCCAGTAACAACGTCCAGTCAGACTCTCTCTACTCAGGACCTGATAATAATCAGTGAATCTGTCTGGATGATCAGGATAAGACTGTTGTTGTTTTGTATATGTCGCTCTTCTGTTTCCATCAGATAATAACAGCCATCTGCTTACTGTGTTTGGATCCAGTGTGATTCTCCGTGAATATCTTAAGAAATCAGCTCTGGTCTTGGGTTCTGCTGGTTCTGGTTCTGACAGTAAAACATCCACTTCAGTCACTGCCTGTGAGACGTTTGTCCTCGTCTCTGTCAGAAGATCCTGGAGTTTCTCTCTGACCTCTGACACAGCTGCTGTCACCTCCTCAAAGTATCTCAGAGGACGGATGTTGATTCTGGATGAGTCTGCAGGTTGACCCGGTTCTGACAGTGAGGGGTAGCTGTGCAGAAACTGGTTGTGGTCCTCTGTGAGTGAGAGCTTCTGCAGATCAGCGTCTTTCCTCTTCAGCTCAGTGATCTCCTGCTCCAGTTTCTCCTGAAGCTCTTTGACTCGACTCACTTCACGTTCCTGCTGGGATCTGACCTGCTGCTCCACCTCAGAGCGGCGTTTCTCCATCAGACGGATCAGCTGGATGAAGATCTCCTGGCTGTGCTCCACAGCTTTATCAGCAGAGCCGTTGATAGCCTCCACCTCCTGTTGGAGCAGCTTCACATCTTCTTCTCTGTCCTGGATTCTCTGCTGGATGTTTTCTCGACTCTCCTCCAGATCTTTCTGCCTCTCAGTCCTTTCTGCTGCAGCTGAGACTGTGTCGTGACCTTTGTGTTGGTCCAAACAGCAGAGAGAACAGATGGACTTCTGATCAGTGCGGCAGAAGATCTTCATCACCTCATCATGACGAGAGCAGATGTTCTCCTGGAGCTTCTTGGAGGGCTCCACCAGCTTGTGTTTCTTTAATGGAGTAACTTCAAAATGAGGCTGGAGGTGAATCTGACAGTAAGAAACCAGACATTGAAGACAGGACTTGACAGCTTTCAGTTTTCTCCCACTGCAGAAATCACAGGCCACATCTTCAGGTCCAGCCTCAGAGGAACCACCAGGAGCAGCTTGGAGTCCGCTCTTCTTCACTTCCTCCACTAAACCTGCTAACATGATGTTTTTTATTGGGACAGGCCTCGGTCTGAAGGTCTCTCTGCACTGAGGACAGCTGTAGATCTTCTTCTCATCCTCAGTATCCCAGTAGGATTGAATACAGCTCATGCAGAAGCTGTGTCCACAGGTGAGAGTCCCCGGATCCTTCAGAAGATCCAAACAGATGGAACAAGAGAAAGACTCACGGTCCAGATGAACTCCTTTCTGCGCCATTTCAACACTCGCTGTCGACGACGACTGACTGAGTTTTATTTCCTGAGAAGTGAAACTAGTCTGAGCTCTGATCTCAACAACATGTGAGTCAGCAGGATCACCTCAGCACACGGAGGTTACACCCAACCAAGACTGTAGATCTGAAGGGGGAGGGAAGAAGGAAGGGAAGGAAACAAGGAAGTGAGAGTGCAGAGTGGAGTGAGCTGAGAGAGACGAGGGAGGGGGGGGGGATCCAGTTTGTCTACAATCCAGGAGGAGGAGTGTCTCTGTGATCTTTAGACTCTCAAACTCCAACAAGCAGAAGTTCTTAAAGCTGCAGCCGTCCTGAAGATCAACTGAACCAACATTTATTCACCTCATAGAAACCTCATCGAGCAGAAACACACTTCAACTGTTTTAGAGCCACAGAGTTAGAGATACAACACAGAGAAACTCTCTCTCTCTCTCTTTTTATCTCTCTCTCTCTCCTCCCTCACTGCTCCAGCAAGCCCCGCCCACAAACAGACGCTCCTGCTCGCTCGTATCGTTCCAATTAAATTCAGATATAATGCAGATAAATACTTCAGATCATTACAAATGGGGCCCAGTCAAGGTGAAAGTCAAAAGCATTGGTGCTACTGTAGATGCCAACAGACTACCAGCAAACACAATGTTTGCAGGACTTCTACAACGAGGATAAAGTGACATAGTCCAGGACCCGAGGGAGGACAGTTTAGCGATGGCGCTACAACACGCTACAGCAGGTCCGTTTGACAAGAAACACTTCTGTTACAGACACTTGTCTTACTTTGTTAAAGCGGTTTACCTGTCCAGCAGAAAGGTTACAGGGTCACCAAGATCCCCAAGCGTCCCCCATGGTTCATGTTGACCCGGCTTTTTAGCTCTTGTCCGGTCTACCTCCGTTTTAAGCGCCCGTTATTCCTCCAGAGTCTCCGGTATTTACGTCGTTTTCTTGCTTGTGTCGGCAGTCGTGGCCAAAGGAGGATTCAGACAATTTTCCGAACTTTCTGGTTGGTTTCTACTGTCCGATATTGTAACACGCTAACTTTGTTTGGGCTCCTGAACGACACGGGGGAGCAGCATTTTCTTGCTGACTGTTTTCTTGCTGACTGTTTTCTTGTTGACTGTTTTCTTGCTGACTGTTTTCTTGCTGACTGTTTTCTTGTTGACTGTTATCTTGTTGACTGTTATCTTGTTGACTGTTTTGGTGTTGACTGGTTTGGTGTTGACTGTTTTCTTGCTGACTGTTTTCTTGTTGACTGTTATCTTGTTGACTGTTATCTTGTTGACTGTTTTCTTTTTGACCGGTTTGGTGTTGACTGTTTTCTTGCTGACTGTTTTCTTGTTGACTGTTATCTTGTTGACTGTTTTGGTGTTGACTGGTTTGGTGTTGACTGTTTTCTTGCTGACTGTTTATGGTTGACTGTTTACTTGTTGACTGTTTTCTTGCTGACTGTTTTCTTGTTGACTGTTTTCTTGCTGACTGTTTTTTGTTGACTGTTTTCTTGTTGACTGATTATGGTTGACGTTTTCTTGCTGACTGTTTTCTTGTTGATTGTGGTTGACTGTTTTTTGTTGACTGTTTTCTTGCTGACTGTTTATGTTTGAGTGTTTTCTTGCTTGTGTCGGCAGTCGTGGCCAAAGGAGGATTCAGACAATTTTCCGAACTTTCTGGTTGGTTTCTACTGTCCGATATTGTAACACGCTAACTTTGTTTGGGCTCCTGAACGACACGGGGGAGCAGCATTTTCTTGCTGACTGTTTTCTTGCTGACTGTTTTCTTGTTGACTGTTTTCTTGCTGACTGTTTTCTTGCTGACTGTTTTCTTGTTGACTGTTATCTTGTTGACTGTTATCTTGTTGACTGTTTTGGTGTTGACTGGTTTGGTGTTGACTGTTTTCTTGCTGACTGTTTTCTTGTTGACTGTTATCTTGTTGACTGTTATCTTGTTGACTGTTTTCTTTTTGACCGGTTTGGTGTTGACTGTTTTCTTGCTGACTGTTTTCTTGTTGACTGTTATCTTGTTGACTGTTTTGGTGTTGACTGGTTTGGTGTTGACTGTTTTCTTGCTGACTGTTTATGGTTGACTGTTTACTTGTTGACTGTTTTCTTGCTGACTGTTTTCTTGTTGACTGTTTTCTTGCTGACTGTTTTTTGTTGACTGTTTTCTTGTTGACTGATTATGGTTGACGTTTTCTTGCTGACTGTTTTCTTGTTGATTGTGGTTGACTGTTTTTTGTTGACTGTTTTGGTGTTGACTGTTTTCTTGCTGACTGTTTTCTTGTTGACTGTTTATGTTTGAGTGTTTTCTTGCTTGTGTCGGCAGTCGTGGCCAAAGGAGGATTCAGACAATTTTCCGAACTTTCTGGTTGGTTTCTACTGTCCGATATTGTAGCACGCTAACTTTGTTTGGGCTCCTGAACGACACGGGGGAGCAGCGTCTGCCTCACAACCAATCAGGTTAGAGGAGGTGGAGAACGGCTTTGTTTACAGTCAGAAAGAGCGGACCGCTCAAAAATGTTCAAATGTTGACGACACAGACATAAGAGAACACAGAGATATCGATATATTACCAAATGTCATCAATAACTAATAACTATTGACTGATATTAGATTTTTTGTATTAAAACCACAAAATAAGATGTATCTTTAACGAATTCCTGACTACCAGAAAAACAACAAAAACAAATAAAACAAGAAGCAAACAAACAAAAAAACAAAAACCTCATAACACTATTTAACACCGTCCTCATCTCTGTACCTCTTCATCATCGTGTCTTTATTCCTCATTTTAATTTGTGTAAATATGTTTGAACTTTAACTCCACGGAAAACCTGAAACACTAAAACTCTTCCTCTTAAATTATAACTTCCCTCACACATTCTGTTGTAACTCCCTCTAACTTTATTAATACTTCTGTTTTCAGTGGTAAATTCCCAAATACCATTAATTTTGTCTTGCTCAGATTTAATGATAACACACAGAGAAATAAGAGAGTGAGTGAGGAGTGAAAGGGTGAAGAAGAAGGGTGGAGGAATGATGGACCAGCCGAGGTTTCCTTCAGAATAAAGCCGACTCTTCAACAGGTGTAAAAACCGAAGAATGAGCGCGTCTCTCTAACCCGATAATAACGTGAAGTGTTGTGCTGTGTGACGTTGAAGAGCGTTTCCTCCTCCTCCTCCTCCTCATTACCGTAAACGTAGCAGCAATGATCTCCTCTGTGAACGTGTGTGGTCCGTAATGAGCTCAGTAAACATCTGCTACTCCTGTATTAGAGACCATTTTCTCCGCGTCTCATCCTGTAATATGGAGAAATTAGAGTGCAGGGACTGTTTATACACACACACACACACACACACACACACACACACACACACACACACACACACACAGAGGGAGCAGACATAACATGAGGAGTCCAAGTGTTTTTATACTACCCTGCTGACGCTCTAACATGCCATCTTAACACCACAATTTTCCATCCACAACACTAAAACACTCCCGGGTGTCCTGGGTGTCTGCGATCCCTGGATATACCAGCCTTGTTTTCAGAGTGAAGGGTTCTGCTGAGGCCCGTTTACTTCTGTGAATGGAAACCTTAACTGGGCTGAACAGAGAGGGGTGTCAGATTTAGAACAAGTGCATGTGAAGGAACTCGGGTTTGACTCTGTTTAACAGTTTTTACTCCTTGGTTCATCTTACATAACAGAAACAGAGTCATAATAACGGTCTCTGAGATAATCACAGGACTTCACCTAAAAACACTGACCTGCTCAGAAAACTGAGGAACATAGGGAAAGGGTGCCACCTAGTGCTGAGTCAGAGTTATTTCATATTAAAGGGATAATCCGGTGTAAAATTAATTTAAGGTCAAACCCACCGTAACACCGAGTTAGACCCCCCCTCCAGAGATGAATGTTGTCGACCGCTTTGTTCTCTAGTTATACCAACTTTAGTAACGACCGCAGGATAGAAATACAGAGAGCCACGCCCTCAGCCACAACGCCACTCTATAGCCACAAATAATGCTCAGAACAGCACCTACCTTCATCAACAGGACATATAGGGTCACAGACATAGTACTATATTCAGAGTTGTTCTAACTCCTAAGAAAACATAAACTTAAGTGGGGGCGTTTCTCCACCTCTGTCGTCTATAAGCTGGGCCAATAAACTTCTACTGTAGTAAAATGAAAAGGTAAAGGTGTTTTTATTGAGCCGAATTATCAATAAAATCATGATTTTGTTAACAGGTATGGGTTTATGTGCTGTCGAGTTAATATATTTGAACAAGAGCACAGTAAAGTTAAATCAGCTAATTTTCTAATGAGGTTCTGTTACTGAATGGAACTACACCATGATCTACTGAGGTTAGTACATATAGGGTCACAGCCATAGTACCAGACACCAAACATCTTTTTAACTTTGACTCATTTCTTTGGCAAAGAGACTAAACACAACTCACCTACTCTCTTCCAGCAGCCGCTTGTTTGTAGAGAGACCTCAGGCCAGTCCATTACGGACTACAGCGGGGTGCCGCAGCTCAAGGAAGAACATTTCTTTATCATGTCCTTGAAGTAATAATCACCATATTAATCATTTTACAGACAGTTCTTCTGTCTTAGCGTCTCGGTCTGATTGTATTTCCATGAAGAAATGATCATAAATGTTCTTCCTTGAGCTGCGCTTTAATTAATTTTACGCTGGAATATCCCTTTAAACAGTGAGTGAAAATCCATTAAGGTTTCATAATAACTTTATTAATAGAAACCTTTGACTGATCTGCTGACATAACCAAGACAAGAGCCGTTTTAATTCAATATTCTGTCCATCATCAGGCTGTATGAGGAGATCCTCTGAGTCGTCTGGATCTTCAGTTTTCTCTGTTTTCGCTCCAAACTGATGAGAGTCCAGCAGGAAGTCCAGAATCCATGCAGACCTGGTCTCTCAGTCTCTCCCTGTTCCTGAACCAAGTCCAAAGTCAAAGTGGATCTCCTTCACTTGTTCATCTCCTGCTGCACCTCCTTGAAGATCTTCTCCTCCAGCTCAGAGGTGTCGTACTCCCTTAGCATGTCGAACTCGTTCCAAGGCTCCGCCCACTTCTGAGCGCGCTCCATCTTCTCCGGGGTCAGGGCTAACTCAAAGTTGATTCCCTTGATGTCGAACTTTGGTCGCTCCCACCGTTTGGACCACGGCTTTGGGCGCATCTTCACCTTGATCTGTCAGAAAAAGAGGATCTTATTTCAGTTTACCAACAACTTCTGGACCCTCAAACCAAAACTGTGAGCTTTGTCTGTCGTGGTCTTTCAGATCTCTTACCTCGTTCACGGGAACCTCTCCAGAGTGGGAGATGGGCAGAGGCTTCATGTCCGGGTCCACGGTGCTGTACTCGGGCAGAGCGTCTCTCAGGTACATCAGGTTATCATCAAGCCTCTTCTCCAGCTTCAGCACCTCCACCGCCTGAATAAGAGGACTGTAGAGCTCGTAGCAGATCTCCACGCCTGAACCACCCGTGAAGAAAAACAACAGAGACGCTGGAGTGAGTTTGGACTTGTAAATATAATTACAGGTGTTAAATAGTCCCAGTTTTATAAGCTGTTTTTGTGAGCAGGTTTAAAACAATAACTGATTTAGTTTAGACGTAAAGATATTTCCATAAAAGAAGTTCTGACCCTGAAAACTAATCAAACTCACCTTGGTTATCAATAATGTTCCTCAGTATAAATGTGGCTCCCAGACCTTTACCGCCTCTCTGGACACAGATGCCAACAAAGCGAGAACTCTTCCCGTTCGCGGTGGAGTCGGCCGTGGTCACCGCCAGAATGCTCCCTGAAAACAAGTTCAAGAGTCAAGAACACGAAGTCTGGGCGGCGTGCTGTCGTGGTCAGAGGGATGAAAACATGGAAGAGTCTTCCTTCTGTTATTACGAGGTTAACCAGTGAACGTGTTTAAAAAGGAGGTAAACTAATATCTACAGACCCAGACTCACTGAAATAAGAAACACCTAGAATAGACTGTGACAACTTACAATACATGACAATGAGATTTTTGATTATTAGTACATTTAATTTGGTCTTTATTGGTGTTGTAAATGTAAATGTAATGTCATCATAATTCTTGTTTTAGTTCTGATTTTAATATCTTGTATGATTCTCCTGTTCGGACTTTTATCATTTTAATCTGTACGAATGTTTAATGTCGTCTTGTTGACCCCAGGAACAGGAGCTGCTACTTAGGTAGTAGATAATGGGGATCCAAATAAATAAATAAAAAGAATCGACTTCATTATTTTTCCACAAAGAGGAGAAATATTTGAAATAAATATGTTAGGAGTTACAGTCTGCAGAACTCTGTAGTTAGAATGAAACTCCGTTTAAAACAGTTGAATCAAATGTTTCTATAACTTCTTCATCACATCAGGAACTTAAAGCTTCATCCTCACCAACATAAAACTCTGGGATCTGGATCACTTTCCTCCTCTGGATCATGTCTTTCCTCTCCATGAAGAACTTTAGAGGATTGGTTCTCTGTCTGGGGGGGACGAACTCTGGACTCAGAAACCTGGAACAGAAACCAGAATTTAGCTCCGTGTTTAAGACACACATTAAAGCTGCAGTGAACAGCTTTTTTCTGTGTGTGTCGCACAGGTAAATTAGAGTTTATTTTTTAGTATATTATTTTCTTCTTACTTCCTCAGAGATGCAGTAGTCTGTGTTTTATCGATGATCACAGATTAATTAAAGTTTATGTTATTTTCTTCTTACTTCCTCAGAGATGCAGTTGTCTGGGTTTTATCGTTGATAAGTGATTAATTAAAGTTTATTTAGTTTATTTCCTCTGATTAATTAAAGTTTATGTTATTTTATTCATACGTCCTCAGAGATGCAGTAGTCTGTGTTTTATCGTTGATAAGTGATTAGTTAAAGTTTATTTTCTAGTTTATTTCCTCAGATTAATTAAAGTTTATGTTATTTTCTTCTTACTTCCTCAGAGATGCAGTTGTCTGTGTTTTATCGATGATCACAGATTAATTAAAGTTTATTTTCTAGTTTATTTCCTTAGATTAATTAAAGTTTATGTTATTTTCTTCTTACTTCCTCAGAGATGCAGTAGTCTGGGTTTTATCCACGATCACCGGTTTGGACGGAGGGACGAATTTATCGTTTGTTCCCGCAGAGAGACGGAGGACAGACGTGGACAGGTATCCTGAGAGAGAAAATAACATGATTACATTAAAATAGATACACCTTTAATAAAGTCAAACCTCTCAGAACAGGATAACAGTTTGAAGACGTCTGTTACAAAAACAACAACATTTAGATCCACAGCAGCAGAAAAATCCGGTTAAATTCTTTATTTAATATTTACTTACGTTCATTCTGCAGTTGTAGATTTCTTAATAACCTTAAATTAAAGATACATTTGTCCAGCTTCTTCACACAGGCCGCCATGATTGACCTTCTTCTGTGATCACATGCGGGGATGGGAGCCGAGAAGGGCAAAAGTGGACGAAACGCGATTCGACCGCACCTGCAATGTATACATTTATCCACGAGGGGGCGCAGCTGTTTAGATTATTGTAGAACAGGAACCAGTTTACTGTCCAAGTATCTGCCGTCCTAAAAAGACCTAAACTACAATATTTTTACAGGTTTTTTTTCATTAATTATTCTAAAGAAAGTGAAAAACAAAACTGTCTAAAAAATAAACGTTTTTCATGTCATGAGGGAATCTTACTAAAAAAATCTAAATAAAGTTTAAACATGAATTTAATGTTAACATAGTTCAGTGTCTTCTGTACAGACTTACCATCTACATTAGACAAACTCCTTCACTGTCCATTTTTAATTTATTCCTCGGATTTTGACCCAACATGAGACGGTATTTTTCACTATTTATTGTTGTTTTATGTTATGTACAGCACTTTATGTCAGCTTTGGTTGTATTTAAGTGCACTCTTTCTAAATCACGTCTTAAAACTCATTTATATTCCTTTAGTTCAGCATTACAGTTGTGTGATCTCTGTCCTTTTATCACTTTTATTTCTTTTATGCTTTTGTGTTTTTATTTCATTTTAAATGTTTTTTTACCTGATTTTATTTATTTCCTCTTGATGTTTTCTCCAGTGTCTGTTTTTTTAATGTTATTGTGCAGCACTTTAGTAAACTAGGATGTTTTTTTAAATGTGGATTAGATTATATTAAAGTTAGGCTCTCGGGTTGAGCCTGATCATAAACCTGCTTTATTTTGATCATATATGTGAAACATTAGAGCAGGTGTATTTGACTTTGTTGGAGGTAAATCAGAAACTAAAAGCCTGTGGTGTGAGTTTTATTTGACTTAAAGAGCTTTGACTGTTTTTTAAAGTGTGATTTATAAATAAAGTGGATTATATTAAAGTTAGGCTCTCGGGTTGAGCCTGACCATAAACCTGCTTTATTTTTATCTTATATGTGAAACATTAGAGCAGGTTTATTTGACTTTGTTGGAGGTAAATGAGAAACGAAAAACAGGTGCAGTGAATGTTTGGAGGTTTTACTGTGAAGGAACTCGGGGTCTTTGAGACCATGAAGCAGCAGCAGCAGCAGCAGCAGGAGAGAGTCGGTCGGTCGGTCCTCCAGGTGGGCTGCCTCCCCTCCACAGACACCAGCAGCAGCAGCAGAGGTCCGCAGTAGTTCCCGGAGCTCCGTCCCAGAGACTGCAGCTCACAGGAGGACTCGGACCCGGACCCGGGCTGGGAGGAAGATGAAGGGAGAGGACTAGAACCATGGGAGCTCACACCTCCTCCTAAAAGAACCGATGCTGTCTCTCCTTCTTCTCCTTCTTCTTCTGCTGGACTTTCTAATGTTCGAGAGGAAGCTCCAAACTCTGAGTCTTCAAGGATGTTCCTCCTCTCAGATGGGACTCTCTCAGCCCTCACTTCTGCCTTCCTGGTGGGACTAACGTGTCTGACCGTGATCTGCGACCACACCGAGGGATCCTCAGACTTCTCAGGTCAGATTATTGATCCTTATTGATGGTTCACTTGTTTGGTAAACCCGACAGAGTAACCTGCGTGGGTCTGCAGCTCTTGTTGTTGTTTTTGTGTTTGGTTGTAAAACTCTGTAAACTTTTCTCCTGGTGAATCGGAGCTCCTCGAAGGTTTCACGTGATTTAAAGTGTGGAGTAAAAACTCTCAAACACTCAGGAGGAGGTGGAGGTGGTTGTTTCTGAAGTGTGTCGCATCAACTTCTCCCCGTGTCTGTGGCGTGCTCCAGCATGCACACTGACTGCAGTGATTTCCCCACAAACCGAGTGGGAGAGAAAACGACTTAAAGAGGCGGAAAAGACCTGAATCCTGCTTATCTTAGTGAAGACTGACCCACATAGACAAACAGCTTTAAAGTCTCTTTAGTGCTGGGGTTCGAGGTTCGAGGGATTTCTACTGAGACACATCATGTCCTGTTGATGCAATGGAGATAGATGGGATAGTGTGGTTAATGTGTGACTAGATAGGAACTATTGTGCAGACAGAGTAGGTGTCTCTACATGTGGATATTCAGCTATAGAGTCTTTGTACGGTGGCCCAGAACAGCCACTGCTGCATATAAAAAATGAATGCAAAAAAAAAAAAAGTCACAACAGAAATTACCGATGCAAAATGGTGGAATTCATGTTTATGTTGCTCCCATGAGTCATGATGACATCTGAACTTATTTTTCAGTTTAATATTTCACCCCAAAAATAATTAAACTGTGTTGGATGGGAGGTCCTCTGTTACGGTGGCTGAGAACCGCCACTGCTGCAAATAAAAAAAGAATGCAAAAAAAAGAGGTCAAAATAGAAGTTAACAATACAAAAAAAAGGAAACAAAAATCCACTGTAAAAAGAAAAAGAAATAGTGCAGATTAAAAAAAATAAAGCCACAACGGAAGTTAATGAGGAAAAAAAAAAAAAATGATGATGCACCGGAGTTTTACAATCTAGACACAGAAGATGACAGCGAGAACACAGGTAAAGAAGTTTGTGTAAAGGTTATTGATTAATTTCGCTTTGTAAACTTTTTAATATGGTTTGACCATGTAGCTCCTGAGTCGATATGAAGTTGAACTGAAGCTAACACGACACCGACTTCCTCCAGACTTCTTTTTCTTGCATTCTTTTTTATGAGCAGCAGTGGCGGATCTCGGCCACCATAACGGGGGACCTCCCAACCAACACAGTTTGTTTTTTTATGGAGGTAAAATATTAAACCGAAAAATTAGTCCAGATGTCGTCATGACTCATGTGAGCGACAAAAACACATGAATTCAATGATAATTTCAATCATTTTGCATCGGTAGCTTATGTTGTGACTTCTTTTAACCTTTTTTTTTTTCTCTGGCACTTTTTTTTGCGTTGTTAACCTCTGTTGTTGTTGTTTTTTTTCTTAAATCCGCACCGTTTCTTTTATATTTGCAGCAGGCTTTGGTTTCTTTTTTTTTTTTTTTGCATTGTTAACTTCTGTTATGACTTTATTTTTTGCATTCTTTTTTTATTTGCAGCAGTGGCAGTTTTCGGCCACCGTATCTCCCTCCTGTTTAATCATGTTTAACCTCATTGGTTATATCCGGCTCTGTCTGCCACTTACCTCAGGTTTATGTGCCTGATTGTGGAGGCTGTTCTACCTGCCACCTTAACCTAATGAGTGATTCCGGGTCGTGTTAGAGGCTGTTGGTCTGCGCTGAGCTCCAGGCGAGGCTGCAGGTTTTGTTTACTGTGCCATAAAACAGGAAGGGAGCTTTGTGTCGGTGTTAATTGGCCTCTAATGGGTCTAATGGTTGGAAACGAGGAGGCTAGGACTGCAGGGAGAGGTGCTAAAGAGCAGATGTATGTTCCCGGCTCCTCCTGTGTGTGTGTGTGTGTGTTTGTGTGTGTGTGTGTGTGTGTGTGTGTGCGTGCAGAGGCTTCATGTTGCTGTCTAATGAACTGCTAAAGATCACGGTGTAGTGAGGGCTGTTAACAAGGTTGCTGGTTTAATTGCCGCACATGTGTGAGTGGCTGTTGGGTTTTGACATTATTACAGTAATGAAGCTGATTAAATGGAGGTTCGTTATGAGACCGGCTGCTGCTGCTGCTGCTGGAGGATTCCTGAGCAGGTTGACTAAAGTTACAGCCGCTCTGACAAAGTTTTTTAACGTCACAGAGACGAGAAAATGACGAAAATCTCAACTTTTGTGGGAAGTTTCAGAAAGTTTTTAGCTTCTAAAACAAGCTAGGCTGAGGTAAGCAGTTAGCATCGTAGCATGTCAGAGAAAATGATTTTTTAAAATAAATATAAAGTCAGACTGTAAGGTCTGTCCTCCAGTGATTTCCCTCTGACATAAAAGGAATAACTTTTCATGTTTCCACCAACAATCCATCGTCTCACGTGTGTCTAACCTGCTGTGTGGAGTTCTGCAGGGTTCTGTTCTTGGCCCGTTTTATTTTTGTTAAACCTGACGCCGCTCGGTCAGCTGATTCACGGTTTTAAAAATGTGTCTGATCACTTTTACGCTGACGACATTCAGAGTTTCACCTTTTCTCACCCCTGTCTTATCACGTCTTCACTGGCTAATTTTAGTTCAGACTTTCCGGGCGCTGCACGGTCAGACCCCCCAGTACATCACTGATTTGTTGTGCCCCTGCTCCCCAGGGCAGACCTTTTGGTCATCAGGCCAGAACCTCCTAATGGTGCCGAAGACCCGTTTTAAAACTGGGGGGTTTTAAGACCGTAGCCCCCAGACTCTGGATCGATCTGCCCCTCTCCCTCCGTTTGATCAACTTTTAAAAATCAGTTAAAGACTCTTTTTAAACTTTTAATGGACAGGGTTCAGTTTGTCTCTTTTATATCTGCACTTATTTCCGTACTCACCTGAACTGTATTCATATTTGTGTCTGGATATGATCTTATCTCTTTTGTACTGTTTATTTTTATCTAATTGGACTTATTTTATGAACAGCGTTTTGTGATTTGTATCTGTGAAAAGAGCTCTATAAACAAACTTTACTTCCTTACTAACAGACTGATAGTTGACCTTCTTACAGTATCAGAACCATCACCAGATTAACTCCTCTGTCCTGATTTTGGACCTGGGATCAGGTTCTTCTACTCTAAAGTCCCAGATCCAGTCTTGTTTTGTTGGTCCAGGTCTTTACAGACCTGCTGACCGAGCCCCCCCATGAATGAATGAAGGGATGAGAAAAAGGACGATCACAGCAGAATACCTCCGGGACAAAGACCTCCTTCAGTCCTCACATTCTTGTCCAGCTGGAGTCTCCCTGGAGACCCTCAGAGAGGAGGGCTTTGATTGACAGGTGGTGTCAGTGTGCAGGGTGACAGGAGGAGCCGGTTCAGGTCTAACATCTGTCAGTCAGACAGTGGAGACTCTGAGAGGAGTGGACCCAGAGGGCTCAGAGTCCAGGAACCATCTGTAGGTGTTTAGAATCCTGAAAATATGATTGAATTCATGTTTGTGTCGCTCACACGAGTCATGACGACACCTGCAACAATTTTTCAGTTTGATATTTCACGTTCATAAAGTTGAAGGTTGTTTGTTGGGAGGTCCCCTGTTACGGTGGCCGAGAGCTGCCACTGCTGCAAATAAAAAGAATGCAAAAAATAAAAAAAAGCCACAACGGAAGTTACCAACGCAAAAAAAAAAAAAAAAAAAAAAAAAACCGGTGCAGATAAAAATAAAATAAAAAAGCCACAACGGAATTTAACGACAGAAAAAAAGTCGATGCAAAATATTAAGTTACTCACTGTAAAAATAAAAGGATGCAACAAAAAAAGCCACGACCGAAGTAAGAAATGATGCACTGGAGTTTTACGATCTAGGCACAGAAGACGACAGCGAGAAGACGAGCGAAGAAGTGGAACGGTTATTGATTAATTTCACTTTGTAAACTTTTTAATGTGTCGTGTGGTTAGACCATGTAGCGCCTGAGTCAATATGAAGTTAAAATGAAGCTAACTCTACACCGACATCCTCCAGATCAACGTGGTCGTCTTCTCGCCGTCGTCTTCTGTGCCTAAATCTTAATACACCGTTGCATCATTTCTCACTTCTGTTGTGGCTTTTTTATTTGTATCCTTTTATTTTCACAGTAAGTAATTTTTTTTTCTTGTTTCGGCACTTTTTTTTGCTTCTTAAACTTCCGTTGTTTTTTTTTTTTTAAACTGCTCTGTTTCTTTTTTATTTGCAGCAGGCTTCAGTTTTTTGTTTTTTGTTTTTTTTTGCATCGGTAACTTCCTTTGTGACTTCTTTTTTTTTTTGCATTCTTTTTTTTTTTGCAGCAGTGGCTGTTCTGGGCCACCTTACCCTGTTATCATCCTCTATGATTAGAGGTATGGAGTGAACTGTGCAGCAGTCGGAGCCTCCAGGCTAAGAGCTAGCATCTTCGCTAACTCTTGTTTGTTTTGAAATGTTGTTGTTATTTCTGAGGCTAATCTGACTGTGAGGTTTTCCTGTCTGTATTTGTGCGGGTTAGTGAGTATTCAGCTGTGTCTGTTTTCCTCTCATAGAAATGTTTATTCTCTCTGCTCTGGTTTTTTCTAAATACTGACAACACTGATCTAAAGTCACAGAACCATGTGGATTAATTTCTTGTATCTGTAAACACGCCTCTGTTAGGTGTGTAGGATAAAGTTGGACAAAGCTCTCTCTATAAAGACTCAGTCTGTCGTCACTCTGCTGTTACAGTGAACACCTCTTCCTCCCTCTGCTGCTTTAAACCCTGCAGGCAAAACCCCATTTAACCCCATTCAAAAGAAAGGGAGGCTGCTGAGGGGCCGAGAGGTCAACTGAGGTCAACCCACAGTGAGTGTGAGTGTGTGGTTAGGGGGAGTTATCATCCATCTTGTTCTGTGTTCCTCTTTGTTCCCCTCCTCACACATGTTGATCACGGTCGGCTGAGGGTGAATGAAAGTCAAACAGAAGAGCAGATTTTAGGTCAGGAGCTGTGAGGAACTTCAGAGGAGGATCAATAATCAGTTTAATGTGAAAGAGTCAGATTCACTCTCTGATTAAACACTCGAACTTCACTCTGACTCTGTGAGGTATCTTGTTCTGGTCAGATTTATTATCCTGAGGAACGGTTGTGTTGATATTCTGTCTTTGTAGGAGACGTCACGCCTCATTTCTGCTCTTCACCGTCCAGTTATGAACCAGACGTCTCAGGGAGAGGCGAACAGGAAGTAGATCAGCCTCTTTCTTCTTCTTCTGTCCAGGTTTTGTTTACTACCTGCTTCTTAGCAACACATTCATGCTCTTCACGCTCAGTTTCAGTCAGACTGAGGTGTGATTTAACCGTTTATTTTCTGCTTTATTCTCACGTCGGCTCATCCCGACGCTCCTGTGAAGGTTCGGTCTGTCTGTGTTCACACACGTGCCGCTCGCTGTCAGAGTTCGCTCAGTTTTTCAGAGGAAGCGCTCGTGTGATTACAGCTCATGTTTTGTTTTTCTGGAGGCTGATTGGCTGATTGTTACTTTGTGAAGTACACACACACACTTTAAACACACACTTACACACACACACCTCTACCAACAGCCCAGAGCTCCTCCAGGGTCCTGGATCTCTAATCCGCTCAGATTCTGGACTGGCCCCTGGTAAGGGGAGCACACCGAGCCCTCGCTCTGCGCTCTCAGACCCCCTTTCCTTCCCCTCCCCCACCCCGGCCCTCCTCCCACCTCCTCCCACCTCCTCCGCTCCTCCCTGGGGCTTGCCTGATCACTGTTTCTGTGTCTGAGTGCGCCAGGTGAGCTCTGTCTAAACAAATCCTGCCTCCCTCTTGTTTTGTCTACTGCGGTGGAGGCAGGCGGCGAGGTGGACCGCCAGAGCCCGACATAAGGCGGCTTTATTCCCCCGCTGAATAGAGAAGGCGGGGCTGCTGCTGCGTTTCAAAGAAGAGGGACTGATCAGGACTTTAACGGTGGGCTGGTGTCAGAACTGAACCCTGGAGGGTCCAGGATCCGTCTGTCAGACCTCACCTGTATTTTCAGGGTCGACTTTGTTGACGGCGACACACTTCAGGAGTTTTAGTTGATCCTAAATCCACTTATGGAGTCCAAATCCTGATAAATCCATTTTGGATTGACTTTGATAATTTTATGTAACAAAGGTCAGAGGTCACTCCAAACTAAATAAAGTCATCCCATATTCAGTCATTTAACCGTCTTTGTTTTTAGTTTAACTTTTAAACTCTAAACTTTCATATTTAGACGTTTCTCAACATTCAACACAGAAACAAACTGAGGTGAGGAGAACCTGTGTGTGTGTGTGTGTGTGTGTGTGTGTGTGTGTGTGTGTGTGTGTGTGTGTGTGTGTGTGTGTAATTTAAGGTGGAAGTCTGCGTGGCACAACATGATCGAGATAAAGACATGACCTACAGTGCAGGCCCCGCCCCCTGGATACAATAAGTACACAAACAAACACTCATAATGCGGAGGCTGACATCATGTCGGGGAACGACGAGCTCAGAAGTTCCTGAAGTTTATGATGAAGGGATGAAGAGGAGTTCATCTTCTCCTCATGAATCACGTCTTTGGAGGACGTTTTCAGGTGGAGGGACACAGACTCCAAAAGTGGTGACAACATTAATGAACATATGTGTTTGAAGGAGGCGGAGCCTCAAAGGTGAGCTCTGCGTGTCAAAAATTGATCCAGCAGCAATTGGCGGACGTCGAGAATCGCTGTCATTCTGGAAATGAGCCGTTCTGGATGCAGTGAAAATTCCAGGTTGGACTGTTTGTTAGATTGAAGAATCAGACATAGATCGACACGCTGACATCCAAACACAGGACTGTGAGGGTTTCAGTAAGACCGTCCTAAACCACATTCTGCAGCAGCATGGCTCAGGTGGAGACGAGTCCTGCAGACCAACTCAGCTGACTGCAGAAGTTTACAGCTGTACCTACGCAGCAGCAGCAGAAACTCTCCACTGGAGCTTTAATTTCCTGGGAAAATGTCCGACTCTGTGGAGCAAAAACAAAAACAACCCAAACTGACCAAAATGTTTAAATAAGCTCAGGAAGACGAGTTAAATACAAGTGTGTCCCACTCTGTGTCCCACTCTGTGTCCTGAGTGACACTTAGTTCCCACACTGTCACTCCCCCTCAGAGCAGGACTCTTGTTTACGTCTCGTTTCGCCTGATTTAAAGCGAACAGCCTGTTTTTTTCAGCACATATAGGTTATAATAATGCCGTGTTATCAGCAGACGGAGGGTTTGGCTGCTGTTCAAACAGAAATCACTATCATCGCTGTGAGAGAGTGGATGTCACTTTTTAGACGGCGCCCGTCTCCAACGTGATTTTGGGCTGAAACTCCCAAATTAAACCCAGACTGTGACCTCCTCGGCAGGCTGTGGTGGAGGTCTAAGTACCGCTCTGAACCACGGGTGGATGTTTTAATCAAGACTTATAATCAGCAGTAAACCGCTCAGCCCTTAATCAGATAACCATTATTTAGCATAGATTTCTGTTTATCCGTAAATCAGCCAATCAGGAGCGGAGCTGACTGTTTGTGTAGTAATAACTGTTATTGGAAAAAAGGGGGGGTTGGATGTATATGCAGACATTACAGGTGTGTGTTTGCACTTGCCCTCTCCTGCTCAGAGTCGGTGAGAAGAGCTCCAAAGAAAACACCGTCAAAGATTCTTCAGAGACACGGCGGCGTTGGTGCGTGCAGCGGCGGCGGCGTGGAGCCGGTTATCTCTGTTAGTGTTGTTATTATTAATGAAGCCTCATTTGTCACATTCAGAGCAGAAAGCTTAAAGAGAATCAGATAAACCTGCAGCTGCAGGTCCACACCCTCCACCCAGGAGAGACTGAGCCGTGGATAAACAGAAACAAGTGTGGAGGAAGAGTCGACGGAGGGAGGAGGAGCGCACCGCCAATTATCTCCTCGTGTCCACCCGACGGCTGAATTATGGCCTACACACACACACTCACATGCACGTGCAGAGAGCAGTGCACACCTCTCCTGCCTCTAACAGAATGTAAACCACGCTTTGATGCCCCCCTCCCTCGGTGTTTCCTGGGAGCTGATTTATTCCCACTTTAGGAGCTGACATGTCCGCCCTGATCCGGCTCCTCGTTCTGTTCCTCCCTCCATCCTTCAGTCCTCGTCCTCTCTGTGGACCAACGCCGTCTTCAGGAAAAGAACATTAGTGATTATAGTTTGATTAAACCCCCAGAGGGAGAGGGAGAGGGAGAGAGAGGGAGAGAGAGGTAGAGAGGTGGGGCACAGAAGGGCCAGTCTGAACAAGGAGGCATTGTGTCGCCCCCCAACTGTGTCGGACTGACAGTCTGCATTACAACACGCTACAGCGGCCCGCTCCCCAAAGCTCTGCTAATCTGTAGCTTTACTGCCTCCTTAGTTTGTTCAGGTAAAGGGGGGGGGGGGGTTAAACTGAAGCTGCTTCAGTATCGTGTGTCTGTAGATTTACAGTTTAACGTAAACAACAAGAAAACATGTCGACATGTTGGATTTCCTCTTATTCTGAAGTCGGTGGTTCGACCTCTCTGAACTCAGAGTTCATTTTTACCTACAGATCAGTTTAAAGCTCCAGTGAGGAAGTTTTTTGTCTGTGTTGACTTTGGCGCCCCCTGTGGTCAAAATCACAGCTCTTTGACTCCGTTCATTTACAGTCTCAGTTTAATCGGACTAAACTCACAATTCGTCTTTTTCTCTGAATCAGACTTCTCTCCTCGTCCTCGTTTACATGCAGCTGAGAAAACTGAATTATTAACGTGAACGTGTCCTCCTCCCCAACACTAGGGGGCGATATGGGTCTTTTCAGCGGCGCTGTTTCCGAGCCCATACAACCGTCAACAACAACAGCAGGTCGGTGTCAGACGTACTGGAAGGACACAATCTACTGCTTATACATCTATGTGTCTGTCTTTATAGAGACAACTCGTTATCGCGCGATCGAACGTGAATCTGCGGGTTCTTGTGAGTTCTCATGATTCCTGCTGTCTGTAATCCACCACAGAATTTGCCTCACAAACAGATCCAGTAGGAATTGGCGTGCAGTGAAAATCGCCGCCTTTCCGGACCAGAGTCGTTCCGGATTGCAGTGGAAATCCCGGCTTTTATAACTTCTGCATAGTCCCAGTTCAACCAGTGAGGCCGAGGACCAGTTCTGAGTCAGTCCTCTGTCCATCTGACCCCTCTGTGCCTGAGGCGACCGTACCCCCCCGCTCCACACTTAGAGGCGGTGGGGAGGACGGCTGAAGAAAGACACATCTGCCCACAGCAGACCTCCTCTCCTCCTCCAGCTGGGTCTCTGGTCTCTGGTCTCTGGTCTGGGGTCAGTGAGGAGGCGGTCTGGCAGTCACCCAGCTCTCCCGGGTCGTAAAAGTGACCATTAAAATGACAGATCCTCTTCCTCTCTTTGTGTCACCCACTTTCTCCGTGGGTGTCAGGACATGTACCCAAACACCGGAGGGGGGTTTCTGTGGACCTCTGCTGGACCTCACCCCCCTCCATGTCCCATCGAGACTCACAGCACACACTCTGTGTTAGAGTGACCTTTGACCCTGGGGGGTCATTAGGGTAGGCACGTGCTAACAGAGGTCATGGGAGGTTTGGGTGGGGCCAGTGTTTGGTTTTTGGGGGGCTCCCTGGGGTAGACTTAGAGACCACTTTCCTGCTGTGAGGCCATCATCAAGTCCAGCAGATGTTCTTCAGCCTGGACCCCCAGGACGGGGTTTAGAGACCCGACCCACAGGTGGAGGAGGAGGGAGGAGTGTTCATCATCTTTGAGTGCCTGAAAAGCCAAGGGACCGAATGAGAGAGCACAAGCACTGACTGTCTACAGAGACCTCATCCTGAATCCTTTCAAAATAAAAGTCTCCATGTTTGCAAAGACATTTTACTAAAGGTTAACACTTCGAACTTCGTTAATATAGTTCACAGTTTCTCAGGATCTATACCGTGTATCTCTACGGGATCAAAAGTGTTCAAAAGTTTACCCTTTAGTCGATCTATCGAGGGTTTCCAGACATTTCTACACCTGCCACAAAGTTTACAATCCAGCCAATCAAAATAGGTGTTTGATCAGAGACGATTTATGGTAAATCAGCAGTGATATACGGTGAAAACAGGATTATTGATCAGATTGTTGTGATAAAAAAAAGATCGCTATTGAAATAGTAAAAAAGGCCCAGAAGAATGAGTGTAAATATGTCAATAGTTTCTGTTGTGTGTTTGTTCCAATCCCAATATTTCTTCTCCTGATAGACTTGAGAGGATGATGTTCAGGTGAGGAAAGGCTTGGTCACTGTAGATTTATTAGTACTGTTGGGATCAAAAAACTCAAATTCTTCATTTTATTTCATGACAGTGTAGAAACATTTGACTCCAACCTTGGATCAGATTTATTGATTATTATCATCAGGATGAAGTCTGACCACTGACCTCAGTTTATTTAAATCAAAGTTAAAGACGCACCTTTTTAGACTTGCTTTTAACTCTGACTAGATAGTCCTGTACTTATAGGTTTTTAGCACTTCTACATACTATTTTATTGTATTATTTTATTTTCATATTCATTTTTATTATTTAATCGTTCTTGTATTATTCTATTCTATTGTATTATTTTATAATGGTATTTTTTCTTGTGTTATTTTATTGCTCTTATGTAAAGCACTTTGGGTACCATTTGGGATATTGTAAAGTGCTATATAAATAAAATTTGATTGATTGATTGATTGATGAAGTCAAATCTCTGACAGTGAAGGGGAGGGTGGATGTATCGCTGTAGTTATTGAAATAAAAATGAACAGATAATCACAGTCGACGCTGTAAAGAGGACCCCTTCACATACACACAGACATACAAATACAACCTTTATAGATTTCAGCTTTTCTAAAGTTTCCTGTTCTAACCAGACAGAGTTTCCTGTTTGTGTTTCTGGTCGATTCACTGAGGAGCGTTCGGCTCCAACACTCAGACTGTTGTCGTCCTGAAAGCTGCTGCTGATGATGGATTCATACGTCTGAGTGTGAACAGGGGGAGGGGGGGGTTATATGGAGCCAGTTAAAGGTTGTGTCTCTGTGGGTTTGAGTGTGAGAGTGTGTTTGTGTGTGTCGGTGTTAGAAAGATAAACCATCTCAGAGCAGGAGGAGGAGGAGGAGGAGGAGGAGGAGGAGGAGGAGCGGAGCGAGCCATCAGAGTGTTTGTGTTTGTGTCTCTGATTTTAATGACCTCAGCTGCTCCGGCTCCGGCCTCTGACTGTGTGTGTCTCTGTGTGTTTATGTGTGTGTTCAGAGGAAGTGTAAGCAGCTCTGCCTTTCAAAATAAAAGAACATTGCCTCAGGATAATGATACATGCAGGCTTGTTTGGAGTTGGTAAAGCTCCCCTATCATCCTGTGAACTCGGCTGACTGTCAGTTCTTCAGTGATCCAGATCCAGATCCAAACACCTGAACAGGTTCAGTGTTTTCCTCATGGTTCCTCGCTCTGACGACAGACTGAAAAGGTGAGAGGAATGATATACAGATCTAGATGCTGCACACTCTCTGACCTGAAAAAAGGCTGGACTGTTTCTCCTTCAGAGTCAGGGGTGAGGGGCTGAAGTCCGTGTTTTTAAGGTCCTCCTCTGTGGGGTTAAATCCAGGGACAGACCCTCATGTGAGTAAGCCCCCTCAGCTGACCCCGCCTCCTCACTCAGTCACTGAGCTACAGTGTCGCCTGTGAACATGAGAACATGAGAACATGAGAGTGTTTAAAGGCTCTGAATCTCCTCCACAGGTACGACCGTCAACATCTAAATAAAGTGTCATTGATTATAAATCAATAAATCAGCTTTAAAGTCAATGTTTACGTTTAAATTTGTTTTAAAGATCAAAACTTTCATGAAACTTTGAGTTTTTGTTTTTATAGACAAGTATTTTTAAAATGGACTAAAAGAGATTTTATGAAGTTCTTTAATTCCAGCCTCTTAAATCTAAATTATACAAATAAATATTATAGTTGAATTATTCTCTCTGGATTATGAACTGAACAAAAAGGTCTTTGCAGAAACACTTACACTTATTTTTAATACATAAAAACCTCTCAGCGCTGCGGTTTGTGTTTATGTCCAAATCTGTAAGAGTCAGAGGTTTAATTTTAAAGTCTTTACAGGATCAAATTATCGAATAATCAGGATTAATAATCAGGATTCAGTGGTTGTTGTTTTAATCAGCTGCTGACTTTGTCTCTGTTCACTCTCAGTCTGTTAAATCTGATTGGTTCGTATGAAGAATAACGTCCTCCTGTAAACATGAGGACAGATGTTCAACATTAGATCAGAGCTGTGAACGTTCAGAGGAGATTTGAACAGTTTAGTCTTCTTGGTTTGTAGCTGATGAAGTAAAATCTCTAAATTAAACACCTGAGATGTTTGTTCCAGACCTCAGATTCGTCTCTTTCTGCACGTTTGTTTCCATGTTTTAAAACTGATCCAGATTTACTCTCTAACCCAGTACATCTCTGCGCTTGTACCCGAACTCTGTGCTGCGGTGTGATTAGCAGGAAAGTAGGCTAATCCAGAACCGGCCTATAGTAGCAGGACTAATTGATTGTAAGCTGAAGAATGCGGCGTATTCGAAGAATGCCTTTTTTCGACCTGAATCTGACGGGCTTAGCGCTGAGGAGGACTGGCGTTGGCACGTTTGCTGGTGTAGCTTTCCTTTGACATCACGCTCTTTGTGTAGCTGTGTGTGTCCTTGTGAACTTTTGCTCCTTTTTTCTCCTGTTTGAGGTTTTGAATGGAGCTTGTGTATCTTCGACTCGGGTACAGTTTCAGTCTGCAGATCTGTGATTTAGGAGGTTTTTTTCTCATGTTAAAGCCGGGCTCGGCTCTGGGATCCTGAACAGTCTCTGTGGTCTATAAGGAACAGTAATTACTACAAGACTTAAAGCCACCAGCTCCGGCTCTCTGGACCTCTGCTGACACACTTCTCCTTCTTTATCAGCGTTTTTTCACTCCCTTCTTCTCTCCTTTAAAACCACCACTCCACTTTTTAAAGATGTAAATCAACACTCGGTGTTTTTTTCAGATCTGACACTTTCCCTTCCCGTCACTCATCTCTACTTTGACTTTTTAACATCTCCGTCCTCTCCCTCCTCCTCCCTCGTCTCCTCCAGCCTCCTCCAGAGTGCGGTCTGCCTCCTCCGTCTTTGAGGTAAACCTCTCCTCTCCTCAGTAATCACCACATAAAGGGAATTCCTGCTCCAGCGGCAGTTCTGCAGCTCTGCATCTCTGAAATCTGGATGGCTTGTTGGCTATAATTTGCTTAAAATAACAGCAATAAAAGTTATGAAGCTGTAAAAGCCTAAATACCCAACGTTTCCAGATGAAACGGGAGGCAGGCTTTGATTGTGGAGCTTTAAGGATGTGTCAGGTTACTCTGAGGCTTCTCCACAAACTTTCACCGTCAAATCTTAAATCTCATGATCTATTTATAGAGATCTCCTTCTGATTATCACTGAAACACAGAGTCAGTAAATCTGAGATCTGATCGGATGTTCTGATTATATTATTAGAATCTGAGCCTGAAGTATCAGGACACATCAGCTGGAGCTCGAGCTGCGGCGTGTTTTTCATGCTGTGGGCTCAGCCAATCGGAGGAGGAGGCATCTTTCAAACGCAGAGGGGAGACCTGAGCATGAGCAGCAGACTACACTCCCCCCTCCTCAGAGATACCTGTCACTCTGTCTTCAGGCAGAAACTCGAAACCTGAACGGAGTTTCCTTCAGCCGTCTGAGACAGAGGAGACACGCAGGACTGGACCAGGAACCAGGTCTAAAGGAGAACCTCTTAAAGTCCACCAAAGCCGGGACTCAGGGTGAGGTGTCCCGTCCTGACCCAACAAAAGCTGCAGATCCTTCACAGTCAGGAGTCTCTTTGCTGTGTTTTCAGGACGACACCAGACCGGTTTACCTGCAGGACTCTTAAGCTAAACTGCTATAATCCCTGCAGAATAAGCTCCTCCCCCTTTCTCAAAATTTTCTGCAAACTCATTAATATCTGTGATGAGAATCTGAGAGAAACAAAAATCTGTCTCCTCGCCGCCATGACCTTTTTGTGGATGAATCCAAAGAGTGGTTTTCATGCAGCGTAGCGGCGATTCCTGAGGTAGCAACTCTGCGTCTGGACAGCTGGATTAAAGGTGTTGGTGGAGGTGGATTAATCACATGATCTCAGCGTTCGTCAAAGTTCTCATATTAGATATCAGATACAACAACAGTGGGATTAAAGCAGCAGTTGACAATACCGTTGAGTTTCTCAGGAGCGATAGACGAGCTGAAACTTCAGGTTATTCCTCAGACCTCCTACAGAGGTGACGTTATGATGACAGGTCAAAGGTCAAAGTCATAATTCATCACTTTTTTAAATAGTTTTTTAAGTTTTAAGTCAACGTCACTACAGTCATAGTCGTGTTAAACCATCAAATTCAGTTTTTATCAACATTTTACACCACTCCCCATGTTTTCAAGGGTTTCATTTATAAAAGTAAAAACCTGTTTTTTTAATTTACGTCGTCTTTGCCGTTAAAGTCTCATAAATACGTCGTGAGCTGCAGCAGTTCACCATATCGTTGAGTTTCTCATGAGCGATAGACGAGCTGAAACTTCAGATTATTCCTCTGACCTTCTACAGAGGTGACGTTATGATGACAGGTCAAAGGTCAAAGTCATAATTCATCACTTTTTAAAATAGTTTTTTAAGTCAACACCACTATAGTCATAGTCATGTTGAACCCTCAAATTCAGTTTTAATCAACATTTTACACCACTCCCCATGTTTTTAAGGGTTCATTCAATAAGAGTAAAAAGCTGTTTTTTTAATTTACGTTGTCTTTGCCGCTAAAGTCTCATAAATACGTCGTGAGCTGCAGCAGGTTTCAGCTAATCACTGATTTGCGGGGAGTTAAACCCTCCAGCGGTCTTTTTACGCTGAGGCTTGTTGACACAACACAGTGAGCCTTCACTAATCTCCATCATACCTGACCCTCCTCATCGCCAGGTCAGACTTAAGGCTCATCACATGACCACCAATGAGGAGCTAACAATCACAGGGGCCTCTGATTTCAGGCTGTGAACACACGTGGAGGAGAAGAAGACATCCTCAGGCTGGAGATTCAAAGGAGCTGAGAAGCTGTTTCATGGCGAGAGTGACTTGTTTGTACACGACTAGTATCGTGACCGCATCCCCCCGCCGTTTTAGAGAGCGAATAAACAAACCGGCAGACATAATAGTGCGGCGCTTTGTCAGGAGAAAGGTTCGAGAGTCTGCTCCCACATGAAAGAAACAGGGGGGTGAAGGAGAAGAAGAGACGCCTGGGTGTTCCTCCAGCTTTGTTCGACCTTCTGCCTCTGAGGGACACCTGTCATTGGCTGAGGCGGTTTACACAGGTGCCTTAACCCCGCCTGGTTTGTTCAGCCTTGAAAAGGAGGCTTCAGTCATCAGGTAGTGTGGAGGGAACAATAGTGACGATCCTGAAGGAGAGGGAAGAGCAGAGACCGAGGAGTGAGTGAGTGAGAGGGAGGGAGGAGGAGGGTGAAAACACACCTCCAGGGTTGGAGTGAGATAATCTGTTTGTCTTCTTCTTCTTCTCACTTTGAAGGGTGGAGGGGGGCGGATCCAGATGTTGCTCAACCATCTCAAGAAAGACCTCCTCCCTCCCCGGTGGCCCGCCTGAATTCAAACCTCCACTCTCAGTCCTCTCTGTTTCACCCTCTTCTTAACCTCGGCCCGTTTCCACGGTTACCGGACTCTGTTAACTGGAGGGCGGCGCAGACTCGTGGTCTCTCATGGCACTGGATCTCTGCCAAGAACCAGCCCTAATAATGTGATCCTGTTACAGCGAGAACCGCACACCCAGGCCTGTGTGTGTGTGTGTGTACGTGTGTGTACGTGTGTGTGTGTGTGTGTGTGTGGATGCCAGGATCCCTCTCAGCCTGTGAACAGATCAGAGCGTGAAGAGGAAGTTATTACAGATGAGGAGCGACTTCACGGCCGTCATAACGGTCAGAAAACTGAAGTGACGTTAAATTTCAGATTTCATGTCAGAGATACTGAGTCAGAACAAACGCTGATTTTTAATGTTTAAGATAAACACAGAGGATAAAACAGTTTAAACCTCCTGTAAATAGTTATTTTTAACACTGATTAAATGGAAATAAGTACATATTAAAACCTTTTAGAGCTTCAGCGTTAAGATTGACCATATTTATACTGTAACTGAGGGGGAGGAGTCAGTGAACCAGCTGAAGAAACAAACAGTTGTTACATCTTACTCATGAGATATTCACAATTACACGAGAAACACTTGTGCAATCTAATCCAACACCTCAGTTACAGCATGAAGTAAAGTAAACAACAAAAAAACGTAAAACTTAGAGGTTTTCTAAAAGTAAAAATCGATGGTGGTGCTGTGGTGTTATTGGACAGGACGGGTGGATAAAGTGTTCCTAATATTCTGGCTGATGGACGTTTACCTCCTGTCCCTAAATTTGACTCTAAAGCATCTGAATAATCTGTAAAAACCTCCTCAAATACCTCCTCATGTGCACCTGCTCCCTATTTTCACAGGTGGAGTCATGCTGCTTTAATAACGTCTCTATTTAGAGGCAGGCTGACCTTTCGGACGCCCCCGAGTGTCTCCTGTTTCTCTCTACTTTTAACTGTTGCCATGGTGACGGAGGGACAATGTGTGTGTGCGCGTGTGTGTGTGTGTTTGTACCTGCATGTTAGCTAACGCCGTTTGTTTCTTCTTGGGTCTCGAACACTGACTAAATAAAGGCGGTTAGAGGACAGTGTGTGTGTGTGTGTGTGTGTGTGTGTGTGTGTGTGTGTGTGTGTGTGTGTGTGTGTGTGTTGACTTATCTGTAAATGTGTTTGCAGAGCACTTAGAAGGAAGTCGCTCTGGAAGTTGTTTTTAGTTAATAAGTTTTAAAAAGAGTTTTAACTTCCCGTAAATTTGGATGATTCTGTCTGAAGGCTTTGGCATTCTTCTGTAGGCCAACCCCGATGATATTGGGATTATATAAGTTGATATTTTAGTAGAATAAACCCAAAATATTAGGTTGGCAGACAATACATCAAAAGATGATAAGTAATGAATTGTAAAATTGATAAAATCTAGATTAATGTCTAAATATGTGACTGTGGGCATGTTTTTATTTTTAATATAAATTTTAAATTCTTGAAAGGAAGTGGGCTGAGTCCCAAGAACAGAACACTTTTTTCACAAAGTTAAAAGACTTTTTAATTTGATTTGATAATAATTAGGACTGTGGTCACTTATTTATTAACTTGTTCATTAAATTAAATTTCTGGGCCCAGAAAGAGATGTGGAACAGCGGTTAAAAACAGGGTCGTGGATCCGTCACGGCTGTAGATCTGCCTTGCTTTCCGGCTCTGCAGACACGTACTATTGGCCAAACCGCGGGATATCAAAATCCACCCGGATACAGCAATGCTACTTTTTGATTGGCTGTTCGGTAGATATACTTTATTTGATTGGCTTACGTGTGGCACGCAGCTTCTGAACTCTGGGGGGAACTCACTTGATTCCTACCTGTTCCATTGTTAGAGAGGTGCAACTTGGTGGACATCACCGTGTTCATCTAAATGTGTGAGAAATACAGTGTATGGCGTGTGAGCGAGTGGAAATGCGTGAGACTTGAGAGCCCTGATGTTTCGAGTGGGCGAGCTGCCTGAAGCAAGATGGCCGCCATGCGCAGACGGCGGTCTCCATTAGCTAACAGAGTGCGTAAGCCATCTAGCGATTGTAAATATATGTATCTATGGTCGTCGACTTCCTCTTCCTCTTCCTCTTCCAGTAAACAAACAAACAAACAAACGCTGACCTCCAACAGGACAGGAGGAGCAGCTCCATCTTTATCTGCGTCTCCTTCTCCTCAGGCAGGAATGTTAACGGCGTCTTTGTAATGGCGGATGTTTTCCCGCCTGATTGACGGGCCGAATGGCGGCTCTGGAAGAAGCTTTAGCGTAAATTTAGAGACGAGGATGTTAAAAAAGAAAGAGAGAGAGCTTTAGTGTTAGCTCAGAGAGAGGATGTTAAAACAGAAAGAGGAGCTTTTCAACTGAAGCAGCTCGGAGGTTAAATGAGTTCAATTGGTGCTTGTTCTATTAAGCGGTTTATGTAACATCTCTGTTCGTGCTCCTGCTGCCAATTGGTTTGTTTGTGGCAAGTAAACACGGTAACTATCAAGCTAATAACATGTTACCGGAAATCCAGCACGTCTGAACTGCTCCATGATAATATCTGTGCAGGTGTAATGTCAGATGATAATAGAGAGATGATCTGACCATCTGCAGAGTATCTGTGAAGACTGGGTCCATTTTAATAAAGCAGGTATGTTCTCTGTGTAAAGAACAGTAATAATTCAGGCTTTAAAGATGATCCTAGTCTGCAGGTATTTTTCAATATCAAACTCTGGGGTTTCACCCGCGGGCTGATGCTAACAGCTACAGAGGCTAAACCTTAGCTTTACTCTCTGGGTCGTCCTGGTATTTGACCCCCGGAGGCTCTTCTGGATGTATCTGTGATCTGTTAGGACTTGCTCATATGCAGCACCAACAAATCTCCATGGAAACCCTGCATCGCTGAACTAAACAGACCACCTGAGTCTGCAGCTCACCTGCAGGATTTACACAGAACAGCTGAGACCGTTTTATTGTGCTGTTTTTATCCAGGTTTGTCCTTTTCTTTATAGAGTCTGTGATAAAACAGAGAAGACACTGAAATGAATGAGAGTTTAAAAGCACACTAAAATATCACTTCCTGTTTCAGTGTAAACAAACATGTCGTTCATATGTTCAGTGACACTCAGAGTAACAGCTGATCTTTCTGTCTTTAGGTTATCTGTCCAAAGTGCTGAGGAATTACACCGAGCAGGCCTGTGACGGAGACTTCCTGTCAGTTCGCTGCCCGCCCCGCACCACCATCACCGTCCAATCAGCTTTCTACGGGAGGAAAGGAGCCTCAGACCCGCAGCAGTGTCCGCAGACCTACCAGGCTCTCCTCAGATCTTATAACGCCCAGGAGGATGACCGGTACTGCTCCGTGTCTACAGCGCTGCAGGTAAAAAACCAGAGTCCACTCTTTGGGTTTCTTGTTTTCTGTGTCAGATTCAGATCTGAGTTTCTCTGGCACACGTCCCTCTGTCTGGACCCGCTCCAGACTCAGAGACACCCCCGGTTTTAGGCTTTAGACCCTCTAGAGAAAAGGAGTCCTGTAAAATGTTCAAATTGGCCGAGGGGTTATATGGAGGAGCACTGATTATGTAACGCTTTGTGAGGATGTTTTCCGGCAAATTACACTCTCTAAAGAGGAAGCCGGCTCGTATGTTCCCCCGACACAAAGCGATTTCATGGGGTCTTTGCCTTTGCATCCTCTCCTAAATTGGGATGCGGCTGGTCCCGAGCCCCCCACCCCCCCACCCCCACTCTGCAGCACCAATACAAACACTCACAAACACTTCCTGTTCAGCATTCACTGGGCTGTGGGGTTTATTCTTAGCCAGTCTGCCTTCTAATGTCGAACGCTCAGACACAGAGAGAGCTTTGTGCTGAAGTGAGAGAATGACCGAGCCACACACATCAGTTACAACCCTGAGGAATCTCAGTGCCACCTGTCCGTGACCTTTGACCTGTTGGTGCTACAGCATGTGGACCTCCCTGTATGAAAACATTCAGGGTGAGCGGTTCAGACAAAAAAGGTCATTTTGAAGATTAATTGATTATTTCTCCTGATTGACCCTCACAGGACTGATCTGATTTTGTAAACACAGTTTTCTCCTCACAAATCAACAGCTCAGAGAGTCTAAAAAGTCACTGACTGGTGCTTTAATCTCAAATCTGTTAACATGTGCAGAAGATCAGCTGTTTTCTGAAATCTGAGTCTTTGCACCGATGAGATAAAACGTGTGACTGGATCATGATACTCAGAATCATATCAGCATTAACGACCCTCAGTCCGCACAGATGGAGGGACTGTCGCCATGGTTACGTACCTGTCCGGGTCACTAAACCTTTACGGAGAGCTTGTGGAAGGTTCACGGTGCGAACAGGTCCTCTCTCGGAGCACAGCGCCTCGTTGTTTTAAAGACCGGTCAGATTAACAGAAACGTAAACGAAGAAAAACTCTGAGAAGATTATTGAAATTCTCTTCATCCAAATTAGAACCTGAGGATTTTCTGTAACTCGTTAGTTAAACGGTCGATAGTTTCACTGATCCATTTAATCCTTACATTGTAAATCTGTTTGCAGCATTAAAAGACTTTTAATAGATTCTCAGCGCTGAGCCTGATTGGCTGTGAGGTTTGTCCGTTTCTCTGTCACGCCACAAGACACCCTGCTTACCTTTTAAATGAAGATATGGATGTGTGGTAAATAAAGAAAATTACTTAAAGACTTTTTCTTCACCTGGATCAGAGAAACGACAGCATCTTTAATAATCAGGAAAACCATCTTCTTAAAGCTGGAGCTCCTGACGCTCACACAGACTCTGGTTCCTCGGTTTTCTCTCGGTTTGGACCTGGAGGTGTCAGAGGGTTTACTCTGTGATGTTTATTTCTGCAGCGTTTAAAGACATCCCGCTCCTCCAAAGTTAAACTCAGTAAAAGCTCTGAACTGAATCTGCTCCGTCATTCCTGAGGAGGAATGTGCTCACCTGTCCTGATGAAACCAGAGAAGCAGAAGGACGCCAGGAAGAGAGCGGAGGAGCTTTACAGAGATTTCTTTCTGCTCCTCTTTTATTTCTCTTACCTGCCTCTCTGTGCCGGACTCCCAGGGCCATAAGCAGGCCTGTTTGAAGTGGTTTTAGGTTTTCCTGCTGCTGGTCTCTCCGTCCTGGCTGTATTGTTCTCCGTCTAACCCTCACTTTGGTCCTCTCCTCTCTCTCTCTCTTTAGAAAATGCTGGACGAGTGCCAGGACAGAAGGAGCTGTCAGGTCCTCGTCAACAGCCGCGTGTTTGGGACGGACCAGTGTCCCGGCAGCAGTAAATACCTCATTGTGTGGTACAAGTGCAGACCCAGTAAGTCCCTCAGAACGTGCTGACTGTGACACACACACACACACACACACACACACACACACATCTCTGTCCTGAGTTTATCTATTCTCTCTCTTTTTCTCACACACCTTTTCTTTTAATGAACACCTGAGGACTTACAGAGCTCTGAGTAGAGTTGTTTTTAGCAGCCTTTTAGTTTTTATTAGTTTTAGTCACATTCAGACTCTTTTTTTTTTTGTCAAGTTTTGGTCGACTAAAACTCTGAGTATTTAATCTAGTTTAAGTCAGAATAACCCATGACTGTTTTAGTCTTTTTTAGTCCAGTTCTAGTCAATAGTTTTACTGTGAAAGACATAAAGTCTTATTAAAACACAAGTAGTCGTAAACTAAGCAGGGAGGCATGTTAATGCTAATACCATTTGTTTAAATGTAGTGTATGGGTCTAGAATAATGGATGCTGGACAGTGTCAAATAGAAAGTGCCGTTACATCAATGTCTTAACTTACCTCGAGTTCATCATTAAAGAGAGCTTCAGATGTCTTCTTAGATTCATGGTGTTTTTCCTGCTTATTTTACAGTTGCATTTCTCCTTTTTTTTTCCACAACACATTCCATTTTGTTTTCCATTTGTTTGTAATTGAAGTTTGTCCAGATATCATTTCTTATTTTTCTCCCTGACAACCTCGCCATGACTCCAACTCACCCAAAAACGTCTGAAAATGCCGCGAGTTAGGGGGTTGAGGATGTGACGTCGCCTGCATCTGAGCAGGGCGACGCACAGCTGAGGAAACGGAAAATAAAAACAGCGTACCTGAAGAATTTTATCTCGTTTTAGTCAAGGAAAATGAAGAGACATTTTATTTTGTGAACCACATTTGGTCTCCTTCCTATTAGTCAACAATATTGCATTATATATTTATTAGTTGTAGTTATCGTCACAAGAGCACCATTTAAATTTCGTCTCGTTTTCGTCACGTGATAAAGGTTTGTTGATGACGATATTTCGTCATAGTTTTCATGATGAAAGCAGCACTAGCTCTGAGGTCAACGCTGTCTGAGTTAATATTAACACTTATTTACACCGTCTGTTTTTCCTGCTTCATCTGTGAGAATAAAAAAATCGTCCTTCTTCCTCCTCCTCCTCTTCCTCCTCCTCCTCCTCGTCTCTGCGTGAGTCAGGAAGTTAAGAGTATCACTCCAGAGGGGGGGCCTCAGCAGAGCAGTAATCCCGCCTAGATTCTGGCCTCCATTCACGGCTCAGTGCTGAGCCGGGCTGAGCCGTGCGGCGGTTCACAGCGGAGTGACCAGGAGTGGGCATTAATCCACTGATCCCCCTGCCCTCCCCGATTTCTCTTTCTCCAGCGGACCCCGGGGCCAATCAACAGCTCTTTGTTCGCTGTCACTTAACCAATGACTTCTCAGGAGAGGAGAGAAAGGCGGCGGCGGCGGTGGCGTGGGTGTTAGTGAGGTGGATCGGGCAGGTGTCAGTGCCTCTGAAAGGAGAGGTGGATGGAGGAGCGAGGAGTGGAACAGAGAAGGAGGGGCGGCTCCTCTCCTGTTCCTCACATTCCTCCTCCCCACCTCCTCGCTGAAGGAAGGAAGGAGCGGCTGTTTTGATTCGCTGGTCAGTGGAGCTGCTCCGACTGTCACAGGTCACTGTGGAGAGGAATGTCTCTGCATGGCTCTACATGTCCGCCCAGATCCTCCACCTCTGCTTCTGCAGGTTTACTCTCACTGAGGCCTTCTGTCAGACCTCTGGGTTCTGGACTGTAGAGGTCTGATCAAAAACTGGACCTGGTTTCTGCTCCGGCTAACGTTCAGTTTAGAGTCGAGTTTAATTCTCTTTTAATTCTGACTTTATTAAATCAAACTGTTTTTATTTGTTCGTCTGTGTTTCTTTGTCCGTTTGTGGTCATGTGACCTGTCCTCTCTTCTTCTTCTTCTTCTTCTCCAGATGAGTATAAGAGTAAAGTCGTCTGCGAGGAGGAGAGGATGAGGCTGAGCTGCAAACGGGGGATGCAGATCGCCGTTTACTCCGCCATGTTTGGACGAACACAGAGAGGCACTCTGGAGTGTCCGCTCTACCACCGGAGGGCGCCGTCAGTAGGTGAGTCAGCTTCTCACTCATTTACATTTACTGTGTGTGTGTGTGTGGGGGGGGTGCTGTAACAGGCAGAAACCTCGAACAGAACCAGACTCATGTGGTCTCTTCATCCCGGTGTCTGACTCTTTATTTGCTGCAGATCTTCTTAATGTTTTATCCTGATTTCATCTTTTTATCACGTGGACTTTTCTGAACATTTTCAGATTGTCATGAATAAAAAAGTCTCTGAGGACAGAAAGACAGTCGAGTGTTTGAAGAGGCCTTATCAGCCTTATACCTACATTCACTCGGCTTTCTGAGTAGAAATGAGCAGCTACGCTTCCGGCTGGGAAGGTTGAATTGCGTACACGCTGTCCTGGTTTAAACGAGTTAAACACAACTGGACAAAAATGAGTTTACACACATCTGTTGAGGTTTGAGATCGTTAAATCAGACTAAATACTAAGGTGCTGCTGTTAGTGCAGCTCACTGAGAGAGGTGATGGCACCCTGAACCCTCACATGGCCGGTTCATGTTCCTCAGGGCTCTGCAGCCATGATGGCTCTGACCACATTTATAACATACAGTTCTGAGGTCAGTATGAGGAGAAGAGGATGCAAAGTCTGGATTTGCATGACCTGAACCTGAGTCTGTTTTTACATATTCATGATGATGATTTCTGGTTTGGATAAAACCTTCTCCTGCTGATCGTTGATTGGTTTCCAACATCGACACGCTGGCGCCCGTAAACTTTAAACGCCTCATAATTAGATCTGCTGTATTTACCTCCTCCTGTTCCTGAGTGACGTCGCCCTGAGACACTCGTGTGGTTTCTTCTCCACCGTGATAATAACTGATTCATAATTAACCTTCATGATGACATCTCAGCGTTTGGTCTTTCTGCAGCGTGGCAGGAGAGCATGCAGAGGTGTGTGTAAACCTGACTGACAAACACACACACACACACACACACACACATACACACGCACACACACACTGCCAGGGGAATTGGGCTGGAATGCAGATCAGGTGTCTGCGTCTCCAAAGGGAAGACTTTGGCCTGAGAAAAGGGACCAGATTGAGTTTCCTGTGAGTGTGTGTGTGTGTGTGTTTGTGTGTTTGTGCATGTGTAAGTGTGTTTCCGGGTATCCAGGTGTACCCTCGACCCTGTTTGTGGGAATGGCTGTAATCTGGATCCAAACACAGTGACTGTAGTTCAGTCGGAGAGGCTTTAATCTGGAGTTAAAGATGAACTCTGGATTAAATCTAATCTCACTGTTTCATAGGTTTATATAATCCGTCTGTTTGTTTGTGTGTGAGCGTGACTGAAAGAGTGACAGGACGGCTGAACAGGCGTCACTCATCAGGTAATTAGAGACACCTTTACAGACAGGTATTGTGTGTCTGAGTGTGTGTCTGTGTGTGTGTTATTGTGTTTCGAGGAGCTCTCAGGTCCAGGACTTTGAAGCCGGTCCTCTCCTCAGCAGGTGGACCAGGAATGTGCGACAGCGAAGGTGCAGAGTGAGATCTGGTTTCACAGTCCGGATTAAATACAGTAGCCGAGTCCTCCGTGAAGACCCGGTTCTTCTGTGTCAGCCGGACAAAAGGCAGATTAGAGCGAGGAGCAGGAGCGCCATCACACATTTACAGCAGCTCTGCACCTGTTTGTTATTACACACCTTTATTCATGTCACACACACACACACACACACACACACACTAACTCCTCCTCAGGCTCTCCTCGGTCTGACGGCGGTTGTCGGGGTTTCCCCTTCAGCTCCTCGCTCTTTCATGTGGCTCTGATGTCGCAGGGACAGGAAGTGAGGGTGTCCTGAGTGACAGCTCAGACGCACACCGTTCATTATTGTGTGTGTTAGTGTGTGTGTGTGAGTGTGTGTGTGTGTGTGTGTGTGTGTCTTGTCGCAGTAATCCCAGGCTTGTCTGTAGCTTTACTGGCAGGTTTGTTCGGTTCAGTTCTGGTAATCTCCTAAACCACACGGTCCTGGCAAACTCAGAGCAGCTCAGAGGTCTGACAGTCGGCTTCACCTGCTCAGGTGAACGAGGACAGAAATGAAGTCACTGAGAATAACGGAGAAACTGTTCAAGTTTCCTTTTGTCCACATCTTATATTTCAGTTTTATCTCCAGACGAAGTTTTTAACAGAGTATGCCAAAGTTTCAGGGAGAGCTCAGAAAGTTTTGGATTCATTTAAAAGAGGATGTTGTATCGTCCATGTTAAAAACTCAAAACTGATGGATTATTTTAATAATCAAATCTGAAATCAACTTAAAACAAAACTTTATGTGTAAAGAATCAAACAGCTGAAGGGTTAGTTTTCCTGACAGTTTCATCAGTTCAGATCTTTCCACAAACCCGCTGTGATGTTTTAAAGTCTCTCTCCTGTCATGTGGAGCAGTCTGTGAGTCCAGACTACATGGACAGGCACGAATCTAAGACCTCTTTGATCTGGTCTGAGTCTTGGTTTTGGGGTGGGGTCCGGGTTGGACAGGTCTTGGCGGCATTGGTGTCCTCAAAGCGAAAGGAGGCGTGTCCCAGCCCTCCTCTCTCATCTGCCCAATTACCATCACACACACCTCCTGACATCTAAATAGCCCCTCATGTTCGGCACGCAGGGTCTCAGACGGCGTTTTTTCCTGACCCATGTGCTCTTAGTCCAGACCGGGCCTGAAGTGGTCTCACATGATCCCTGCAGCTTTATAAAGCCCAGCATGCACAGCTGCAGCTCAAATATAACGCCTGCCTGTTCCAGTTGTTGGGGTGTGAGCTTCTTCACTGTAACTGGATCTGAGTTTCTCCGGCAGCAGATCAGATCGAGTCAAAGTTTCAGGGTGGTAAAAGTTCATCCTGAAAGAGACGCTGGTCCAGATTCCTTCTTGAAAACCTCTTTTCATTAGAACTTTTCTAACAGTTGAATCTGAATATTTAGAAACTGACCCTCTGACAGGATGGCAGGTTTGTCTGCAGATGTGACGTTTCAGTGTTCATAAATTTAGTCAAATATAGGCCTGTCGCGATAATCAATAAATCGCCTTATCGCTCGGTAAATAAAAACGAGGTCGGTCATTTTGCCAGCCTCGATAATTGACGTGCGTTTGTTTTCCTCCTCTCTCGCTACCAAACACGCTGGATGAGAGAAGAGGTCTCACTCTGCGCATTTTTCTCGGCACCTGGGGGCGTTGGCTCTATAGCGGAATGAACGGAGTTAGTGAACCCTCCTGTCAGTCATTCAGTATCTTTGTTACGAGGGGGCTGGCGCGCACAGGCACACAGACACAGACTTTTTGGATACAGTGCTGCAAGTGAGCGTCGTGAGTGAAAAGCAAGCTAACAGAATGAACATGACAGCTTTGGTGTCTAAACCGAACGCAACAGCCCAAGTGTGGGAATATTTCGGCTTTAAACCAGTTTTGTTTTCGTCAACCACAAAACTCCACGTGTGTGTGCGCGCGTGTGTCTGTGTGTTGGAGGAGCACAGCAGGCTGATGAGAGCTGTCAGAGCGGACTGAAGCTGCTCCTGTATGTTTAGAGTTTAACTGACTGAGTTTTGCAACTCTGTTCGTCATTTTCGTCTCGTCCCATCAACGTAAACGCACTTTCGTCTCGTCACATTTTAGTCATCTCCGATTTATGTTTAGCTCGTCAACGTTACGTCTTCGTCGTGGGTGAAATTAAAGTTTATCACTTTTGACACGGTGCACTCGCATTATTATGCCATTTGATATCATTATCTATAATTTAAAAAACGGTGTCAATAATATCGTTTATTGGCGATAATTTGTAGCACAATTATCGTCCAGCAAAATTTGTTATCGTGACAGGCCTAGTCAAATATCACATGTATGTGGTCGACTTAGTGGTTATTGAGTCTGTTTGACTGAAGAATGAAGCGGCCCTCACTTTTAAACTCAGTAGTTGTTTTTGTCGGCGTGTTCGTCAGTGAAAGTCTCTCCGTTTGTGTTTTTTTTGACTCTCTTAAATCCGTCCCCGTCGATCACTGCAGGTACTTGTCGGCGTGTGCAGGTTTATTCACCTGAGAGTCACAGTTTTTTTTCATACACAAAGATCTCTAATCCTCTGACAAAGACCTCAGCCTCCCTCGGAAATGAAACTCGGCCCCGTGAGTCAGAGCTGAAGTAGAGAGACGAGGATCCTTTCATGAGTCTGTCCGAGCATTGTCCTGGGAATTCTGGGAAAGGTGTGTGCGTGGGCGGAATACCTGGAGGATTGTTCTGGATTTTCTGGGAAAGCTTGTCAGAGGTGTACTGTATCTGCCCGAGTGTGTGTGTGTGTGTGTGCTCACTCTTTATTTGACAGTCCACCATGACACTCTGTTAAAAATACGGGCTCTGGGACACGTGAATCTTGACAAACACGCCATCAGGCAGCTTTTCAGCGGTCTCACGTGTCCGTTTCTCAGCGTCACGTCAGAGTCAGAGTCACTCCCTGAAGCTGATGAAGAAAGTCGGAGTTATGAGTGACGGGAGAGATGGAGCTGAGCATCAACGCCAAGATCCTGCTGGTCCTGGTCTAAGAGGCTGCAGCTTCTACAAAACAAAAAATATCTCATCCAGGACGGACAGCTCCCATTGGTCAATGTTTTTGCAGCCCTGAACAGATTTTTTCCGATCTTTTTTCTCGTCACTTTGTAAAGATCGCACTTTAGGACCATGATCGCCATAGAAACAAGGTTCATAATAATTACCGATCTCTACAGTCATCAACCATGACTTTAAATCTCTGTTTTCAACTTTATTCTGTCGTCAGTCAGGAGTGAACATCCGTGTGTGTGTGTGTGTGTGTGTGTGTGTGTGTGTGTGTGTGTGTGTGTGTGTGTGTGTGTGTGTGTGTGTGTGTGTGTGTGTGTGTGTGTGATGTGAGTCAGAGGGGGACCGTCTGAATCCGATCTTTAAAGATGGTGTCTGTCTTTGTGTGTCTCCATCGTCTCCCCCTGTCGCTGAAATCCCCCCGGACCCCTCCCATCATGGGGCCCCTCCCATCATGGGGCCCCTCAGCTAATCACCCCGTCAGGGAATCAAAGCTGCAGCTAATAGTCTGTCTGTCAGTGGACCCCTTCACCTGGTTAGACAGGAACGTTGTCCCTCTGGGGTTCGAAGAGGACAGGAGGGGAATCTGATCAGATCTCAGACCGACACGAGGACCGACTGTAGTCTCACTCAGACCAGGACCAGGACCAGGTTTTCACCCTGTAGGTACAGATAAGAAGGACATCGTCATGGTCCGTCTCTGTTCATGATGACTGGACACCCCCCCAACATCCTGTCTAAGACTCTGACCTTTGACCTGAGTCCATCATTTGTTGTGGCCTGTTGACGTGTGAGCCGCCTGTTACCTCTCCTCACCGTTCTTGTCTCTCTGTTTTTGGGGGCCCACCAGGGCAGACCCTGATAGACCTCGGTGTCCGGTTTCAGAGTCCTCTCCTTGTTTTTGAGGGTTTGATGGGCAGTCTGGGTCAAAGAGGAACCCAGGTGGAACTCAGGTCCATCCTCGTTCCCACAACACTGACAGGAAGTTCCTACCTCTTCATCAGAGCTCCAGAGTCTGGTTTTTGTTGGACCTGCTGCAGGTTTTTGTTGGTTTTTAGAATCTAAAGATGTTCTGAGTTTGTAGATCTCAAACCCTGAAGATCGCAGACATTAGATTAAGTCATTTTGTGCCACCAGGAACCCAGTGAACCGGCCCCTGCAACCACAAGTGACCACCGCTCCCAGTGCCGAGGGATCCCTCAGAGGAAACACTGGGGCTCTTAAAAATGATAAAAACAAGTAAAAACTAAAATATGAATAAAACACAGACCTAAAATACACCGAGGCTAACAAGAATAAATGAAGATAAAACAAATACATATCAATTAAAAGTTTCCTTCCTTTTAATCTGGCCTTTTAACTGTTTTTGTTTTTATGTTCAGAATGCTTTTGTGTGTTTCATGAATATTTTGTTCACTGTCAGCAATACTATAAAACTTTTTCTGTTTTGTTGTATTGTAAACAGTATTTCTCCTGTACCTCCTGTAGTAAACAGTAAAGGAAAAACACAGATCTGCTTTTTACTGGAATGCTTTTAAATTTGAACATCTCAGGTGGACACAAAGTTCCCAACCAAGAAGAAATTTCATGTTTTACCTGTAAATACGTGTAAAACTGAAACATTAAAGTCTGTAGTTTTTATAACGTCAGTAATAGTCAGTATTTTGAAAGCTGGTGTATTTTGAGTGACTGAATGTACACAATAGTTTCATTTAGAGTCAGATTTCCAGTGTTTCGTTAAAGTTAGTGTGTGCAGAGAAAGATGTTTTATTTTGAAATAAATAGTAAATATTTAACAAAATGTGTTTTTGAGAAGAAAATGATCCATTTGGCCGATTGTGTTTTGTAGGTGTGAGTCTGAGTTCAGAGTTTAGAAAAAGTCTCTGCAGTTTGGGAAAGAGCTTGTTAGCGACTGAAAAAACTGTATTAATCTGAGTTTTGATAAAATAAATGAAGTATGATAAATAAAAAGTTTTGAGTCCACGTCAGTCCGGATCTCTAAGTTCTCCTCTCTGTCTGTTTTCGGGTCAGACTGCCAGTCCTCGGAGGCTCTGCGGGTCCTGACCGCTCGCTGCCAGGGAAAGAAGAGCTGTCTGGTCCGGGCCTCCACCAGAGAGTTCGGGGACCCGTGTTACTCCGGGACCAGGAAGTACCTGAGTGTTATTTACACCTGTGGTGAGTCTGACACCTTTACTACCTTTTTTCACCAGCAGAGGGCGATGTTTGCTCAGGGTTCACACTCAGTTACAGCTTTACTGGGACAGTTTGAGGTTCTGCTGGATCTCCATGAGCTGGTCTGGACTTTGAGGAGGATAAAGCTGCGAGAGTTTCTCATTTACACCTCTGTGATATTAACTTTAAATAAAAACGACTTTATTTTTTAATCTTATTTTATTTTTCTCGTTGGAGAGAGTCCAACAGGAAGTTAAAAGTTCAGGAAGAACCACTTTGTTTTCTGTGTTCTGGTTTTTGTCTGTGAGGATGAGGGTTCAGGACGGTCTTCCTCTGTCTCTGGTCCACACCCCTGAGCTAATGATCACCTGTCAGGAGTGTCATTTATTACCACACACACAAACACACACACACACACACACACACACACACACTAAACAGACACCTTAAGCAGCAGAAATCAATCAATCATCACCTTCATCATCTGAACCCGCCCAAATCCAGCAGGCACATCCTGATCCAGAACCCAGAGGTGGAAGGTTCTGGTGTTTTAATGTGATTACATAAGAGGGACTGAGATCGAGGTCTTCAGGTGGAGACTCCTCCGCCCTCTTTGTCTCCTGACTGCTGTCCGTTTGTCAGACGGCCGTCCGCTCCTTATCTCAGCGTCAGACCGCTCTCGGACCGCTCAGCTGTGTTTGTGGGTCGTTCAGCGCTGACCCTCCTTATCTGACCCTGATAACACACACACACTCCCCCGACAGCTCTGGTGCTGCTCAGGAAATCTGTGAGATGGTGGGACGGCGTTAATGTCCGACAGATAGACAGAAACACGCCGTGAGGTGGGTGAGGGGTGAGGGGTGGTCTGTTCCGGGTTGTGGCGGGTTAGATGAGTCTGGTCTCTGCAGACATGAAGTCAGTGGTCGCTCCGGGCTCCAGCTAAGTGCTGGTTTTGGGAGGATCCTCTTTCATTGGTGGATGTAGAGCGAGTGTTTGACCCTGTTTGAGTCGGTGCAGGGGTTCGACATGATGGGTGGTTTTCCTGTACATGAGTGACATCATAACATTAACCCCGCCTTCTTTATCTTTTACTCACTTATTGATCATTTTTAAAAGTCTGAGGTTGATTTGATTGATCGATATAAATTAAATGTGATTGATTAGAAAAAGAATTATTGAACAATCTTCACGAGAATGAATTTCTTTAATAAAAATTTATATCTTTTAGTTTGAAAAGTGAGTTTTTATGCAAATATATACGTGTGTGTGTGTGTGTGTCTGTGTGTGTGTGTGTGTGTAATGAGGAACATTCCCTGCCGCCTGAAGGAGGTGTGAACCCTCTTAAACCTTTACTATCCCATCATGACCTCGGTGCTTTTTTAGGTGTTTCTGCAGCCAAGAACCAAATGTTATCAAATGTTTACGTGTGCATGTTGAGCACGTGTGTGTGTGTGTGTGTGTGTGTGTGTGCACGTGTGTGTGTGTGTGTACGTCTGTGTGTGTGTGAGTGAATGTTTGACTCGTACTCTCTGTGATTTATGAAGCCGTCATCATCTCGGGGAGCGCCGGCGTCTTCCTCCTCACACAGCCCCGGGTCAGACTCGCTCTTTAGCGCTAACACAGCGGTAAATGGGCCGGAACCTTCCATCAGTCAGAAGATCGCACATGCTCAGTACAGCCTCGACTGTCAGGGCTCATTTACATCCGCCCTCCTCTGGAGAAGATCTCTGTGTTTAGAGAAACGTCTCTAATTTTAACGTCTGAAGATCATCCTGCAGAAATCCTGTAAACGATAAAAACTTTAAAACTCAGTTTTTCTCTCTGAACTGTAAGTGAATCTGCTGGAACCATTTTCTTCAGTAAAGCTCAGTCCTGGTCCGGCCCATCTTCATCTCTTTATCGTTATCGCTCCTTCAGTTGGTAAAATCATCTTCTTACTCTTTCTCCTCCTCCTTCTCCTCCTTCTCCTTCTCCTCCTGCTTCTTCTCCTGCTTCTTCTCCTTCTCCTCCTAACTGCCTTCCCAGGCTCTCCTCCCCCCCTTGAGAGTTTTCGTTGCGGTGTAATGGATCACCCTGAACCCCTCAGCCTTCAGGGGGATCAAAGGTTCTGGAGACCCTAATGAACCGGTCTAATTTCTGGACAGGAAATGGATTAATTGTGGCACTTAGCCCGTTAACGTAGGATCTGGTTCTGGAGGAAAAGGGGGACCATGATCGGGTTTTGATGGAATAAGTAAGTCAGGCTTTCCCGACCCGAGGGACCAAAACCTCAAAATGGAAACAAGATCCTGAACAAACACTAATGAAAGAATAACGAGCCCTTTATTATGATCCGGGATTTGTTTTCAGACCGAGGTTCTGGTTCTGGTTCTGGTTCTGACTGAACCGTCATGATGAGTCAGAGGTAAACCTTAAAGAGGACCCTGACAGAGGTCATTAAAGGTCGTTAGTTTAGTTTGAACCTGCTCAGTAACCATCTAAAACCCTCAAACTGGAGTCTCCTCCACAGCAGACACTGACCCTGAAGGGGGCGTGGTCACCAGGCTGCGGCTGCTGCTGGTGTTTTTCATGGACGCCATCCGAGCGCTGGAGGCCCCGGCTGCCCACATGTGGCTCAGTGGGCGGCAGATTTAGACGTACTGAGGGAAAATGGAGGAAGATGGAGATGTGATTCACAGGAGCGCAGCGGGGTTCGAACCGCACACACAAACACACTCACACACTCGCAGACGTGCACGAGGATACACTCGAACTGTGTGTGACCGCTGAGAGACACGCTTCCACGGTTATGTCATGTCAGCAGAAGAGACTGTGGGGGGTAGGGGGGTGTTTGTGTTGGTTTAGACCCAGGAGCTGATCCTGGTCCCACCCCCCTCCTTAAAGCTCATCCTATAACTGCTCAGGACCAATCAGACACTGACTCCGCCCTCAGGAGTGTTTGTGTCGTTCATGAACGATTCCTTCAAAAGAACTGCTGACTGAACGACGTGAACTGAATCACTCTGAGACCTGATTCGTTCCTTTCTCAGTTCAGTTGAGCTCAGCCGCGAGTCTGGCGTGCCGGTCGGGAGTGGAACTGTCGCCTTTGACTCTTTGGCGAACGACACACAGCCAACCAGCGAGGGAGTGGGTGGGCGGAGTCTCGTGATTTGCTCGCAGAAAATGAAGGACATGAATCAGACACGGGTTCTTAAGATTCAGTAAAGTCAAAAGAACTGATCTTCCATCACTCGCCCTTAAACAAACACAGGTGGATTATGGGTATTATTTTTCAGGTTATAAAAAATAACACCTTCATAATTTCTCATCCCGTCATGTTTAAAAACACGTCTCTGAGATAACTTCCTGTCTGAGTGACGTCCTCAGGTTGGCGTGTTGTGATCAGTCAGAGGAAAAGAGGCGAGCTTCACCTCCTCGTACCTCTGCGCTGACGTCAGAGGACTCTAGTTGAAGGTGTGTCAGAACACGTCACGGACCCCCAGGTGGTCCCGGTGAGTCTGATTTGACAGACAGGACTGAAGCGGTCCCTCTGAACGCTCCCCAGCCTCCGAACACAAACCTGACTCTGCAGAAACCTGTGAAAACACACCAGCTGGTACTCTCAGGAACACACGCCACGTGACCTCACCTGACCCATGCCCATAAAAGGCAGAGAGTCTCATCCAACCGGATCCCTGAGCGGTCCGCTCCAGGTTTCCTGAAGTTCGGTCGGTCAGACTCAAACTCTGGAGCGGCGGCAGGAAAAGTAACATGGTGGGAGTTTTTTTGGCGGGAATACTGCGTTACCATGGTGATTTGCTGATCCAAAGGGTTGTTGTGGGTCTGTGCTGTGCCAGCATGCTCAGTCAGCTGATGTCTGCCCTCATAAACTTCCATCATCTGGTCTCTGGTCCGTGAACACGCACACACACACACACACACACACACACACACACACACACACACACACACACACACACACACACACACACAGAAAATAAAACACACCCTGTTTCTGCTGCTGCTGTGGAGGGAAACACACTGTCCCAGAATACAGATCCAGTTAAATAGTCCGCCATGAAGTAAGGTGTTCAGGTCTAGGCGTCCTCTGGTTCTGACCCGACACCTGTTCCACTCACAGACCCGTTTGTAGCTGATGTGTGTTTTTTAGTCTCAGTCTGATTTAGACCCTGAAAAACCTGTATGAGTGCTGTACGAATAAAGTTATTATTATTATTATTATTATTATTATTATTATTATTGTTGTTGTTGTTATTATTTAGCTATTTATTTATTTAGCCATTTATTTTTTAATTAATTAATTTTTTATTTTATTATATTTATTTTATTATTATTATTAATAATTTTATTTATATTTATATTTTAATTTATTTATTTATTATTTTTATTACTATTCTATTATTACTATTTTAATCAAGAGTTTCTATTTAATTATTTTTTAACATTTTATGAGAAAAAAAATATTTTTTTATTTTTTAGCTTCTCAGCTGATACAGACCCCCCCCCCCCCTCACTGCAGTTTCATGCCATAAAAAATCACTAATATTTATGCTGATGGTCATGTTTCCTTCTGGATTTCATCAAACAGCATTAATAAGAATTTCAGCCTTTAACGTGATCATAAAAACTCCTGATTGTAGCTTTAACATCCTCAAACATGTTGTTTTTCTTAGTGCGATAGAGCAGAGACCTCTTTTTTCTGTCATTAGTCCTTTAATCGACTCTGTTAGTGTGTAAAGTTATAAAGGTTAGTCGTAAGTTTGTCAGTAGAAACGAGCCGCTGATCGTACGGTCAATATTCTCTTTTTTTTCTCCTCCATGTCAGTCTGTTAACTTCAGCGTTTCATCTCCTCCTCCTCCTCCTTCTTCTTCTCCTCTGTTTGTCTTCTGTCTCCTCTGTTCATCATTTCCGAGCGTGCAGACAGAGATAGCCTGGAGGTCACAGCAGCTGACCGGCTGTCTGAGGAGGACTGTAGTGGTCTAACGTAGATTCTGTTGTTATGGATCCTCCGCTCTTCAGACTTTTGATCGTCTCTGTAAACATGAGGAAACAGGGACAGAGGGATGTGCTGATACACATAACAGAGGTGACCTCAGCATGACGAGGAGGAGGAGGAGGAGACTGTTCAGGTTCTGATGAACTCATCCTGAACCTCTGAACTATCTGAAGCACTTTGTTTGAAGATATTTACCCAGACTCAGATAAACCCGGGTCCAACTGGAACTGAGAACTATGAGGGACTAAATCTGATCCGTATCTGAAGAGGGTTCAGACGGTCTCATGACTCGGTGATAATCACTGTCTGTCCCTCATGTTTGCCCTTTAGAGTCCACTCATACCTGACCGGGCTCTGCTGCTCTTTAGTCCTGGTCTACATAAGAAAAGGGGGCCTCTCTGATGCTCTTTTTGGGGATTTGTCACCCTGCCCCCCCTGATCCAGAACCTCCATGTCCCTGAAACCAGCCTGGATCCTGTGAAGCTCTTTCCAGAGGAGGAATGTTCGACTGTTTCACAAAAGCAGGATAATAGGGGGGAGAGAGAGAGAGAGAGAGAGAGAGAGAGACAGAGAGAGAGAGAGAGAGAGGAGTCAAGTTAGCATGTTCACACACAAACACACATGAACACACACATGTACCAGTCCGTTTTACAGAGCATGTACGAGCCCTGAACACACACACACACACACACACACACACACACACACACACACACACACACACACACACACACACAGAGTCCTGTGGTTTGTACTTGGCCCGGTTTCCAAACGGAGCGACTGCTGCTGCTTCTTTGTTGAGCTGAAAACTGCAGAACCAGCAAAGTCCTGGACCAGAACTCGCTGCCAGCTCGGTCTGTAGTCGTAAACTATGTGCACCAGTGTCAGTCTGTGAAAACGGCGTGTTTGTGACGACCCGCTTGTTTTCTGTCGATCGTAGAGTGAATTGGGGGACGGTGGGGGACTAATGCTTTCCAGTCTGTGGCTGGTTTCAGTTTTCCTGCTGTGGTGGATGAAGACCGAAGGAGAGGAAGAAGTGTGTGTGTGTGTGTGTGTGTGTGTGTGTGTGTGTGTGTGTGTGTGTGTGTGTGTGTGTGTTTGGGGGTGGGAACCAAAAGCAGAAATTCCCAGGACATCTAAAGCTAGAATTATGGTTCTGTACGATACATTTAGATGTTTTTTTGGATCCACACAGAGAAGTGCATTCTGGGTAACTATATGTCTCGGACTCGTCACGGCGCTCGGCTCCAGAAACGTCTGACTGTGTCTTTGTTTACATTCCCACCTCATGGTTAACAGCAGAGGCTCAGAGGAGGCGTGTCTTTATTATAAAAGGTCAAACAGACTTAATTTAAACGTCTCAATGATCAGAAATAACTGTGCGAAATAATACCTGACAAGAACCGGGACTTTTACACTTTAACTTGGTGTTAGATTTAGATTTAAACAAAGACAGATATTTCACTTTGTGTGTGATGAAACTAGAAAACATGGAAGTTTTACTTTCTGAGTTAAATCACAAGAAAAAAAATCAAACTTTTTCAGGACTTTAACTGAGTATTCGCTTAATTAACTTAAACAAATGTATGACAAAGACAAATTCATTCACATCATTTATAAATAAACTAACAAAGCTAACAACAGGGTCAGGTTCTGTGAAACCTGACAGTGAAGTTTTTCTGTTAAAGCTCCTATCAGCGTGTTTTTCTGAGACATAAATTCAAATACATGTTTTTTCATGATTCCCAAAAATACTACCTAAGTATAGACAGCTTTGTCCACAGGGGGCGCCAAAATAGACTCAAACTAAAAGTTCCTTACAGGAGCTTTAAATCCAATAACTGTCTAACTCTTCTGAATATTAACCGTTCCTACTCTTTGATTCGTACCTCTGACCACTAAGATAGAATTCATCCAACCCACTAACCCCCAATTTTCACCACATCCGGAACAGCAGCGATTTTCCCCGTCCGCCAATTTCTACCAGATCCATTTGTGAGGCGAATATCTTGGCGGATTACGGACAGCAGGAATCGTGAGAACAAACAAGAACCCGCAGATTCACGTTCAATCACGCTTCAAATTGACATGCTAACTTGAATGTTTACGATCAGCTACGATCGGAGGATACGACCTTTTAGTAGCCGTTCAGGAAGTGGTGGAAATTGGGGGTAACTCACCTGACAGCCAACAGTGTCAGGTGTAGACCTCAGTCTTTATAATTTCAGTTTTTGGGTCTGTTATTGTTGCTTTTATTTTGCCGTTTTATTTTCTTAAGCCTATATTAGTTTATTCCCTGTTTGGACAACGAATGTGCTTTTATTTTGAAAGGGTGTAAATGCGACTCCCAGGGAAATAAAGACAAACAGCAGAAAGAGAGGATGACTGATGAGTCTCCAGGACAGATCCGGAGTCGTAAACAGATTAGAAACCTGTAGAGAAGTTGAGTTTCCATGGTAACCGCCCTCGCCGCTGACGCTGCCTTTGAGCCGAACATTCCCGCTGCTTCACCCGACACTCGCAGATTTCCAACCTGAGCTGAATGAAATCCTCAGGTCATTTCCTGGAGCTTTTCATCCCCCTCTCTCGCCCTCTCTCTCTCTCTCTCTCTCTCCCTGCCCCCTCCTCTCTTGCCTCCTCCCTCCCTCTGATCGCTCCCTCACACAGCAGCGGTCTGTGTAGGTGGACACTACATGCTTCTCTCTCTCTCTCTCTCTCTCTCTCTCTCTCTCTCACACACACTCCCTCCCTCTGTCCCTCCCTCACCACCTCTCTCTCGCTCGCCCTCTCTCTCTCCTGCTGTCACATTCCTCTCGTCTAACGCCGGGTTTAACTTTCCCTCTGCTGCCTGAGCGTAGGAAGGAAGAGGAGAGTTATCAGCGTTTTCTCTGGATGAGGAGGAGAAAAGAGGAGGAAACTCCTCAAACTCCTGCAGAGGGGGAGTCACCGCTCCGCTCCAGACCTTCTTAAAGGGACCCTCGTTTTCTTTTCCTCCCTCCATGGGCCGTTTCTCCTTTTTTGGGCTCCGTCAGACACACAGAGGAATATTCACGTGAGCTCTTGTTTGCACGGCAAAGCTAGACCCAGCTCTCCTGGCGGGACGGAGAGTCAGAGGAGGAGGAGGAGGAGGAGGGGGCCGGGTTTGACAATCCAGACAAACACGATCAGAGAAGAAGAAAGTTCACGGCTGGAGAGGATTTTCCACTCAGACATGTGTGTGTAAGTGTCAGCATGCTCTCGTGTTCCTTTAGGTCGGTGTTGGAGGAGAAGGTTTCAGACTCTGGATGAGAGAAAGTTAAACTGTGACGTCTGAGTTTGTTCTCGCTCTTTAAACGGATAAATGTTTGTGTGTGAGGATGGTGTGTGTTTAAAGTCACCTGGACTCAGAGGACCTGACTAATACCTGACAAACGCCCACTTTAGTGTTTTTCCATCAGTGATGAGGATCTGCTGGTCCAGGAGGACCTGATCTGCTCCTCTGTAATAAAACCGCAGAGTGAACAACACAGTAAAAGCAGCGGGGGGGCAGCGGGTCGCCGCACACCGCAAATACAGGTGCTGACTCAGCGCAGAAACAGGAATAAGCCGAGGTCATGATGTCAGAGAGCGAGATGAGAACATGAGATCCTGAGAGGGTGAAGTGGTGAATGAACAGAGATGATTATGATCATCGCTGTTTCATTCAGGTGTGTGTGTGTGTGTGTGTGTGTGTGTGTGTGTGTGTGTGTGTGTGTGTGTAGGATTGTTGTTGTTGTATTGAATCGTTCCTCTCATATTTCCTCTTGTCTCCACGTTCACTCTTCACTCTTTCATTCTTACTCTCTCATTTATTCACTCACTAATATTAGACGGTGATCTTTAACACTAACACTGATGTCTGTTCCTATGCGAGTAACTTTGATCAGACTACAGTGACCAGGAATCAAACCACCAACCTTTAGATTGAAGGATGACCCACTGAACCACCGAGACACAACCGTCCAGATCTCTGATTTAATCCAGCGATCTTAAAAACCCCCAAATATTCAGATCTATGTGAATATGTCTCTTTTAATAATAACTTTAACTTTTTGTGAAGTTTGACTCAGTCTGACTGAAACTGGACTTTAAAAATCATGTAAACATGTTAGTCTGACTCTAATCCCCCTGAATTAAACTTCTTATAATAACGAGGTCCAGAGTTAAATCACCGAACCCTGAGCCGGAGGTTCAAAAACACAAACATGTTTGTAGGAAACCAAACAGAGGAGGTCAAAGACGAACTTTCCTGACGTACAGACGAACAGCGCTGTAAAAGTGACCGTGTTTTTGTCCTGTTAGTCTACAGATGATGAATTTAGTGGATTAATTTGATTTTTTATAGATTACCTGGGAAATAACCTAACAGTCAAAAAGGTGTAAAAAAAGTCAGAACCGCTCCATTTGGACCCGTCCATGTTCTACATGTTATCAGTCCATATGTAGTTTCCTGTCAGCAGTGGGTTATATCTTCATCCCTTTAATGAAACAGTCTGAACAGACCTGGACTGATCGTCTGTTTATTAGCACACAGACTGATTTAGTTCAGCTGATTTTTAACACAGAAACCTGAGGCTCTAAGTAAAGGTTAAATAAATAAAAGAGTCTGAAGTGACGCTCTTTAAATCTGCTGACAGTGAAGAAACTGTGAACAGGTGGAGGATCATCAGGAAGAGTTTCTGAAGAGAATCACTGAGAATCTAAAACGATAGATTTACTAAAACCTGTCAGATAATAATCAGATGTACAACTTTCTCTTCTTCTTCGGTGGTTCTGGTGTTTTTCCACAGAAGCTGGTCCAGCTCAGCTCCCAGCAGTCCTCTCTCTCTCTCTCTCTCTCTCTCTCTCTCTCTCTCTCTCTCTCTCTCTCTCTCTCTCTCTCTCTCTCCCTCTCTCCTAAACACACGTCAGCCTCGTAAACAGTGAAGGGAAACTCAGCAGACAATCCTTCCGTCTTTTCCTGAGCTTCAACATGACTAAATAACCTCGATCACTTCCAAATGCTCCGTGTGTCTGTGTGTCTGTGTGTGTTTGTCTGTGTGTGTGTGTGTGTGTGTGTGTTTTCCTGACTCCTATCCTCGTCTCCATGCTCTGGGTCTGTACTCCCGTCCGTGCGTTCGCCCGCTCACCTCCACACCTCCAGTTTTCTCCTCTAATTGACGCTCAGTTGTTCCCCTGTAGCTCCGGTTTGCAGCGCCGGCCCGGTCCCTCCCAAACCACAAGGGACTCTTTGTTTGTAATTTATGAATTAGTGTGTGGTTAGGGTTACGAGAAGAGAAGAGAAGGGGGCCGAGGCTGAAGTCTGAGATCCGTGTTCACGTTGGTTTGTTGTTCCAGGTTGGACTTCTGGATGTCCGATGATGAATAATTCTGTTCCTGTTTTTCTTTCTGACCCGCTCACACAGATCTGAGTCCGTGTTTGACAGTCCTCTGATAATCGGAGTAAATCTGTGTCTGTTAGGTTGTAAAACAGAGAAATCCTGATCCTCTCCCCCTCCTCTCTGAATCTTTAAACCCCCCTGTCTCCCCCGCTCCTCTCTCTCTCTCTCTCTCTCTCCCTCTGCCCTCCGTTGGCTCCTTTTTGCTCTTTTTCATGAAGTGGTTTTATTTACTTTGTCTAGTCTGAATGGAACCTGGCGCTGGACTAAGCTCTGGCCTGGTTCTCTGCAGAAAAGCAAAGCCCCCTTTCCTCTCCAACCCCCATCTCTCTCTTTTTCTCTCTTTCCTTGATTTGACTTTTATCCTTTTCTTCTCCGTTTTGGAGACTCAGCATGCATTCCTAATGGCTTCAGCTCTCCTACATGGCGCTTTTTTTCCTCCTTCCTTCCTTTTCTCCTTTCCTCCTTCCTTCCTTCCTTCCTCTCTCCAAAGGTACTCTGAAATAAAAGTCATGTTGAAGTGTGTAGGGAGGTAAATGGGTCTCCTGATGGCCTAAACAGATGTGGGATCTCCCCCAGAAAGCTCTCTGGCATTTTTCAGCAGCTGCTTGCAGGAGGTGCCGGCTTCTCCCCCCCGGGTTCTCCCCCCTGGTTCTCCCCCCATCACCCTCTCTCTCTCTCTCCTCCACAGAACCACCATTTTCTGTTTTACCTTCATACCCTCGAACCTCTTTCTCCCCCATGACTCCTCACCTCTCTGTTATAGACCTGAACTTACTCCAAAGTCCAGTTCCCATAATCCAGCTCCGGTTCTGGTTCTTGTAGACCTCCTTTCTGTTCTGACTCGGTGTGTTGTTGCCCAGACTGGTCCTGGATGGAGGATTTTAAGAGTCCTCTAACTGTGGGTGTTAGTCCTCCTGGATCCAGTTCGATGTTTGAGGTCTTGATGATTTTAGTTGGACATGAAAGTCTGAACAGCGTTTCATTAAAATATCAAATTCTTTATATTCTGAGACTTTTAAATCAGTGTGAAGGAAATAAAACAGGCGGTAAATCGTCTGTACTGACTCTTACCCCGATCTCCACCTTCATCCTGATCGTCTCCTAAAAGGTCGTTTCCTCCGATCGTAGCTGATCGTAACCATTCAAGTTAACGTGTCAATTTACACCGACTTCTTTCCGTTCCTCTGCGGATCGCCGGACTCCTCAGCTGATCACAAGAGTTCTAGTTTTTCCAGACGCCGGAGCATGGCGGATAAATTCAGCACAGATTAACCCGTGCTGGAAAGGAAGTCGGGCACAGACACAAAATAAAACATCCAAGTGAAAGGTTTTTAGACGTCATTTCACCCCGATGACACCATGGATGAGGAGATGCTGATTCTAGAAGTCTAGAAGTAGATTTCCTCCTCTGGAAGGACACAATCTACTGCTTATATGTCTATGTGTCTGTCTTTATAGAGACAACTTGGTATCGGGCGATTGAACGTGAATCTGCTGGTTCTTGTGAGTTCTCGCGATTACTGCTGTCTGTAATCCGCCACGAAATTCGCCTCACAAACGAACCCGATAGTTCTGGACACGGTAAAAATTAATACAGTCAAAAACTCCTGACTGGACCTTTAACCTGACTGTGCAGCATTTACAGGGTTATAACATGTCTGAGTTATCACAGTGTGAGGCGGTTTGTCAGCTGTGAATGTGTCTGTGTTAGTCTATTAAGGTTTGAGGTCTTTAAAGCTGGGATGGGACCAGGTCTGCTGGGACCAGGTCTGCTGGAACCAGGTCTGCTAAGTCTTGCATCATGTTGGTAGATCACCAAAAACCAGCTCTTTAGTTTTTCAGTCGTTCTTTTAGCAGGAAAACTCATTTTCTGTCCAAGGACACTGTGTGTGTGTGTGTGTGTGTGTGTGTGTGTGTGTGTGTGTGTGTGTGTGTGTGTGTGTGTGTGTGCATACCTGCAGTCGTCTGTTTTTCCACAGGTGTTTGTTTGTTCAGTTCTGAGCTCGGCCCGGTTCTTCTGCAGTTTGGACTCATAAATGCGTCTTTATTAGTGATCAAAGACTTTAATAGAAACAGATTTTATTTAGTGAATTTAACGATTAAACACTTTTCTATCATAAATGTCGCCTCAGTAAAAATCAGTGACTCCTGCTACAGTTGAAGACGTCTGTCTGCCTGTAACCGTCTGTTTTACCGTCTGTTTTACCGTCTGTTTTACCGTCTGTTTTACTGTCGGATTCGGAGTAAAAGTTAGAAATCATGTCGCTGTAACGCTCTCTGCTCCTCTCAGGACCTGGCATGTGGTGTGTTGTTTTTACAGCCCTCTCCTTCGTCTCCCTCTCCTCCCCCTCGGCTCACCCCGCCTCACCCCCATTAAACTCAATTTGTTCTGAGAGGCGCGGATCGCTGTGAGTCCCGGACCATGTGCTGCTCGGGTACAGGACAGAAAAGAGCTGGTTTTTCAGGAGGATTTAGAGCTGCGGTGGGAAGAAGAAATCACTGTTGGCTCAGAGGAGCTGGAGCCACTTTATGAAGTTCGTATAAAACACTTAATCGTCGGCGTATCGTCCTAATTCATGTCGGCTAAGACGAGAACAACTTATTCGACTTTAACAAGCTAACAAAAGAAGAAGAAGAAGAAGAAGAGATTTAGACGCGTTGTTAGAAGTCTGGAGGGTTTCAAAAACCCCAAACCTCTTTACTGCAGACGTCCAATAAAGGCTGACATGTTATGAAGACGCAGGATTACAGAGAGTCCCTTTAATGAAGACTCTCTGAGGAGGTTTAGACCCTCAGACCCTGTTTGTTGGGTTCTACAGTAAACAGGAGTTCTGGTCGGGGTTTTATCAGCGCTGTAGTTCAGGTCTGAGAAATTAGCAGACATGTTTAATGAGGTCTGTGGATTTAACAGCCCAGAGTTACTGAGCGGAGCTTTAAATGAGAGCGGCGGCAGATGTCAGACAGGTGTTCAGAGTCTGTGTACGCCCGTTTAATAAAAACCTGATCCAATCAGAGACTCTGATCCAGATCTGTCTTTAAAAAAGTCTCTGTTATTGGTTTGAACTTCATGATTTTTACTTTGAAATCAAAACGTCTCAGCAACATTAAAGCTCCAGTCAGGAGTTTTAAGGACCTGAGAAAACACAGGAACACGACACAGAACCAGGACCTCAGACCAGATCTGTGATCGCTGTTCTCAGGGTCAAAGGTTATCTGTGGTGGGCCGCTAAAGGGTCAGTCCAGGGTACCTGGAAAAGGTCAGGAGGTCATTTTAGAGGAAATGGTCATCTGTTTCACGTGTCTGTTACACTGTCACTAACGGGCAGGATCTTTATGACCTTCAGTCGTCGTTTTCATCCTCACCCCCAACTTCCACCTTCATCCTGATCGTCTCCTAAAAGGTCGTATCCTCCGATCGTAGCTGATCGTAACCATTCAAGTTAACGTGTCAATTTACACCGACTTCTTTCCGTTCCTCTGCGGATCGCCGGACTCCTCAGCTGATCACAAGAGTTCTATTTTTTCTGGACTGAGGAGTCCTCATCCGGTGACCCCATGGATGAGGAGATGCTGATTCTAGAAGTCTAGAAGTAGATTTCCTCCTCTGGAAGGACACAATCTACTGCTTATATGTCTATGTGTCTGTCTTTATAGAGACAACTTGTTATCGTGAGATTGAACATGAATCTGCGGGTTCTTGTGAGTTCTCACGATTCCTGATGTCCATGATCCGCCACAAAAGTCGCCTCTCAAACGGATCCAGTAGGAATTGGAGCCGTTCCGGATGTGGTGGAAATCCCGGATCAGGAAGTCGTTGGATGGACTGGAGTTTCGTCTCTGACGCTCCTTTAAGAAGTTTTGAACCCTTGTGAATAAAGATCAGAGGAGAGAGATGACGCCTTTATAAGAGGAGGAACTGAACTGGACTACAGGTGAAGTTAAAGTCCACATGAATGATCGGATCCATCTTGAGTGGGTCTTTTATTTTGAAAAGTCGCTCCTCCTGTCAGATCGACTCCTCGAAGGTCTTAAATATATCCTCCTCTCAGCTGGACCGGGTCCCGCTCTCCTAAATAGCCCACAGTGGTCTCAGTCCGTCCCAGAACAGCAGATCCATGTTGGGCTGTTATTTAAAAACCTCCCAGAGGACCTCGTCACTCTGATCCGGAGCCAGAACCCACTGATCCAGCCTCCCTACACCACCACGGCCTCAGTCCTCCTTTTCTCCTCCAACCGAAGATGGAGGGAGGAGGAGGAAAACCTCTCAGTGGAGTTTTTTTCACTCCCAGAAGGCCATCTGTTTCCTGTCTGTAACACGACACCAGCGCCCGGGCGATCGGGTCGGGCTTCTCTTGTACGATTGTGGGGTTTATGATTAGCTCCTCTGCTAACATCAGCGCTCATTTACGTTGGTGTGATCCCTGTGTGATGGAGGAGCAGACATGCTGCTGCAGGACCGAGGTGTGGGAACCTCTGACCTCTGACCTCTGTGTTTAAGTGATGAGGAGGGTTGGACATCGTTTGATTTTGACCGATTCCTCGTTTCGATTCGGTTCCTAACGGTTTTCTATTCTGATTCTTTTAAAAGGCAGGATATTTTTAAAAAGAGTATGGTTGAACAGGAGATCTTCTCCATGAATTTTTAAATTATATCAACTTTTAAGAACTTTACTTTGAATTTCTCACATTTTTAACCAGTTTATAAATATCAGTTTTTGTTGTCTTATCGTTTGTCCGAGGGCTAACGTTAGTTGGATGTTTAAGTTGACCCTCCAGTACAGTTTGTTTGATGCTTCAATGTTCGCAGAAGACAGAAGTTATTTAATGTTTCACTTTTCTGATTCTGGCTGGTTAGCAGAAGACCGGCAAAGTGCGTCAAAGACGAGCACTCAGGTATTTCTCCTCCATGAATCCTGATTGTTTAATCTTGTCGGTCGTTTATCCTCCTTTACAGGATATAACTGTGTTTCTAATGTTGCTCTGAGATAAAAGTTCATTCTTCATGATAAACGTAGACAAACTTTTGACCGACGCTGCTGTGTTTATGCAGCTGAAGACGTGTTTTTATTTGGAGCAGTTTGGCTCTCTCTCTCTCTCTCTCTCTCTCTCTCTCTCTCTCTCTCTCTCTCTCTTCTCTCTCTCTGGCTTCGTCTCATTCACTTCGTCCTCGTTGGTGTTCAGCGGCGATTTCTTCCGGTCGGCAGACTCCGACATCGAAACTTGGAATTGAAATTTTAAAATTTTAGTGTGAACGGCTCTGAGACGACAACAAAGATCAAACTTTGACTTTTTTCCACCACATGAACCTGAAAAATCTCCTCTCTTCTCTTCTTCCACAATCTCTCTGTGACAACGAAGAACTAAACTGACTCTCCGTCCGTCCGTCCGTCACTTCTTCTCCTCTTAAACTCCATCATATGTAGATTTTCCTCCTCTGAAGATCTGGATGTCTCTCTCTGGTCTCGTGTGTTGATGGTGGCCAGCTAAAGTGAATCCAGACCTCCTCCTAGTCCTGTTTGTTTACAGAGGCCACTGTGGATCCAGACCTCCACAGGTCTTTAGACAAACCGCTTTGGGAAGCAGCTTTTGTGTAATCCAAACTTTTGGTCAGCTCCAGATTAACATGATAGAGAGAGAAGATAGAGAGCAGACATGGATTTATATGGAGGGTTACATTAGAGACGGTGTTCTTCTCAGTTAGTTCTGATGGTACCGGCTCAGTGGGACCGGAGCAGCAGGCGGTGGAATAACTCCATGTGATTTCTTGACATGATAAAAGTCTCTAAAGTGGTTTGAAGGACCTGCAGACCCTCTTTAGAGACTTTATTAAGACCCACATGGTCCAAGTCTTGATGGCAGGATCTGGACTCTTTCATTTTCCTCCTAAAATCCTCGTCAGCGTTAATTTGACAGTCGGCCTGTAAAGGTCAGAGCTGATGGAGTCACGGGTGGTCCTCTGTTTAACATCTCCAACATGACTGTGCCGGTGGGTAAAGGGTTAATTATTACTTTATATATTAGACAGTATTTATTCATTATTAGACTGAAGGACGACCAGATCAGGAACCTGGGAGCAGGACCCAGAGGCTGCTGGTCCTGGCTCTGCTGAAGGTGAACACACCTGAGTGTTGGAGTGACGGACTGAGATGGATCTGATCGACCAGGATGAGAGACCCACTCCTGACAGGTTCAGAGTGACTCTCAGACCTGAACTGACTCCATGTTTGACCCTCATGTGTCCCCGTACAGGAAGTCTCTCTCAGAGTCCAAGACTGAAATGGTTCTTTGGAGAGTCCTAACTCAGTTAGTTGAGTTTCTGGATCTAATCCAGACCTCCTGATCTCTGATGTTCCTCAGGCTCTTCAGCAGCAGGTGTTTGGTCTCCTCTCCTTCTCTCTGTATCTGCTGAGCTTACAGGAGCAGGAGGAGAAGACGGGACACGGACTGATGTAACAGGAAGTTCAACCAGCAGGACAGACAGACAGAGAAGCAGCTGGACTCTGAAGGTCTCCAGGAGAACGGACTTTTGTTCAGGACTGAAGGAGGAAAGGAGAGGAGGTTTCTCTCTTCTGTCTTTCCCTCTTCATCACCCTCTCTCTCTTCTGCCTCGATCACTCCTCTCTATTTTCTAATAATAGCTCAGAGTCCAACGTCTTTAGATTCAGGACAAGAATCTGAAGGTCCGTCTGATTTTCACTTCGTCCTCTCGTCTTTTCAATCTCCAAACCTCGGAGTCTCTTCCTCCTCCTCTTCGTTCAGTTCCATCTTTGACTGTTTCTATAAACTCTAATGTGGACCTGAGGGAGCCCACCGCTGAGTTCTGGGTGTGGACCGTCTCCACATGACCGAGCCTACATGGTCGTATTCATGTGGTGACATCAGTGAGGCTTGGCGTCGATCACAGATCCCATCAGGTCACATGATCACATGAAGAGTTTGCTTTAAAACTTCTGTGGACCCTTAAAGTTCTGGTCCGACCTAGACCCAGGACTGTTTTCCTGTCTCTAAAGGGTCTCAGGTCTGTTGTTTTGGTCCCAGCTGATGGGTCTGAGTGTCTGTAGATGAGGTCAAACTGGTCTGAACTCACTGGTTATGCTGCGTTCCAGTCACCTTGGAAGTCAGATGTCGGTGCTGGGAATGACGTTACATCCAAGTTGACAGCGTTACAGTAAACAGGTCAGAAAACCAAGATGGACGCCTACTGTTACCCGTCGTCATCGTCAAGTTGGGGTTGGCGAGGATCATCCAGCTTTCCGAATCAGAAATCCGACTTCAGGGCGGCGTTACAGATGAATTTCCGACTCGGAGCTCGGGAATCCCGGCTTCCGAATTCTTCTCCATTATGACTCTTTAACTCCGCCTCCGTATGATGTCATAGCTCTCAGTCTGCTCACTCCTATTGGACAGTAACCCACCATACTGACCGTCTGTCTGATGCTGTAAATAAAAACAGTCAGTAGTGTTTAAACGTCAGTCTGAACCCGGGTCCATCTCTGTGTCTCTGATATCTGAAGGTCTTCGTCTGTATTGATCCATCAGAAGATCATTCGAACCTTCACACCGTCAATAATCAAGACTTCTCTGATGGACCAATCAGAAGCAGCTGCATTAAGATGATCCTACTTCATCCCTCTCTGCAGTGCTCTTCATTCCTCTGGTCCCAGTGGACTTCAGTAGGTCCTGGTCCTGGTTTTATGACAGACCAGGTCTGAGCAGTTGTTGCCTCCCTCTAAAAATAGCTCCATTGTTTGGACATCTGTTGGAAACTCTGCTGCCTCTATTTCTGTCATGATTCAATCTAGACCCGTCCCTCCGCTATCTGCCCCCCCCACCCCACCCCGGTCCCATATCAGCAACAACAAATGACAGATCTCTGTCCTCACTGTTTTCACAAGTTATTTGGCGACCTCAGCAGCTCCCTGAACCAATCAAAACTCAGCGTGCCATTACCTCATAACCCTGACACGGAGGAGTGAGTTTAGGCAGGCGGTGCGGTTTGATGATTCAGCGTTGGTCACATCCTTGTTGACCCAGTGGGACATCAGATAATGATGAGGCCGTGCTGACGCTGACAGTGGACCTGTCCCTCCTGTCCAACAGATAGAGACAAAATAACACGACAACAAAACCGATGAGAAGACGCAAACTGAACAACAAACACACAACAACAACAACAACAACGCAGTAAAGAGGGCGAGAAGCTGAGAGGTTAGAAAGATGGACTGAGGGGGATGAAGATACTGTGATTTTGTGGATAACCAGTTTTTACTTTTTTTTAACTGATTCAGAGCTCTCTGTCTTTGAGTTGATTAAAATCACATCTGCTGTCATCGCTGACTGTATGTTGCAAAGAAAAAAGAGGGGACGCCAAGACTAACCCCGAATTTCCACCGCGTCCAAAATGGCTCCAATCTGGAACGACAGCGATTTTCACAGCCTGCCATTTCCTACTGGATCCATTGGCGAATTACGGACAGCGGTAATCGCAAGAACTCACAAGAACCCGCAGATTCACGTTCAATCATGTGATAACGAATTGTCTCTCTAAAGACAGACACATAGACATATAAGCAGTAGATTGTGTCCTTCCAGAGGAGGAAATCTACTTCTAGACTTCTAGAATCAGCATCTCCTCATCCATGGTGTCATCGGGGTGAAATGACGTCTAAAAACCTTTCACTTGTTCGTCTCCGCCCGTTTGCATGGTGTGAAATACGATCCTCCTGAAACACGGAGTGTTTTATTTTGAAAAGAAGCCGGATGTTTTATTTTGAAGTCTGTGCCCGACTTCCTTTCCAGCACGGGTTAATCTGTGCTTAATTTATCCGCCATGCTCCGGCGTCCAGAAAGAAGTCGGTGTAAATTGACACGTTAACTTGAATGGTTACGATCAGCTACGATCGGAGGATACGACCTTTTAGGAGACGATCAGGATGAAGGTGGAGATTGGGGGTAAGACCAGGACCATGCAGTGCTGGTTTGGCCAAGTGGTAACAGTGTACACTCCAGGTGCATCACTGGTCCAACTCCCCCTCAGGACTCTGTGGTCCCCCACTCTGTCCCGTCTCTTAAAGACCAGAATTAGTCCTAAAATGACCTTAAAGAGAGTTAGAAATAATGAATTGAGTAAATATCACGACTCTTCACCGTCAGCGTCACTCCCAGTCCTGTCTCTGCATCCTTGTTAATGACACCAACCCTGTGTGTTTGTGTGTGTACATGTGTGTGCATACGTGTGCGTACATGTGTGTGGTTGAAATAGTCCAAACAGCTGTGGTCTCAGAGCGGAGCTGAGATTGACGTGTTCAGAGCTCAGCTGTACCATCATCATCATCATCAGTATAAGGTTGTGTGTTGCCTATTAAAGTCAATGCAGGAAAAATCCTGCAGCTGAATGTAGGGCAGGGGTCTCAGTGAGGCAGGATGGGGGTTGAGCTCTTTCCCCATCCTGGAATTTACTCCCAAACCTCCAAACCCTCAGAGTCTGGATGTTTTCAGACTGTGTCACCGTGCAGAGATGCCTGACTTCGCAGGAACGTCAGAGTGAAGCTCAGATCTGGGTTGAATTAAAACAAATGCTGCATGAAAACGTACGGCGCTCTCTGGCACACAGAAGGAGTTTTTATCAGACCGGATCACTGGAGAGACCGCTGATTTGATTACGCTCCCCGGCCAAAGTCCTCCAGGATCTGCAGGATCTGAAGTCCTGTTCTCATGAGTGTTTCTGAGGTTTCTCTGAGCTGACTGTTGAAAACACTCCTGCTCCTCCGTGGTTTCAGACCTTTGTGAGGACACAGAGACGGAAGTTTGATCATGGGTAACATGGCCATCGTTGGTCCTGATGGAGTTCAGACTCCAAACCTGCTCCACCATGTAAACACAGGAACGAGTGTGTTAATGAAGACACACACACACAGACACACACACACACACACTCATGCACACATTGTTATCCAGCTCCACAAAGATGTAGCTGCACACACACTGAAGTTAATCAGCTGCTGTCAGCTGGTTGCTGTTAGAGCAATATATGAGGGGGGGGGGGAGGAATGCAATCTCAACACCTTCAGCTCCTAACCTCTTCACCTTGCATGTTGTTCTGCAGGAATGCCATTAGCCAAGTGAAAAATGGTTGTGTGTGTGTGTGCGTGCGTGCGTGCGTGCGTGCGTGTGTGCATGCCTGAATGACGTCTGAGTTGTATTCAGGAGAAAGAGCAACAGCAGAATAAAAATCACTTCTAAGGGGGTCTAAGGGGGTCTTTAAATGTTCATCTGAGGCTTTTCTTCAGTGTGTGTGTGTGTGTGTGTGTGTGTGTGTGTCTTTAATATCATGCATTAAGCAGCACTCACAGTGAGTTGATTGAAACCAGACCCCCTTTTCTCAGGTTTGTTGTTCACAGACGTTAGTGAAGAGTTTTTAGTCTTTCACACCATAGATAGATACATACTTACATACTTACTCACTTACATACATACTTACTTGCTTACTTACTCACTTACATACATACTTACTTGCTTACTTACTCACTTACATACATACTTACTTGCTTACTTACTCACTTACATACTTACTTACTCACTTACATACTTACTCACTTACATACATACTTACTTGCTTACTTACTCACTTACATACTTACCTTCTCACTTACATACTTACTTACTCACTTACATACATACTTACTTGCTTACTTACTCACTTACATACTTACTTACTCACTTACATACTTACTTACTCACTTACATACATACTTACTTGCTTACTTACTCACTTACATACTTACTTACTCACTTACATACATACATACTTACATACTTACATCCTTACTCACATACAAACTTACTTACATACTTACTTGTATACTCACTTACTTACTCACATACATATTTACTCACTTACTTACTCACTTACATACTTACTGTCGTAATCCAAGACTGAAATTTAAAAAATCAGAGTTAGCACCAATTAAACACGGAACACATTCTACTGTACTGTGACAAGACTGACACTCAATAAAGAAGACATAAAAACAGTCATTAACATGACCATAAGGCAGCAGTGCAGAGTTACAAAGTCATAACATCGTTCTTTAACATTTTTATTTTTTAAAAGGAACAAAAAAAATCTTCTAAAGTTTCACTGCAGGTTCAGATCTTACAGTTAGTCTGATCCGGATCAGGACTGGAGTCAAGTTCTCATTGAGCTTCACCAAAGAAAAGTCCGATCTGAGATTAAACTTCTTTTGTTAAAAATACTCCAGAACCGTCTCTCCAGGATTTACTCTCCCCCCGTGTTACAGTCTAAATACTGAAACATGTTCTCATGCTCGGTCCGGGTCAGATCTTATCTCCGATTTAGCCCGGTTTAATATTTCATTATATCCGCTCTGGCTTACAGGGCTTTGTCCCAGTTGCAGCAGTCAGCACATGGGCCGTACACACACACACACACACACACACACACACACACACACACACACAGTGAACACAAAGCTGGGCTCTGCCAGTGTAAACACAGTCATTGTTATGGGCACTCTTTCCCGCCTCGTATCTTCGCTCCCTGTGGCGATCCGGCGCTCAGAGAGGTGCAGAGCTGGAGACGGTCCAGTCCAGTGGGGTTCTGTTCAGAACCACCAGGACTCGTTTAGAGAGCGTTTATGTGAGCGGGCCGTCATCATGGAGGCTTCTCAGTTTCTCAGTTTGTGTTTTCCTGCTCGGTGGTTTGTGGCTGTTTCAGCTCTGACCTTTATTTTTAGAAATTACTGTACTGAACGAGGTAAACAGAGGAGAAGGAGGCGTGGTCCGGTCCATACGGGTCTGTGATTTTGACTTTGGGAGTTTGTGTTTGCAGAGAATTAGTTTCTCTGAATCATAATCCTTTAAATTTCACCAGAGTTACACACCTTTACTATGAAACCATATGTTTATATATGTATTTCTATGTTTGCATGTATTCCAGTGGATGAACCCGGTCGTATCTCCGTGCTCGCACACATGCACGGCGGTTTCTTTCTGATTTAAATATAAACGTGCACAGAAACTGCACGTCTGTGAAGCACATCATGGCGTCTCTCAGCTGCGACCCTGGACCACATGTGCAGCCAATTACAGCCAATCAGAAGGCTGTAATCAGGGCGTGGCGAGGAGATGGTGGCGGTGTGGCAGTGGGAGAGCTCTGTGATTAGTGTGTCACGGTGATGGGGGGGGTTGCTGCTGCAGGGTCAGATCTAGTCTTAATTCCTGCACCTCCACATGTGGGGGGGGGGTGCTGTGTTTATTTAACTGGTGCCAGTCCAGACCCGGAGAGAGAAGGGGGTCTCAGGTTCTGGTTTGTGAACCTATTAAGGAGACAGATTGGTGCGGTCGACCACATGAGATGATGTAATTACAGAGAGGTATTCAGATGGAAGAGGAGATGTTTCTACAAGCAGCAGCTGAAGGAGCCGACACCATCTGAACTCTACACATGAAGGTCTGAGGAGGATCGATTAGAGTCTAAATGAAGCTCAGGGACCGTCTGTGAATGAGAGAGTCTGATGAACATCTCCTCTGTGTCCTGGTCCAGACTCAAACTCCTGGACCTCTCAGCTCAGTCCTGTCCTCCTCGGCTCAGCTGATCTTTGACTTTTGGAAATCTGATCCGTGTGTTTCTCCTCCTGCTTTTTCACAAACTCTCCTCTATCGTTCTTTTCACATGTCGTAGTTTCATTATTAGTGACTCCTCAATGACTGTAAACCAGAGCAGACAAACGCTGACCAGAGCGTGGCCCCGCCTCCAGAACCACATGTGAGCGGGCGGGCAGGAATGTATGGACCACTGCGTTGTGGGTTTGTGTCGGGGGTGATAGACTACTGACTCACAGGACACTGATGAAGAGGAGGGGGGGGGTGACTTTCGGGAATCAGAGGAAGGTCATGAGGAGGAGGAAGAAGAAGAAGAGTGAATCATCAGTTTATCACATTCATGTGTGACTGAAATAAAAGAGAGGAAGAAAAAAACAAAGACAGTAAAAGAGCTGAAGAACGGACAGGACTGCTGTCATATATTTATATATGTTTTATATGTTATATATACAGTATATATATAAGTATATCTATAACTGCTGTGGAGATGTTGGAAGAGCCTGAACTCTCAGACTTTAAGTCCAGGATGAATCTGATCAGCTGATCAATAAAAACTGATCGATTACAGACTCTGTGATCGTTTCCATGTTCAATAATGTCTATAAAGTCCGTCTCACTCGCTGGTTCATCCTCTCAGAACTTTTTGGAGGTTTTCTGATCCACTGAGGAAACTTTGGTTTTGGATCTGTGATTTGACAGAACCGACCCGTTAGTCTGAGCTCCAGTCCCAGAATCGAGGCTGATGATGAAGGACTTTATAATTATCTAAATGGAAATATGATGATGATGATGATGATGATGATTTCTAAGCCAGTATTCATTGACATATAAACACATTTTTCTGGAGAGTTATCCTCTAATTTGGCTCGTTGATTAGGAGCCGTGGCGTGAACCACTAAATGACATGATGTGTATTTATATGGATGTTTGACCTCTGCTGTGTTAGAGCGATCTCATCCTCACTGATCTGTGTTTGAGCTCTGTTCAGCTCCAGGTTTGACAGTCTGAGTTTATCTCTGCTGCTTCATTTGTCAGTGAAGTTAAAGTGACACTCAGACATGAAGATACCGGAGCGTTTATCAGAGAGAAATATTCCTCTGTGGAGGTTTGGGAAACAGGAAACTGAGTGAAAACAAGTTTGTAGGAGCTAAAATATATTTGTTAAAGTTTGATTTCTACTCGGTACGTCACTGAGGGGTGTGGTCACTAAGGGGTGTGGTTTTGGGATGTTTGGCGGGTTATTTAAATCTCACCGGTGTGGTCAGACAATGTTTGTGGTCAGCTCTGATCATTTTCTGTTGACCGTTTTTCATAGTTTCTCCATCCTGTTTCAACCTCATTTCATCTTCTCACTTTTCATTCGAAGTTTTTGGATCTGAATCACTTTTTAACACCATTAAAACTGGACTGATATTTGAACGAGTCACAGATGAGAGCGAACCGAAACCCCAGCTGTCTTTTTGTTGAAGGAAAGCAGAAGCTACAATATTTATACCACACAGGGGGGGAAGAGAGGTATTAAAGTCCAGATATTAATATTACATATAACTTTAATTAAAGCTCCTGTGAAGAATGTTAAGTTTGTGTCTCTTTGGCGCCCCCTGTGGACAAAGCCTTCTATGTTTTTTGTCTGAAATGAGTGATTCAAGTGTCTTCACAGTGACTATTATGACTATTTATGTGGATATGATAAAATCAGCTGTTTCCTTTACTGCTCTGTTTACACATTTAAAATCAGTGATCATGTCCATGTTGATGTTTTTCTGCTTTAATATGTTATAAAATGAGTTTCAGTCTGTTTTATAGATTTAATAAAACTCCTCATTTGAGCTTTAAAAGTGTAAACTAAGGGTCCAAATAAACATCTGCTCTTTTTGTAGATTAGTTGATTCATGTTTTACGTTTGCGTTTAGTGACGACAGGTATGAATAACATATCAGTAATTCCTCTAAATGTGTCCTTCTCTCTTTTCCTTCTCTCTCTCTTTTCCTTCACAGTCCCAAAGAAGCTGCTCCAGGAGCAAGGATCCAGACCGCCCGTGTTCGCCCCCCCACCCAGCGCCCATGACCCCAACATAGTGGGAGACAGTCCTCCGGAGGGGAGCTCGGTCAAAAGCCCTGACTCTGTTCCAGGTGAGCTGAAGGAGGAACACAGAAGCTTGTTCACTCTCTCTGCCTCCCGTGGAGAGCTCTTAACACTAACCAGTCACACGCCGGCCTCCCAGGCAGCAAGAGAAACAGTCATTCAGGTCTAAAGTCAGGGCGCAGATATATGTGTATATTTAGAGTCACACGGGTTCAACTGGTTCCATATGTAGAAGAGCTGTGAGCCATCGTTCGGTCCATTTATGATCCTCAAATATTCGACCTCCAAAGAGTCGACGCACGAGCCGAAAGTCTGTCCTCCTGAAGACGGAGAGACGGAGGAGACGGAGAGACGGAGGAGACGGAGAGACGGAGGAGATGGAGGAGAAGAGAATAAAGTGAAAACAATGAGACGCCGGAAAAAATCTGTAATAATGAGGGAGGGTGGCCGACGTCCAAAACACTGAGTCCTCTGCTAATTAGGAGGAAAGATGAACAAGGAGCTGAGAGAGGGAGGAGAGGGGAGGTCTTTACTGAAACACTTCAACACATGAGGGGGGCGGGACTTCCTTCTTCAGCTTCATCAGACTCACCTGTGTCCTCTCTGAAGTGGGGCTGAAGAAAGAAAAGAGAGGACAAGGAATACTTCACCGTAAATACTGTAATATTAATGTAAGAGGAGCAAGAAATACATTACCATAAATACTGTAATATTTATGTGGGAGAGCAAGAAAAACTTTACCGTAAATACTGTAATATTAATGTGTGGAGAAGCAAGAAGTACATTACCGTAAATACTGTAATATTAATGTAGAAGAGCGTAGTATAATTTACCATAAATACTGTAATATTTATGTGGGAGAGCAAGAAAAACTTAGTCGTAAATACTGTAATCTTTATGTAAGACAGCAAAAAATACTTTTCAATAATTAATGTTATATTAATGTAGGAGGGCATGAAATATTTGACCGTAAATACCGTAATATTAGTGTGGGAGAGCGTAATACTTTACCGTAAAGACTGTTATATTAATGTAGGGGAGCAAGATATACTTTACCGTAAAGACTGTAATAGTAGTTTGACACTCTGGCGTGTTTTTTCATAGTCTTCGACATCGTTTTTTTAGATTTTCGTTCTTTAATTTGACGTTTAACAGACACTCTCATCTGAAGTTATCACGTCTAAAAAAAACTCCTTTAAATGACCTGAAGTGACTTCTGTGTTTCTGTTTCTACATTTCTGTGTTTTTCACACTCAGAGTGTTTTCTGTTTGGTCTCCTTGTTTTCATGACTTTAAATAAAGAGCGTGGTCGTTGTTTCGGTGGTTTGGTCGCTCGCTCGGTTGAACGTTAGCTCATGGACCGCAGCAGTGGGTCCAGGTGGAAACATTTACCTTCTTAGTGAGCGGTCCAGGTCTAAACTGCATTTATCAGATAAAGTGAGTCTGACACACACCTTATACACTCTGTAATTAGAGGTCAACGGTGTGTGTGACAGTTCATCCAAACACTGACCCAACATCACACACACACACACACACACTAATATGAGTCAGTACAGGAGACAGGGGGCTGGATGGACGTGTGTGTTTATGCAGCTGAAGACGTGTTTTTATTTGGAGCAGTTTCTCTCTCTCTCTCTCTCTCTCTCTCTCTCTCATTTAAAGTTACAGTAGTAAACATGTCTCCAGGTCTAACTAAAGGCGATTGTCCTCAGAAATGAAGGTAATGAAATTAGTGATGCACGATATGAAAAATTTCAACTGATACCGATAACCGATAATTTTCTTCTTCTCATGGCCGATACCGATACCGATAACCGATAAATTCATATTTTTACATTTATTATAATCTTCATATAATCTGCAGTTTGTGCAGGATGCAGCGATTGAAAACTGATATTTTTGTTGCTCTGGCCTATCTAGAACAACAAACTAAAGTTATTGGCTCTTCAAATGTGGTCATTTGCTATAAATAACAATAACAGAGCAAAAAGCAGAACTTCATTTGATCCCCTGAACTGTTCAACAGAACTGTAAACTGTAAAGGAGCTATTATGAGACATTAGGCTTAGCATGCTGACCGGACTAACATCTGACGTCCATATGTCTGTGGTAAAACTCACGTGTAGTCCGTTCTTGTCGATCAGGTTGTGAATGTATGTGGCGACAATATCATAGAGTGCAGGAAGAGACACATCCGAGAAGAAGCGGCGGCTTGGGAGAGTGTAATGTGGCTCCAAGTGTGCTGTGAACTTACGAAAACCCGGGTTCTCAACGACGGAAAAAGGCTGGTCGTCGACCGCTATGAACTCCATCACTTTGTCGTTAATGGCTTTAGCCTTTTCGCTGTCTCTTGAGAAGCTTTTGCAGTTTTTAAACGCCCGCTGAATGGGGACATCGATCCTCCGTAGTGTTGTTGTCTTAGCTTTAGTACCGCTAGCAGCTTCGGCGGCTGTCTCACAGTCCTTTAATACTGCTCCGCCGCGATGGTGACTTTTCAGATGAGCTATCAGATTCGTCGTGTTAAAACTTGACGTCTTCTTTCCTCCTCTCGGAATCCTCGCTGAACAGGTTTTGCATATAGCAGCTGTTGTCATCTTCTGCCACTGAGAGAAACGACCATGCTGGTGAAGACATTTTATTATCTGTCAGGTAGTGACAGGGGTCAGGCTTGGGACCTGTGAGTAAGGCGCGATAGATGACGTGACCAGTGCGTCTCGGACGGGCGGCTACTCCACCTGCAAACGTTACTCGTAATTTCATTAATATATCGGATCTTTCTATCGGAAAAATGCACCTATCGGACCGATAAAAAATGACGTAATTTCCCCCCATATCGGCCGATATTTTATCGGTCCGATAAATATCGTGCATCCCTAAATGAAATCCCTCTGCTCTCCCTCGTTCCTCCATCTCCTCTCCGTCTTCCTGTGAACACGTCAGTGAGAGGAATCCACAGAGAGGAGGAGACAGTTGTTGTTCCCGTCTATAAATAGTTTTCTGACATTTCTCGGGTAGCAGTTTGAAAAGTTTCCAAACTCTTCCTCCCATGTGGTTCTTCTCTGTTTCTTAATGAGCGGAGTCGGAGTGAACACTCAGGAGTGGACGTCTCAGTGAACATGTGTGTGTTTCTGCTCCGAGCTGACGGACGATGACTCAGTGAGCTGAAGTCAGAACCCCTCAGAGAGACTCGGACTTTACTGTAAATGACTGAAACACAGACGCACATGTTCTCCATGTTTCTAACCTGAGCTCTTCTGCTCTGTGGTCTCCTGCAGACAGAAAGAAGATCAGGGAGACCAACCCCAACGAGGAGAAGTTTCCAGCACCTTCAGGAGGAGAAGGAGGCGGAGGAGGAGGAGGAGGAGGAAGCCCTGGGCGTCCCCCGGACATCAACCCCATCTTCAACTCCACCTCCAGCGCCAACATGGCCCTCATCAGTAACGCCCTGGCAGCTTACACTTACATATCAGGTAGAAGATCCTCCGTTTTCATGATGGACCCAAACAGGGTTTTAGAGTCCGGGTCCATGTGCAGCACATGTGTGTGGCGTGTTATCTTCTCAGGTGATATCCCCCATTTCCTTCTCCTGGGGATGAAAGGTGAGTAAATACGGGCCGGAGGAAAGCAGATGTGAGATAACAGATTACTCTGAGAGTCGCCTGCTCCAACAGCTGCTGTTCACGTCTGAACGTTTCCTGTTTTTTACCTTCAGTAAAGAGTTTAGAGTGACGTTGTTGAGCTTCTGTTAACATCTGAACGTTGAGCTTCTGTCAGGGTCAGAAGAAACTGAAGCTGAGGGAGAGTCAGAGCGTTACAGACCCAGAATCACTGACACCTTAAGATCATTCTCCACCTTCCTCCCGTCTTACAGACCATCCAGAGAGGGCGGCGCTCTTCTTCGTCTGCGGCGTCTGTCTCGGCCTCTTCCTCACGCTCTTCGCCCTCGTGGTCCAGATCTCCTGTCGCACCGACTGCCAGCCTCGCCAGCGACCCGTCGCCAAGAAGCGAGCCCGCCCGGCCGACTCCTCCTCTGACTCCAGTGATTCGGACTCGGACTGGGACACCACGTCAGACCTGTCGGCGCGGCGACACCGGCGGTTCGAGCGCACTCTGAACATGAACGTGTTCACGTCGGCGGAGGAGCTGGAGAGAGCGCAGAGACTGGAGGAGAGGGAGAGGATCATACGGGAGATCTGGATGAACGGGCAGCCGGATATTCCCGGGACACGCAGCCTGAACAGGTATTACTAAAGAGGGCACAGGGACGCCACCTACAGGACGCACTTGGCTCTTATGAAGCTTTTCACGGCGGCGGCGGACTCTGCGGTGAGCCGGGAACAGGTTTTTTGCAGACTTTGAGAAAGCTGGTTTGCGTCTAGAATAAGCTGTAAGGGAATAAGCTCCCTCTCTGCTCGGTAAGCTCGCCTCTTAGCCGCCCTCTTTCTGCCGGAAGCGAAGGGTGAAAGGCCACGCCGCCTCGCCCGTGACCCCGGCAGGCCCCTTTTTGAAGTGAGGATTTATGGGTAAGCTGCGTTGGACACACACGGGCCCACAGAGACTAGGTGGTGACTGAAGAAGCGAGGCCTCAGAGGAGCTTCCTGCTTTAAACCGCCAGTATTCAAGAGTGGACCTTTCAAAATAAAAGCAGGAGGAAGTGAACGAGGCAGCGGGACAATGGAAGACAATCTAAAATAAAAGAATCTATGCTGCCTTCTGAACTTTGACTAAACCAAAAGATATATTTTGGGGAGAATTCATCTCAACCCGTATGAAATCTATTTTATAATATTTAATAGTTTATTGATGTTATGTATTTTCGTTTCACGTACGGTTTGTTTTATGAGATATTTTTATACTTTTTCGCGAAGGTTGTCTGGCACCTCAGGGATGCAATCCTAGTGTTTCTGTCTTTGGTTTGACGTATTTTTGCTTCAGAAGAAAAAACTGATGTCAGCATTTAAGAGAAAAAAAATTAGATCTATCATCTTTAAAAAAAAAAAGAGCCTCAAAGAGGTTTTTAGTGATTCAAGCTTATTTTTGTTACGTTTCATTCACAGCGCAGTGCCTTCGGAGTCCCTCTGTCTTTAGTGCAGCTAGTGTGTAACCGGTCTCAAGAGTTATTGATTAGATATCCCAAATTGATCTGATCATATATGTACGCCAAAATTAGGATTCTTTGAAATAAGAGCGAGGTGAAAGTTCAAAGTTCAACAGGACGCTCATCTCAGCTGTGAGTCTCGATCGCCGTGATGCCAGGTCATTGATAAGCTATCGTCAGTCCGGTTCTGTGAACGCTGCTCTGGGTTCAAGTGTAGAAACACAAATACGAGTTTGAAAGAGATAAAGGCTTGGTGTTCTTCTGACTGAGAGTTTGAGTAAAGGTACACGGGACATATAAGAGTAATCCACATAGAGTTTTTATAAATGTGTTTCTATTGGATTTGGATCAAATTGTGCCATCGCTGGTAAAGTGAGACCAAAATATGACTCCTGTGTTTGGAATAAACTGTTGAAAATTAAACTGTCTTCAGTGTTTTTCTCTCTGTCTCTGACTTTTTCCTCTTCAGTCGTTTCCTCGTCTCCTCGTCTCCTCATCTAAGTGATCCACCTCTCGACTCAGACACAAGTGGACGAGGATGCAAATCTAAGATCCACATCACATCTTTGGTGGTCCGATTTTCTTCATTACTAACTTTGTGATGTGGATCAAAAAAACAGGAGATCTGACTCTCTGAACGTCAGTGTGTTTATCTGTAAATTAATAAATAAAAATCATCAAAACTCAACCTCCTCCTCTGACTTTGGATGGATCTGATGAGAAATGTCTCGGTGTGTGTCGCCCTCTGCTGGTCAATGTGCAGATCTGTACACTGAGTTTAGTTTTGGTTCTCAGCTGGTGGGTCCTGACCCTAAAGTGGGTCGTGGACCCGCTCTGGATGGGTCACAAACAGCTGGTCAAAATAGTAAATATTTAAAGTTATATTTATCAGATATTTGATATTTTCTGTGTAACTTCAGTAGTTCTCGTCCTCATGTTGTCTCCTTCATGTGCTCTGAAATGCACTTTACTCAATAAAACAAGTGGATTTATGTTAAAGATGAGAGTCTTTAAATGTTTTTGTTTTAATCAAAAATAAATTTGTTTGGTTCCATAGAAGTCTATAGAAGTGGGTTTCTACTTCAGGACGATGGGAAAATGTGGGTCCTAGAATGAGACCAGTTGAGAACCAGTGGTTTAAGTCTCAAGTTATTAACAGTAAAATCGACTCCTTTCAAAATAAAAGCTCCCTCTAAATTCGTGATAAAAAGGCTTCATCCAACCACCAAAGAAAAATCCACCTGACAAACACGGAGAGTCAGTTTCTTTATGTTATTTTGTCAGTACTGGTGCTTTTTGAACATCAACACTTCTTTAATTTTTATTTTCATTTATTTTATTCTGAAATCATCTCCATTCTCACGTGTCGTTGTTTGATCGTTTCCATGGTAACCTCAAACTTCCTGCCGTCGTTGCTGCTGCTTCATAGTTTTACACGCTGCTAAAACAAACGAGTTCACCGTGAATTTCCTCCGTTTCCCCGTCAAAGATCTCACTTTAGGAACCAAACCTCCGTCAGGTCCGACCATCATGTCTCGGAGCGGGAACAGCCGCGGGTTACCGTTTTTACCGGGCTACACTTTCCGGGACATTACGGTAAGAATGTTAAAGGTAACCGTTAAAAAACAGAGACACCGTTAAATAATGAAGCTATATCGAGTTTAACCATCAGACTTCATGTTTTCAGTGATCCTGATATTTGGCTGCATTCCTTCATGTGACTCTGCTGTAGTTTTCATGGTCCTGAAATAAGATGCTAAAGGTTTGACAGCTGTGAGCTTCCGTACAGCAGAGACGAGTTTTACTTCATTGTAATGTTTTAATTTGTCAAAGTGAGTTTTTAGTTTAAAGTGTTTCTGTCAGTCTGTTAATGTTATATTCATAAACTTAATGTACCTCTGTGTTATAACAGACCTCCACTGTATTCTTACACACGTGTATCTGTGTGATAATATTGTCACTAACAACTTTAAACACAAACAACAGAGATGCTACAGTTAAGATTAATTCTCTTATAATGCTCAGACTTTGTTTATCACCTTAGGCGGGTGTATATATGGGAAAAAAAAACTGTAAAAGTGTCATTTTCACGATGAAACTTCCCAAGTTTATAACTGACATTAAGACAAATATTTTTTATATCACAAGTTTAGTCAAATGTTATGTTTGGATATGTAAATGAGGTCATATCTAATTAAATATGCACTAATTTACATACATTTACAGAAAACTGAACAATGGATAAAGTTCCTTTCAGATTTACTCATTCTTCTTCTCTACTTTGCTGAGATGAACAAGAAGCCTCTATTTTCAAGTGTGAGAGGAGGAGTGTGACGACTGGTTTAAGAAAAGTATAAAAAATAAACAAGAATGAGATGACAGAACTAAAGAAAATAGAAAAAGATCTGTATAGAGATATGTTTTAAAATTTATTAGCGGAACCACACGGTTCTCATGAATTAATTCTTTCTTGAAGTTGAAATAATGGTTATAAACCACAGAAACCACCAACACAAGGCAATATGAGAAAGGAGAAATATGCAATTACCAAGGGAAATTATACTTATTATTTTTTCAAGTAACCAATTTCTTTAATATGTAATTGTACTTGTAAAAACTTATCTATCATAGAAATATGCTAATTATAATATTACATGGTCCAAACATGTATCAGGCGCCAGTATTCCTGATCTAGAATGAAAACAAAGGAGTGATGATCATTTTAAGGATGTAAAAATAAGGATGTTCTCATTTACAGAGTGATAAAAAGAGATATCCAAAGCCCCCCCCCTTCTGACTCTAGTATGTCAACAAAACGAAACAAGAATTTTGAAAGGGTCTTTATCTATTGTTCAGTTTTCTGTAAATGTCTGTAAATTAGTGCATATTTAATTAGATATTACCTCATTTACATATTCACACATGACATTTGACAAAACTTGTAATATAAAAAATATTTGTCTTAATGTCAGTTATAAACTTGGGAAGTTTCATGATGATATCTGGTCGTTAAAAATTTTACCCTATTCACCTGGGGGGTCTCCGCGGCCTTTTGAGTTTGTTATTAAGATCATCTAATACTATAAAAAAACAGCTGAGGAACCTTTGTTAGGATTTTTTGAGGTTATATTTGCACCTGACGACCTGACCACCTCCTCCTCCTCCTCCTCCTCCTCCTCCGTGTCTCTGTGCAGAAGTCCGCCTACCATCGACCCCAGACTCTGGACTATAAGAACGGGTACGCTCGGCCTCGCCGCCCCACTGTGGGAATTGGACAAGAGCCTCTATTTTCAGAGCAGCTGATCCAGCAGGAGATCGATGAGCTGTCCTATCGATACCCAGACATGTATGAAGACTCTTCTGAGCAGGGCCTGACCCAACAGTTCATCCCCGCTCACGTGGCGTTGGACAAGAAGGTAGAAAACATGTAGAAGACCAGAACTGGAGGATCTTCAGGAGCTTCAGTCTGACTGATCTTCATCGTCTTTGTCTCGTAGGTGCTTCGTTTCTTTGGGTTCTTCCAGGAGAGCGTCCTTTTTTCGCCTGACGAGGAATACCGCGTCCGGCCCGTGGTCATTTACTACTACCTGGAGGATGACAGCATTTGCATCATCGAGCCAGGGGTGGAGAATTCTGGGATACCGCAGGGTAAACGGATCAAACGCCAGCGCCTGCCCAAGAACCGGAGTGGAGCTCATTACCTCTGGAGAGACCTGAACCTTGGCATGGACCTGGAGGCGTACGGGGTCAGGTACCACATCACGCAGTGCGACAACTTCACGAAGGTAATAAACTCACCTGTGCGAACGCTCCGTCTTCACCTGTCCGTGTTTGACTCCTTCTCTGACTCAAACCTTTGGATGTTTCTGTTTTCAGGAGTTCCTGGAGAGCGAGGGCCTGGTTCTGAACGACCCAGAGCAGATTCCTGTTGATCCGTACAGCCAACGCCGCCAACCTCCCCAGCATTCCTTCACAACGCCCTCTGAAGTGGACAGCATGCACCGTTTCCTCACCTTGGACCGAAAGGTACGACGGTGTCCTCTAAGTCCACATCGCTGAGTCTCTTCTGACACTTACAGGTGGAGCTAAACTAACGCCTGATCTTCTCTGGGTCAGGTTCTGCGGTTCTTCGCCCTCTGGGACGATTTGAACGCTCTAACCAGGGAGTCCAGACCCGTCACCATCCACTTCTTCCTGGTGGACGACACGGTGGAGATCAGAGAGGCGCGCCAACCCAACAGTGGTCGAGATCCTTTCCCAGTCCTGATCCGCAGACAGAAGCTGCCCAAGAAGTTGAAACCAGAAGCCGGTGAGACTCCGAACACCGAGAGTTAGAACCGTTCACAGGTTCAGTCCGGTCCACTTCACTTCACGAACAAACGCACAATAAAAACAGATTTTTACTCCATGATAGAAAAGTGAAGTGTGGTTCTGCTCCATCATCATCGTGTCCCTCAGAGATGTTTCCTCGCTGTGTGATGGAGGTCTCCAAACCGGAGGTGGACGAGTATCTCTCCCCCAGAGACTTCCAGCTGGGTCAGACGGTGAGCCTGCTGGGTCGTCACTTCCTGCTCTACGACTGTGACGGGTTCACCAAAGACTACTACCAGAAGAACTTCTCTGAGATGGAGATGAAGCCTGTGGAGATACCGAAGACCAGGCCTCCGGAGAGGAAGAAGGTGAGCTGCTGAGTCCTGATCGGACCTGGTCCTTGTCTGGATAGTGAAGCTGGTCTCATGGTGGTTCCTGTCCATGTTTCAGGAGGTCCCCCCCTATAATGGTTTTGGGTCTCTGGAGGATTCCCTTCAGAACTGTCTGACTCTACACCCTCAGCCTCCGAAGAAGGACGTGCTGAAGATGCTCCTGAACGGAAACAAAGCTCTGCGCTACAGCGTCCGGCTGGTGAGTCCCCATGAGTCTGGTTCTGCTCCTCGGTCTGAACGGGTCACATGATCTCTCTCCTCTTCCTCTCCGACCTTCTAGGACTCCCAGAACCCTGACGATGAGAGCCGCCGTTTCGTGCTGTCCTTCTTCCTGTCCGACGACATGATCAGTATTTATGAGAAGCCCACCCTCAACTGTGGCGGGGGACGGTTTCTGGAGAAGACCCGCATCCCAAAGCCCGGTTCTACCGTGGAAAAGCCGGACTTCTACTCACCGGCGGACTTTGTTATTGGAGCCACAGTGGAAGGTAAGACCGGTCAGTTTGGATAAACCCAGGTCTGAGAAGGACTGTGTCCTCTGAAAGTCCTGCATGGTTCAGACCCTCGGACCCCCTCAGAGAGACCATCCCTGCTGAACTCTTGACCCTCTCCTCCTCTCGCTGTTTCTCTCAGTTTTCGGTCATCGCTTCGTCTTGACTGACGCTGACCACTTTGTGCTGAAGTATCTTGAGTCCGTCTCAGACCAGATCCCTGAACAGACGCTGGACTCTCTGCGCCTGAAGCTGAGCGTGAGGACGGCTGAGACCCCGAGAGCTGACCCAGACGGTAAAACACACACAGGTGGAGTCGGTCTGCAGGTGGAGGTCAGGAGTGTTTTTACATATTTAACACACCGACTCCTGTTCTTGTTTCTTTATCAGGTGAGAACGTGACGGCGCCGTCTTCATGAAGGTTCATCAATCCTCATAAATCAGAGAAGAAGAAGACGACATGATCTTTGTTGGTCTTCATTCATAAAACACTCAGACGTCTCTGAAAGGGGGTCTGTACGGTCAAACCTGGCAACTTCAGGAAATGTTCCTGATAGAGTGAGACTGTGTTTACGTTTGAGTCAGCTGATTCCTGAACTTCTCTCAGTTTGTCTCTTTTCATTTCTGCTTTTTTCACATTATTAAAAAAAAACAATAAAAGTACCAGGTGACATCAGAGAAAACTGCATTTAATAAAGAAATTAACAATTAAAGAAATTAGATGGAATGACATGTGATGATATCCAACATTCATGCTGTTCTGTTCAGAACCAGAACTTTAAACAGGAACCAATGAGACGAGCTCAGGTGGGCGTGGTTCTGATCCGGAACCGTCACAGGTCATGTTCAGGCCAGCACACTGAGTGAACAAGATACCAGGACAAGATATCAGGACCAGGACAAGATACCAGGACAAGATACCAGGACAAGATACCAGGACCAGGACAACATACCAGGACAAGATACCAGGACAACATACCAGTTAACATACCAGGACCAGGACAAGATACCAGGACAAGATACCAGGAAACATACCAGGACCAGGACAAGATACCAGGACAACATACCAGGAAACATACCAGGACAAGATACAAGGACCAGGACAACATACTAGGACAACATATCAGGACCAGGACAACATACTAGGACAAGATACCAGGACTGGGACATCATACCAGGACAACATACCAGGACAACATACCAGGAAACATACCAGGACAAGATACAAGGACCAGGACAACATACCAGGACAAGATACCAGGACCAGGACAAGATATCAGGACAAGAAACAAGGACAACATACCAGGACAAGATAAGAGGATCAGGACAAGATACCAGGACAACATACCAGGACTGGGACATCATACCAGGACAACATACCAGGACAAGATACCAGGACCAGGACAACATACCAGGACAAGATACAAGGACAAGATACCAGGACAACATACTAGAACAACATACCAGGGCAACATCCAAGGACATCATCATACTAGGACAACATACTAGGACAAGATACCAGGAACAGGACAAGATACCAGGACAAGATACCAGGACAACATACTAGGACAAGATACCAGGCCATGATGATCAGTAACATGTTTCTGCTCCATCAGAGCGATCTAGAAAAGAGGCGGAGCCGGCTCAAAAAAACAAACAAACAGCTGCAGCATCATCAACTCTACGACTAGTACAGTACTTCTGAGGACACACACACTCATACACACACACAGACACACAATAACGTGTGCTGCACACTGTTTTCATTTATTCGGCGTACATCGGTGCTCCTTAGGTCGGGGGAGGGGGTAGCAGGCGGCGTAGATGTATAAAAATACTGATATGATGAAGGAGGGGGAGGAGTCTGTGGGTTCGGCTGGAGAGAAGGTTCCATGAAGTTTGTGTTTCCAGCATTTCAGCCAAAGTCTGTGGCGGCTTCAGTCTCTCCAACGTCTCAGGACGTGCTCGACAGGAAGCTCGGTGGCCTGTAGCTGCCAGCTTCCTCGCTGTGCCGATGAGAAACCTCAGCCGGCGCTAAGGTCGCCGTTCAGGCCGCGCCGTGACGCATCTTAGGGAGATTTGAGCTTTTTGGTCCGTGGAGAGGCTCCGTTTTCAGCTTTGAGGACGCCGTTTTCATGGTGACCGACTGGGACGAGACACAGAGGTGAGAAACCACGATGAATGAATGAATCACTAACCCTGTCATGTTATCATCATGTCAGGACTTCACACTCACCCGAGTCTCTCTTCAGGGGCCGCAGGAGCTGTTTGGTGGCGGTCTTCTTGCGAACGGCCTGTTCGTGTCGGAACTCTCTCCAGCGTCTCAGCTGGAAGCGGATAAACTTCCAGAGCAGCCAGGACTGGGTCAAACACACCAGCAGGAGAACCGTCATCCTGGGGGGCCGAGGTACGAGGGTGAGGGTTAGAGCCGACACTAACGTGGCGGCGTACAGAATCAATCATTATCCGACATCAGGACAGAGGTCGTTACCTTATCAGTACAGTGTTGAAGTTTCCCGTCTCTAAGTCCAGACCCTGATCCTCCGCTCGGGCCAAACCAAACCCAACAGCCAGGAACATCAGGGTCAGAGTCACCATACGAGTAAACACGAAGCTGACCGCCCACAGGTCGAACCTGACGCCGAGACGAGACGAGGAGAAAACACAGAAACACAAATGAAACTCTAAAGTCTCTGTTCCACCTACAGCTCAGAACTTAAGACCAGGTCCTGGAGTCTCAGAGTCACCTACATTTTCTGATGGTTCTCATCAGTGAAGTAAAAGAGTCTGGCGATGTGGAAACCCAGTTCTGACACATACTGGAGGAACAGCAGCACCAGACCCACTCGGCTCATACTGCAGGACAGAGAAGCAGAAGACGGTTCAGATCCTGAATCTAGAAGAAGCTTCTTCAACAGAAGGTCAGTCAGCAGCAGTAACAGAAGAGGGCGGATAATAAACTTCATCATGTTTCATCACGTCATGCTTTTGTTTGTCTTCACACTCTTCGTGTTTTCTTCTTCTCCTCTGAAGGAACTCACTTTAACAAATACGCTGCAGAGATGTGGAGCAGATACAGACTGATGTACTGCAGCTGCCGAGGAATCTCCTCCTGGAAGACAAACAACACACTCCATTAACAAAGGTTAACACACGCACACACACACACACACACACACACACACACACACAGCTCATCTCGTCACACTCCAGAGCTCCTCCAGTTCCCAGGCCTCCTCACTGACCTTGCGTACTTTCTGGAAGTAGAGCTCCGGCAGGGCGTGGAGCCAGTAGGCCAGCTGAGTGAGGTAGAAGAACTTCACCTGAAACCTGCAGAGAGAGAGAGAGAGAGAGAGAGGGAGAGAGAGAGAGAGAGAGAGAGAGAGAGAGAGAGAGAGAGAGAGAGAGAGAGAGAGAGAGAGAGAGAGAGAGAGAGAGAGAGAGAGAGAGAGAGAGAGAGAGAGAGAGAGAGAGAGAGAGAGAGAGAGAGAGAGAGAGAGAGCGAGAGAGACAGAGAGAGAGAGAGAGAGAGAGAGAGAGAGAGAGGGAGAGAGAGAGAGAGAGAGAGAGAGAGAGAGAGAGAGAGAGAGAGAGAGAGGAGAGAGAGAGAGAGAGAGAGAGAGAGAGAGAGCGAGAGAGACAGAGAGAGAGAGAGAGAGAGAGAGAGAGAGAGAGAGAGAGAGAGAGAGAGAGAGAGAGAGAGAGAGAGAGAGAGAGAGAGAGAGAGAGAGAGAGAGAGAGAGAGAGAGAGAGAGAGAGAGAGAGAGAGAGAGAGAGAGAGAGAGAGAGAGAGAGAGAGAGAGAGAGAGAGAGAGAGAGAGAGAGAGAGAGAGAGAGAGAGAGAGAGAGAGAGAGAGAGAGAGAGAGAGAGAGAGAGAGAGGAGAGAGAGGAGAGAGAGAGAGAGAGAGAGAGAGAGAGAGAGAGAGAGAGAGAGAGAGAGAGAGAGAGAGAGAGAGAGAGAGAGAGAGAGAGAGAGAGAGAGAGAGAGAGAGAGAGCGAGAGAGAGAGAGAGAGGGAGAGAGAGAGCGAGAGAGACAGAGAGAGAGAGAGAGAGAGAGAGAGAGAGAGAGAGAGAGACAGAGAGAGAGAGAGAGAGAGAGAGAGAGAGAGAGAGAGAGAGAGAGAGAGAGAGAGAGAGAGAGAGAGAGAGAGGGAGAGAGAGAGAGCGAGAGAGACAGAGAGAGAGAGAGAGAGAGAGAGAGAGAGAGAGAGAGAGAGAGAGAGAGAGAGAGAGAGAGAGAGAGAGAGAGAGAGAGAGAGAGAGAGAGAGAGAGAGAGAGAGAGAGAGAGAGAGAGAGAGAGAGAGAGAGAGAGAGAGAGAGAAGGAGGTGTTCGTGTTTTTAGAGAAAAGACAATAATTCCCTCTTTAATTTGAACTAAATGACTCGGTGTTAAAAACAGAGGTTAGCACAGAAACACAGACGTGTTTCAGACCTGAGAGGAAACTCCTCTTCCTCATTTACATGAACGTTTCAGAGACTTTGCATGTTGTACATGTGAGAAATGAAAGTAGGAGATTTTTTCATTTCTTAAATCAACATCTTTGTTTTAGTTCAACATGTTTCCTTATCTTTGCACTATTCTGATTTAATAACAGGTTTTTTAAAGATCTGCAACTACAGATTTCTTTGAGTTTGACCAACAATTACTAAAAGGAGAAATAAAGTTGTATATAATCTAATTTAATCTAAATTTTAATGTTCATCCTCTCAAAAGTTCTGCTTTAGTCAGAGCTGAAAAAACTTATTTCATCAATTTTTTTAACTGAATCATAAAAATATAATTAATTCACGTCACAAACTAAAAATAACTGTAATTTTATTTTAGATAAAAACACCTTTATTTGGTTTTATGAAGCGTGTCTGTAATTATTTTGATAAATGTCATTATTTATTAGTTTATTCAATGATGTGATCTAAACAGCTGATTCTTACCTGAGGTGAACATGGGGGTAGTTCTCCCAAAGGCTGCTGGGATGTAGAAGATAACCTTCCTATGAGGAGAATTAAAGAAAAGAAGATTTAATTCTGTCTTTATGAATGTTTGATTTCTCTCCTTTAGTGTGAAGATGTCAGGATCCGACTGTCTTACTGTGATGAGGATGTAAAAACCCCACACACTCGACACCAGGTGAAACACACACAGCTGACCCGACTCGTTAAACTTGGTGTTTTTGCTCTTGGAGAGGTGGAGACGGCGGTTCACTTTCTGGAACAAGGAAACAAAAAAAACACACGGCGGGTCACGACGCGGCGAGAACAGGAGACGGTGACGCCGACTCTGTCATTGTCATGCAGGAGGAAGTGTCAGAGTCACACAAATAAGTGGGACAAGAAAAGACAGCAGGAGCTATTTATAGCTGCGGCTGAGAACACTCCTGTGAAGAAGTGAGGCTTTCAAGACCGATGGAGCTAAAATAACACCTCAACGCTCCATACCTGCACAACGGCACACAGGTGCAGACTTCAGGATGCAGATATGTATCAAAATAAATCAATAAAAAAGAGATTAAAAAAGAGATTTATTTTAGTGTAAATAAAACTCCTCCATTATCAGGTCTGTTTTCCCTTCTTACTGTGCTGTTTGTTCAAAGTCTTAAGTCTGCAGCACACTCCTCCTCTCAGAACTCACATCCAGCAGATACTCCTGCACCACGGCGTGGAGGATGATGGCGATGAAGAAGTAGAAGAGGACGGTGGCGCCGTCCTTCCAGCCGTAATGGTAGAGCGTCACCTCTCCCTCTGAGCGCACGTAGGAGCGAGAAAAAACACACAAACGTATCTTCAACAGCAACAGCGAGGTAAACGCACACACACTGATCAGAGCCAATAATAGATCAATGAGAAATATCAATCAGTTTTCACAGTACCTGCTGATAGTGTGGTGACATTATACTGAGGCTGGATGAACAGGATGGCCGTCTTCGCTGTCGCCTGGAAATCAGACAAGACTGATTAGAAACAATCGATCAATAATAGAAGAGAATTCAACTTTATTGATCCTCAAACAGGGAAATTCATGTTATCACAGCAGCAACAGAAACGACAGGACACATAAATAACTATGACAACAAATAAATAATTATGACAGGAAATGAGATAAAAAAAAAGCTGTGTGTGTGTGTGTGTGTGTGTGTGTGTGTGTGTGTGTGTGTGTGTGTGTGACTCACAATAATAGTTTGATAAACCTGCAGGATGAGGAGTATTAACTGCATGTGATTGTGAATACTGACGACTTATTTTAAAACTCCTGAGATAAAGAAACGCAGATTGAAGCAGCAGATCAAGATAAAAGGTTCAGAGCTGCATCAGACCAATAATTCATGTCTTAATCATCGATAAACTGATTGATTATCTGTTTGTTCCATCAGAGAAATGACCGTGTAAATCCTCCCAGAGTCTACGGTGAAGTTTTCTGAAACCCTCTAACATTTTCCACACCGCTGAGCTTTCTCAGGTTCAGACAGGAGTCTAAAACGGTTAATATAATTAATTTAGAGCGTTTAAATTTGTAAAAGATGTTTTCAGTTCATTATTTCATGACTTCAGCGAGGGTTTCTCCTTTTTTTATTCATGTGTGAGCTCTTACATTTATTCAATCTGACTGAGGAGCATGTTAGGACTTCTTTAACGTTAAATAAACTTTATTTTATTTGACTTGGTGCAGAAATAATTAAGGTGACATCTAAACTGAGGGACATCAAGTTTGGACAGCAGGGTGCAGAAGGACTCCAGTCATTCCCTTCACTCCGAGGGAGGGAGGGAGGGAGGGAGGGAGGCCTCAGATGACCTACAGAGTTAAAATCTGAATTTCGAGGCCCACCACAGACCACTTCTTCTCTTTTTTACAGTAATGAGAAAAAAAAGGAAATCCCCTTTTTTTTATTTTCCACACGGACAGCTGTGAGAGAGAAACCAGAGTCCTGAAACTCTGATGAACATCTGTAAAGACCTGAGAGTCTCTCTGTGGGCTGTGAGGGTCTGAGGAGACACCTGGCTCTGTCAGAAACTAGATGTCAGCGGTTAAAGAAGATGAAGAAGAAGTCTTTGGTTAAACTGATCCTGCAGCAGGCTGAGGTACAGACCCACAGATTGAGACGTGGCAGTTAAGACCAGCTGTGAAGTCAGCGGGAATACGACACACCACTTCCGTTATTTCTTTTCAAAATAAGACTCTAAAAGTCCAACACGTCATAGAACTCATAGATATCTTTGACAAAGGCTAGATGACTCGAGAATGAGTCACGGCGGCCATCTTACTCCAGTAAAACATTCTGCTATGCTCTATGGTAGCTGATGGAGGCGAGTAATCTACGTGATCAAAAATCCTCTTAACGCCCTGAAATCCTGACAGATTTATAAACGGTTTAGTTTATTACAGACCTTCATAATGTGGCTCTGAGTCGGGATGTTTGGACAGATTAAAATGGCAGATTTAATTTAAGAAAAAAAGACTTAACCATGCTGCACAGTTGTTTCACTTTGGGCTAACTTTCAGTACTTTTTTATTGATTATTTTATATATTTATTAATGTAAGTTATGTGAATGTGCGTAAATATGTACATATATATTTTATATACAAATTATTACATCTCATCGATTAATTTACTTAAGTTGCCTTGTGTGTGTAGGTCTATAGCTGTTTCTCTACCTATCTGCTTAATGTTTATTTATGAAAATCCATGGTTAAAATTATTCTTGAGTATGCAGGAACATAACTAAAACTCTGAGGTTTGTTACAAACCAAACTGTTTAAAAATCGGTTTAAAATTAATCAATCTACAATTATTTACATGTTACATTCACCATAGACTGGAATGTTCGGAGTGGGCGAGCTGACCGTAGCAAAATGGCCGGCATCTAGCCTTTTTCGTAGATATCTATGGTCGAGCTCACTCCGGGCTACAGTCATGCTTTTAATTTGAAAATCCCACAGCTCGTACTTCCTTTAATGTTCAGATTTTGTGGTAAATCTCAAACTGTTGCAGCGGACTGTCTGTGCTGGAAAGTGGAAGAACTCAGAGACAAAGAGGGTAAAAAAACGGGAATTTGACAAAAACAGACGAGTTCAAACTTGTTGTTTTATCGGTGGACACGGAGATGTGAGTGAACACGGAGCTGTCACCAAAGACAGAGACAAACTCTGATAACGGAGAGATAATAACGAGAAAACGGGTTAAAAAAAGAGCCGAAAGTTACGGTTTTAATCAAAAACTTTTACATTAAACACCCTTTAACTTAAAGTCACTACCTGTCAGTTAAGAGTGTGAAAGAAGTCAGATTTATAGTTCCTAAAACTTTATCAAAGTGCCAACAAACACGAACATCTCAGCGACACAAAGCTGCAGTTTAACAGAAAAGTTTGAAGTTAAAGTAAAAAACAAACTTTAAAGTCCGATGAGTCCAGAGTTAGACTCTTTAACCTGCAGCAGGTCTTAGAGGAACTTTAGGACAGTGGAGATAAAGTCGATCTTACCTCAAACATCAACCCAATGAGAATGAAAATGACCAAACTGAAGACGATGTCTGCGTGATTCTGAATGAAGAACTCCTGACTGAAGAAAGGGTAACTCTTGTTCCTGCGCCGGAACGCCATCTCTGCGCTCTGCTCTACGTCTGTGTGTGTCTGTGAGTGTGTGTCTGTCTGCTGTTGTTGTTTTCCTCAAGATTTTACAAAATCTCAAATTTTTCTGACTACGAAGTTCAGGAGTTAACTTACTCACTGCTCTGCGCATGCGCCTCCTCTTAAAGGGCAAGTGCCATAAATACCTTCTGTGAGGCCGTTACACAAAAGAGTATGAGAGAGTATGAGGATATAGGAAAACGGCATTTAAAATAAAAAATGAGAGGATATGAGAAAACAGTGTGTAGAGTTTCATAACTTAAATCAGCTCTAACATTATTAATATTACTACATCATGTTTGTTTACAGGCGGAGATGTTTTTTGTTGGCACTGACCTTTTTTTCTCTTTTATATTTTTGTCTTTAATACTGTTCTTTTATTGCACTTCTCTTTTCTTTTTTTTTTACCGTAGTTCTTTATCTTATTTATTTTTTGTTTTTTGTACCCAGTATGAATGTGTATGTTGTGTGTACCGCTGCTGTTAACGACTTATTTTCCCCACTGAGGGATGAAAAAAGGAACATCTAATCTAATCTAATCTAAATTATAGCAGTTGATAGAACTGTGCGTTTTACTGAAAAGTGTTCCTATTATTTCGCCCCTCTCTTGTTTGTGTGTAAAATATTAATGGACTTTAGAGTAAACTGATTCCTCTTTAAAAATAAAGACAAAGAACAATAATCAGTTTCCTGATCACCAACAAAATAGTAAAACTTAGAAACCCGCTGACAGTTGAATATTTGTAATTACATTAGATTGTTCATGTGATTGATTTAAGTTTGTTTTCGAATATGCAAACCAATAATATAAAAAATAAACCAAGAAAAGTAAGGTAAAACATTCAAACATAAAACATAGAAATACATATTTAAAAAGGAGTGAGAAGAAGAAGAACTTGTGAATCTGGATGGATCTCTGAAATCAATATTATCCTTCAAATCCTTTAAAATATCATTAAAATCTCCACTAATCATGTATCAAACTCATTATTATCTGTTATGATCATGTTTCTTTCCTTCTTATGTAGACTTATATTGTCTTATACTTATATTGTCGTATACTTATATTAACTCCATAGAAAACCTGAAACACTAAATCCCTTCCTCTTTGTCTGAATTAAAGTTCATTTTTCCCTTAAATCATAACTTCCCTCACACTGAATCATTTCTGTTTATTTATCGGTAGATGATTATTTTTATCTTTAAACATTATTTGAGATGTTTGATATTCCTCAAAGTCTGTAAATTTTAACAGTTTGAAAAACTGCAGAAATCAGAAGTGTGTGTGTGTTCCTGATAGACAACAGTGTGTATAACTATTATTGCTCTGTTTTAAATGATGTTTTATAGTTATTGTTCCAAAGTACGGTGAGATTAGGGAACAGCCACAATGTTCTGGTTGGTTGTCGTGTTCACACTCCTTAGACTAAAAAAAAACCCCATAATATCAAAGACTCGTACTCCAGTCACCCCAGTAAGTGGGCAGTTTATTGCTCCTTAAAGCCACCAGTGGCCCGTCACTTCACAGTTCATCATTGAATATAGGCAGTCATCGAGTTGCAAGAGAAGCAACCACAGCAACACTAAACTGCTTTGTTAGTGGATCTCATCTTCCTACAGCAAAGAAGCAAAAAAAAACAACATCTCTTCTTTATAAATAGAAACCAAGAGCACATAAAAAAAGGGACTACAAATATTTCAAAAGCATCTTTTCCTTTTTCTTACATGAGACGTCTGAAAGCTTTTAAAGTCGGTGCCTGAGACATGATATTTTCTCCCATTATAGAGTAAAAACACGTTAAAACATCGTTGGGATTACATGATCAACATGTAAATGAAGTTCAAACATCTAACAACACAGTTTCTCCAACACACCAGCCCCGTGTCCTGTAACGTCAACTCTTATCACAAAAACAGCTGATTATTCTCTGATGACCTTCAAATGGAAATACAGAAAAATCACAGCAATTGAATTATTATCATACAGAAGATCCTTTTACCAAGTCGGACCTGTTTCCAGAGAGAGTCGGACTCCTCCAGGGCGGCCCTTTGTCTCCGGTTCTGTTCAGAACTTCAGGGGTGGAGGGTGTCCGGTTCGGCAGGCAGAGGATCACGTCACTGCTGTTTGCGGATGATGTGGTTCTTCTAGCTTCGTGGAGCAGTGACCTTCAGCTCTCACTGGGGCGGTTCGCGGCTGAGTGTGAAACAGCTGGGATGTGAATCAGCGCCTCCAAGTCCGAGGTCATGGTCCTCAGTCAGAAAAAGGTAGATCACCTTCTCCAGGTCGGAGGGGCGGTCCTGCCTCAAGTGGAGGAGTCCAAGTATCTCGGGATCTTGTTCAGGAGTGAAGGTAGGATGGAGCGTGGTGAAGAAAGAGCTGAGCCGTAAGGAGAGACTCTGGATTTACCGGTCGATCTACGTGCCGATCCTCACCTATGGTCATGAACTTTGGGTAATGACCGAAAGAACAAGATCGCAGATACAAGCGGCTGAAATGGGTTTCCTCCTCAGGGTGTCCGGGCTCAGCCTTAGAGATAGGGTAAGGAGCTCGGACACTCGGGAGGAGCTCAGAGGAGAACCGCTGCTCCTCCACGTCCAGAGGAGTCAGCTGAGGTGGCTCGGGCATCTGGTTAGGAGAGAGACCTTGTGGCCGGCCCAGGACCAGGTGGAGGGATTATATCTCTCTCCTGGACTGGGAGCGCCTGGGAATCCCCCCGGAGGAGGAGGAGCTGGTGGAAGTGGCCGGGGTGAGGGCCGTCTGGACTTCCCTCCTGAAGCTGCTGCCCCTGCGACCCGGACCAGGATGAAGCGGATGAAAAAGACGACGACGACAGAAGATGCTTGTGCTTTCAAAAAAACCACCAACACTCCAGCTCACACTGAGAGGCAGAAGATCCGTGTCTTCTCATGTCTAAATACAATTTCCCAAATTTACATGTCAGCTCAGAATCATCAGAGTGAGTCGAAGTTGTTTCTGTTTGTAATATAGAGATCCTCGTCTGTCTGGTTATAAAACAGCAGCATACTTCTTCTACTCATGGCTACTTCACGATGGCAAAGCCGGTGTTTGATTTCTGTTTTTTTTTGTTTTTTTTGTTTTTTTTGCACAGTGGTGTTGTTGTTGTTGTTGTTGTTGTTGTTGTTGTTGTTGTTGTTGTTGTTGTTGTTGTTGTTGTTGTTGTTGTTGTTGAGGCGTCAGTTATTTGCTGCCAAAGGAATAAAAACGTGTTTATTGGATGTCAGGTAGAAGGTGTGTCTGAGCTCTGAACACGACCACCTAAAGGCCGAGAAGCTTTTGTCTGATCTTCAAGTTCTCTGCTGGAAACCCTGAAGGATTATTTCTGTTTAAGCAGAAGCAGTTCTGACAGAAACCGTGTTGCGTCGAGTACAGGTTAGCTTAGCGTTGGCTGGAAACTGTTGCATATGCCACACCCCCACAGTGTGCGAAGGATACAGATGTTGAGAGGCGATGAAGAAGCTGTCCTCCATGTTGGCTAGAAGCTGTCGTCTTCGTCTCTGCGGGACATGATGAGCTGCCTCCTGGGACCCGTGAGATGGGGGACACTGGACGGGGAGTCGAACACCCCGGAGTCCAGTCTGGGAGTGGAGGTGCAGCGCGGCCCCACGCGACCCATGAGTCCACGCACATCCCTGTGAAGGGCCGGATCGCTGGGGATGGAGTTCAGACGGACCCCCTGTTCGTGAATGTCCCGGTCCAGACGGGGGTTACTGGCACTGCTGGGAGACTGAGGATCAGCGCTGAAGTATAAGGTGGAACTGGACTCTGTGGGACAGAAGTAGGGCTCAGGACTGTCCCCGAACACGGACTTTCCCTCCGGTGAGCTCCGTTTAAAATCGGAAGCAGGCGACTCCAGCGGACTCTCCATCTCCAGGCTGTCGTCGTCCTCCTCCTCCTCCTCCTCCTCGGGGGGTTCGGTGGTCGTGGGTTCACTCACGCTCTGAAATTCATCCTTACAGTCCGAGAGAGGAGCCAGGCCCTTCCCCTGAGACTCGGAGGTGGAGACACCCTCGTCCCCCGCCGTGATGGTCATGCCCTCATTACTCTTATACTCCTGGTTGTACTCCTCCAAGTCCAGTATGGCCGCCGCTCCTCCGGCGCCGTACGCCCTGTTGATCTTCCCCAGGTCTCCTGTTTTCAGAGCCAGCCGGATGAGGAGCCAGTGGTGATGGTAACACGGGCAGGAGCTGTTGGCCCGGCCCCCGCAGGTCCCGGGGTGCTCCAGCAGAGAACCGGCCACACCTGAGAGGGAGAAGCTGCCGTGGTTTTGGATGGAGATGGAGGGAGCTGGAAGACTTTTGTCCCCGAGAGAGAAGGACGACTCCCCGCGCTCGATGCATGTGCTGCCCATGTGGTTACGGTTGGTTCCCTGGGAGATCTCGGTGGACTTTGGGTGGAGGAAACGGTAATATAAGACCAGGGAGGTAGCACCTAGGACGAAGGAGACAAGGAAGGATTAAAATCAGACCTCAGGTGACGGACATCTGCTCCTCAAACTCTTCATGAAACCTCCTCATTATCAAAACAAACATCAAATCTTTAATCACATCGCTCAGAGTGAAAGATCAAACCTGGTCGACGACGCTGCTCTAAAAACAAACCAAAGAAGAAGAAGACAGAGAGAAGGTGACTCACCGAGGAGGAAGCTGCAAAGCACAGCGGTGGGAAGGGTCATGCTGTCCCATGATGCTTCACTTAAGAAGTCAGAGGCGGCCAGCAGCAGCGTGGCGTTCTCTATGAGCATGAACTGAAGGAGAGGAGAAGGTCACAGCGTCACTAAATACGCAGACGTGAGGACAACCGTGCAAACTACCTCCTCTCTGCGCACGTCAACGAGACTGTCAATCAAACTCAAGATCGTTTCTGTTCGTGTCTTACTGCATAAAAACTGGCCATGCGGAAGCGCGAGGGTCCGTCTTTAACGTTGAGGAAGAGGAAGACGTGGACGAGGCCCATGATGGCGTTGAAGGCTCGCCAACACCAGGGGCCGGTGCAGATGTCAGGCTGCTGTGAAACCAGCCAGAAGGAGGCGGTGAGCCAGTGGAAACCTGGAGGTCGACGTAGAAATAGATGTGGAGTCAACATAAAGCAGGATACGAGGACACGCTGCATCACTGAGGGTCATCACGACACCACGGGAATTTACATAAAGAGTGCATTAATTTATTATTATTATTATTATTATTATTATTATTATTATTATTATTATTATTATTATTATTATTAATAATAATAATAATAATAATAATAATAATAATAATAATAATAATAATAATAATAATAATAATGATACATTTTATTTATAAGGACACTTAACAGGATAAAAACAACAGAGATAAAAGCAACAGAGAAAACAAAAATATATGTAAATATAAATAAAGTAAATAAAAACATGCATGAGTTACAGAATGATTCACATCAGTGGTTCTCAACTGGTGGGTCCCGACCCAAAAGTGGGTCACAGACACATTCTGAATGGGTCGCCAACAGCTGGTCAAAAAAGTAAAGATTTAATGCTCATCTGATGTTTGACGTGTCTTTTATTTTGAAAGGAACGTTTATTTGATATTTGATGTTTTCTGTATAAGTAGTTGTCGTCCTCAGTTCATGTTCTCTGAAATCCACTTTACTCGGGTGTAAAACGGGTGTATTAATGTTAAAGATTTGAGTCTTTAAAGTTTACTACATTTACTTGGTTTGGATTCTTTAACAGTGGGTCAGGACTGAAGGACCGTGAGAAAAATGTGGGTCCCAGAGTGAGACCAGTTGAGAACCACTGATCTACGCCCTCTGTCTTCTTCTCTGAGTCTCACCTGCTACTCCACAGACCCACCAGTTGAAGACCCTGGCGAAGAACATGAGGCAGGTCACCCTGGCACCCAGCATCCCAGCCCTCCACACCAGCTGACACAGCAGGGCGGCCGGCGGCATGGCCAGGTGACCCGGTCGAATCAGACAGCAAGCTCTGCTGTACAACACCAGCGCCCAGGAGATGGACAGCACACACAGACCGCAGCAGTACGCCACTGAGCGAGGAGGAGGAAATAGACGTTATTCCTCATCCAGACACTTCCTACAACAACAGACACAAACTTCATCTGATTATCGACGCTGAAATCAGGTTACCAGGAGACATGACGCCCACATCGGTGGACACCACCACATACGCCTGCAGCAGACTCTGGGGCAGCGTGAGGACCAGGGCCTCCAGCAGCCACAGAGCAGCAACATCTGCCTGCTGCATGACTGCGACTCCCAGATCAGCCACAGAGTCCTGCATGCGGAACACAGCCCTCATGCAGTCCCACAACCTGCCAGGAGAGGGAGACAAAGACAGGAGCAGTGAGACACACTGTCACCTCCTGATGAAGGTTTCAATGACACCAGGATGATGAAACCTCAGTGTTCAAGTCTCACCTTTTGAATATCCCCAAGTGCAGGATGTGAATCACAGAGAGGTAACAGCGCCTGTCATCGCCGTCGTCATAGTACCACTTCACACTCAGCAGCTGGACCGCCGTACCCGGGAGGAAGAGGCCCAGAGTGAGGCCCGCCCACTGCGTCTCCTCGTTCCAGAGGTAAAAGCCTATACAGTAGATCACTAACACACAAACACACACAAATAAAGACACACAGCTGTCAGTATTAAGTCTACTAATGTTTGTTTTTCATTAACCCCAGAAGACTGTCGCTAAAATTAGAAACACCGTCACTATCGCCTGAAATAATAAACCCAAGAAAAAGACCTTGTCATCAAAATAGGACAAAACATGAGAAATTAAGTCTTTTATTTTAACTGTTTAATGTCCAAAGGGAGGAAAAAGAGCCATGAAGGGACCAGATAAAAATGCATCAAAATAACTGAAATTAGGCATTCATCAACAAAAAATCCTAAAAATATATATATAAACTGTTAAGTCATTTTCTTTTCCATGTGAGTCTTCTCTGGTTCAGACTCAGGGTCCTCGGCACAATAACAGGAGAGAGAACCAGAATCTGTCAGATTATGAGTAAAAATGATTAAAGCTGACTCCAATATTTCTGATCTCCACCTGAATTCTCTTAAGAATCACGACTTTGTGATAGTTATTCATAACCACTGCGCTAAATAAAGATAACATGTAAACTCCAGGACCACTCTGACTGACCTTACAGAACAAACAGACTCAAAAACAGCAATAACTGCCCTCAATGCTTTATGAATAACCTGTAACACAGTGTATAGATGTAGTGGAATTGTTCAATACCAACTGACAGGATGTCTGGTAGATGTGCACGTGTGTGTTTTATTATTGCAGTATTTATTACTGTAGTGTTAATATTTTATTTATGCACTGACCGTCTGGCACTTTTAAATGTCGTTGTACGAGTTACAATGACAATAAAGGACGATTCTACTATTCTACATGCAGCTGTCAAATCCACCCAAACCCACTTTCATCATGAACATCACCCAGAGATCGTCTTCTAGGGTTTATAATCTATCCTATTAAGTGAGGAAATCAATCCACGTGCACACTCACTCCACCGTGCACACTGACTCCAGCTGACTGTCCTTCAGTTTCAGAGATGCTGATCCAGCTCTGTTTGTAATTCAGGCTTTAATGAAGCTAACACTTGTCTGTAATAACACACTGATGATGATGATGATGATGATGGTTTGTGAGTCCACCCCGTCACTAAACTGAACGTTTCTATAACGTCCTCTTTTCTCTGTTACAGCCTGACTCCACTGTGGGGTCCGTGGCGCAGGAAACAGTATTTTGGTCCTGAGGGAATGATAGAGCAGCCGGAGGTAAAGTCACACTTTGTTCTCATCCTGTCCTTGGCCCATTGATCTGCTTAGTCAGGTACACATCACACCTGAGAGAGAGAGAGAGCTGCACACCTGTTCAGATCAGCGTTTATTACTCTATATTAACACTTTTAGTGCTGATGGTGGTAAAAAATATCTATTTAAAATATTTACTTTGGAGGGTAAATGCACAGAGGTGTACATGTCCACAGGTTAACGGTCATTTTCTGCAGGGGTTAATGGTTGTAGTTATCACGTGACCCTGCGGAATGACCCTCAGAGGTCCTGGGCCCCCCCCCAGCCTGACAAACAGAATAGTATTTGTATTTGCATACAGCAGAGTGGACACAGAGTCACCGTGGGTAACAGCAGCACGATCATCTCCGTGTTGATGGTGTCTAACCTGCTCGGTCTGCACGAGGCATCATGGCTGATCAACATTCATTCACTACAGCCGACCAAAACACCCCCACCCACCCCTCCAAAACAACACCCCCACCCTCTGTATCCATGCCCCCCTCCACCTCTGCCCCGCTCCGAGCTCATTTCTCTGCCCACTTACGAGCGCTCCGTTCGGCCACGATCACCAGCGCCGACACGCCGAGCAGCACCGCCTGACACCAGGCGATCCAACATCCGCTCCGCCGGGCCGCCGAGGGCATCCTGCGGACGACCGCCGCCGCCGCAGCGTTCATCATGACCGGGAGGAGAGGAGCGGAAACACCCGAGACATGGTGATCATCCTGGGCTTCAGCAGCAGCAGCAGCAGCAGCGCCCCGGGAACAGAACCGGGTTCAGATCCGCTCCGTCTTCTTCTCCCCCCTCACCCCACCCCCCCCTCCAAAATACATGACGTCACTGCGCGCGCGGTGTTAAAGGGGCATCAGTTTACTGCGCTCGTGCCTGTAAACACAGCTCACCTTCCGGCTCACCTTGGCCCGTCTCCTCCTCGTGAACACCTCTGTAGATCACTGACGGACCTTTAAATTAAACAGGTTATAGGGGAGACCGGGGCTTGTTGTCACACTTTTTACACTCTTCTATATTTTTTTTAAATCAATCCGTCAGATATAATCAAAATATGAACCAGACTAAAGACCAAAGTCTCAGGTTTATATTTCATATTCATGTCATTTTAATATCATGTGTCAGTGCAGAGTTATAACCAATCAAACAGAGAGTGGGATCATGTGACATGTTGCGCCACCATCAGGTAAGTTGTCTCACTACATGGGGTAAGATGTCACAGTGGATCTTAGAGCTAATAAAACAAGAACAAAATTATTCTTGTTCTTATATTTTTACCTGAAAGTGAAAATTAAAGTCAGACAAACGTAATTAACAAACGTTACACAACAGTCCTCCTGACCTCCTGCACAAAATCTGAACAAAGACCCTGTTATAACGAGCTCGGGTTAAAGACCCCTAATGCTCCTGTTGTGTTGAATCTGGCGCCCCCTGTGGACAAAGTAGGTATGCAGATTTTGTCCTGTTATGTACGTCTGTAGAGTTAGTATCATGTCCCATGTAGAAGGTAACTGATGCTGTGTTTAAGTTACCTCAGAAGTCCAAGATCTTGTCTGTCCAGGATTTATCGTCTTCATTATTAAAGGTCTGGTTTTACTTTGGTGGGTCATAGAGACATCAGTATGAATCACAGTCTGTCTCCTCACAGGAGCTTTAACTGTACCTGCGCTCTCCTTCATCCTCTGATATATTTACTAAACTCTTTAATTCGACACCGTTAACTCGTGTTTTATTCACAGATTCATGAAGACAGCTCTACAGTGCGTAGTTTGGTCTTGGTCACGTCTGTATCCCATCATAACAGGATGCTTATTTGCAGACTAAACAGAGAAAATCAAGTGTCTGAGGTTTTCCTCTCAACACTTAGCTCACCTTCACGTCGTCATGCATGAGCACTAATGTTCACTTTAGGAAACAGAGTCAGACGTCAGATCACACATAAAGAGAGAGACGCAGTTTTCTCATGTCGAGTTTATAAAGATGTTCCAGTGATACAAAATAAAGTCAAACATGTTTATAAATTTAGTTTAAAATTAGAAAAAGAATAAGTTAGAAAATACAGAATTTAAAGCCTGCTTTAAACCAAGTCCCTGGTTCTGGTTCTGGTCCTGGACCACACTGGTGAAGTCTTGACTCTTCACACGCTTAAGTCTCTGGAGAGTAAAGGCAAGGCAATCCATGATTAAGATTAGGGTCTTCAAATAGGGCAGGAAGAGACAGCTGCTGAGTTGACCTGTAAGGATTATATGCTGGGATTAGACGGCTGTCTCAGGGCTCTGATATGCAGCCGCTCTCCTGCTTGATGTTAGCTGCATGCAGAGGTAGAGGCGGCCTGCCGTGTTGCAGCACTTCTCTGCTCTTTGAGGGCTTGTAGAGGTTCAGCTCTTCCTCCTCTCTGAGCTCCTTTTTATGTCCTGATGTCTCCATCGTCTTTATTAATCCAAGCATGTCTCCTTTGTCCTCCTCTGCTTCTGCAGCCATGGCCTCCAGCTGCTCCGCTGTCTCGCTGATATCAAACCTCTCGATCTCAGAGTTGACTCTGTGCAGCTCCTCCAGCGTGTGTCTCCGGGAGGCCGAGGGGGAGAGCGGGCAGAAGCCCTGGAGATGCACCTGGAGGCTGCAGTGGTGGAGGTAGGCGCAGGGGCAGCGAGGACAGCGGTGAGGTCGCTCGCCGCTGTGGAGGCGTTTGTGGAGCTTGAGGTGGACGAACTGCGTGAAGCGGGCCGAGCAGAGTTTGCACTGATAGGGCCGTTCTCCAGAGTGGAGCCTCTGGTGGGTCTTCAGGTTACTAGTGCTGCTGAATCGTTTATGGCAGACCTGCAACGAAACAGAAACAACGTTTAGGAACCTGGACCTTCAGCTTTGAGGGACAGGAGGACTTTAGATCTTCTACACCATCAGACCGTCACTGAGAAGGTCAAGAAATAACCTTTGAGGAACTTGTTGAATCGTGGTTTTTCACACTTTGGTTCTTATATTTAGAGAAAGAGAAAGAGAAAGATTTGTCATGTCCGTTCGCTCTGAGGTGTGTCATGTGGTTTTCAGCTGTTCGCTGTTTTTCCTGTCTTTTGTCGAGCTGCAAGTTTGCATGAAAGTTGTGAAAATGTCCAGAAACGATACCGAAACGTTTGTCTGACTCGCTGCTTCACCTTGCATTCATGTGGTTTCTCTCCTGTGTGAACCAGGTAGTGTTTCTGCAGGTGGGCCAGCTGGGTGAAGTTCTTGTTGCAGGTCTGACACCTGAAGGGGCGCTCCCCGCTGTGAACACGCAGGTGAACCTGAGAGACAGAGAGAGATATTCTGTGAGAAACACGTCAGCTTTCTGTATTCATGTCAACAATCCATTCAACCTTTTATCAGCCGAGTTTGTTTTTTAATGATTTCAGGTGTTCAGAGGGTTTTTATTTAAAGGGATATTCCGGCTAAAATTAATTCAGGGTTATTTGGTTTTCTTAACCATCAGTTCCTGTTAATTTGAAGCTCCATCCAGCCTCCTTTGCCCCCAAAACGGACATGCAGAAAAGTGTTCATAAAAAAATAATTTTAAAATTTTTTTTCTTACTTTTTTCGACTCATATCTCTTAAACAACTTCAGCCCTGACCATTAAAAAACAATAATAATAATGTTTTAGCCTTTTTATGACAGTTATTTTGCACCATGTCATTGTTACTTTTAACGGTAAAAAACACAAAATCCCAATATTTCCCATATAAATGACCTAGATGATTTATTTTCTAATAAATAGATATTGGCCATGTCAATGATGAGAAGTAAAACAGATTTTGTTGCATTTAGATTCTTTCTGTCGGGCCGATTTCCGTATTTTAGCTCCATCCAGCCCCAAAAATAGACATGCAGAAAAGTGTTCATAAATATTAAAATATAAATCATTTTTAAACCTTTTTTTTAAATATAAAACATATATTTTACTCATAAATATTGATTGAAAAGTTGCTCTTTAGTGAAGTTGTTGATGGCTCTTAAATCTTCATTAAATCTTCAGACCAGCTGTGATCACTTCCTGTCCGCTCACAGCCTTAAACCGCGTCATCTGTCACCTTTCTGATTTTTAAGGTTATGCGTTCTCTGAGGACGGGGAGTACCTGGCGTACGGCACCAGAGCCAGTAGAAACTATAACTAGAGAAGTAAGCGGTCGACAACATCCATCTCTGCACTCATACACAGTCGAACCTCTGTCTCTGATCCCCCTCAGACCGTGTCTCAGTCTCTGCAGAATCCTCTAAATTCCTGATTTTATAAAAAGATAAAAACTGAAGAGTTGAAACGTTTCTGCTGCTCTCTGTGTGGGAAACTCAGATTTCTGTGATTCTCAGGCGGCTGTCAGTGTTGAGTAAGAGCGCCGCGGTGAAGGAACTAACCTTGAGGTTGGACAGCTGCCCAAAGACCTTCCCACAGACGTTGCACTCATAGCGGATCTTCCCGTTCTGCCTGGCGAGGGGGTAGGACAGGGTCTTGTAGCCGATCATCTGTCCCCCTTGTTTGGTCTTCCTGAGGTCCACTGCATGATCTGTGTTGCTCCGAGTGGCGGGGGTGGGTTTGGAAGGACGGGGGTCCGAAAAGGCGGGTCTGCCCACCGGTGGTGAACATCCTCCAGGCGACAGAGAGGGCAGCGCTCTGTGACTCTGTAAGGCGATCATGGATGACGCTCCGGATGTTGCAGGTACATCAGGGTCTGTGGGCTTGAACGCTCCGAGGTCATCTGAGGGGACCCTGAGGTAGTTTGTTCGTTCCAGTATGAGGTCTTTGTGGTCTTTGTGGTCTCTGTGGTCTTTGTGGTCCCTGGTCGGTGAAAAAACGGGGTCTTGTTTGGTGTTGGAGAGTACAAGTGTCAGGTCTTTGTATCTGCTGGTCAGAGGATGGAGGAAAGTGGCGTAATGACTGAACGGCAGCAGAGGAGACGAGAACGCCGCCAAGTTGGGTTTGAGTCCCTCGCCGTAGAGAGGGTACGAGTGAGGTAGAAGGCCGAGGGAGTAGTGAGGCGACAGGTAGGGAGGACGCCTCAGGGCGGGATGGACCCGGTCAGGACCAGAGGGTTCTTGGTAAGGTTTGGGATGAACCGCTCCCTGACTGTGCTGGAAGTTGAAGTGCAAACTGGAGGGGACAGGACTGCTGAGAGACGGTCTTTTGGCGGCTGGAGGACTGCAGGACTGCAGGGACGGTAGAGAGACATATCTGGGCTCTGAGCGGGTCTGGATCGGGTAGACGACACGGGGACACAGAGGGAAAACTGGAGGGAGGTCCACACGTGTGGCGGTAGTCGTCGGAGGTTTGCTGAGTTCATCTCGGAGGATTTCAGAGACGCTGTGTCCTCGTTTCCCCGCGGTCTTCTCAGCTGGACTCTGATCTGTGGAGGAAAGAAACTCATCAGAACCAGAAGAGGAACCGTGTTTAAACTGAGAGCAGAAGGGACGGTCCCAGAGACTCAGACACATGAGGAGACATCGGTGCTACTGTAGATGCCAACAGACTACCAGCAAACACAATGTTTGCAGGACTTCTACAACGAGGATAAAGTGACATAGTCCAGGACCCGAGGGAGGACAGTTTAGCGATGGCGCTACAACACGCTACAGCAGGTCCGTTTGACAAGAAACACTTCTGTTACAGACACTTGTCTTACTTTGTTAAAGCGGTTTACCTGTCCAGCAGAAAGGTTACAGGGTCACCAAGATCCCCAAGCGTCCCCCATCGTTTATGTTGACCCGGCTTTTTAGCTCTTGTCCGGTCTACCTCCGTTTTAAGCGCCCGTTATTCCTCCAGAGTCTCCGGTATTTACTTTGTTTTCTTGCTTGTGTCGGCACTGTTTTCTTGTTGACTGATTATGGTTGACTGTTTTCTTGCTGACTGTTTTCTTGCTGACTGTTTTCTTGTTGACTGTTTTCTTGCTGACTGTTTTCTTGTTGACTGTTTTCTTGTTGACTGTTTTCTTGCTAACTTTGTTTGGGCTCCTGAACGACACGGGGGAGCACTGTTTTCTTGTTGACTGTTTTCTTGTTGACTGTTTTCTTGTTGACTGTTTTCTTGCTGACTGTTTTCTTGTTGACTGATTATGGTTGACTGTTTTCTTGCTGACTGTTTTCTTGTTGACTGATTATAGTTGACGTTTTCTTGCTGACTGTTTTCTTGTTGACTGTTTTCTTGTTGACTGTTTTCTTGCTGACTGTTTTCTTGTTGACTCTTTTCTTGCTGACTGTTTTCTTGTTGACTGTTTTCTTGCTGACTGTTTTCTTGCTGACCGTTTTGGTGTTGACTTTTTTCTTTTTGACTGTTTTCTTGTTGACTGTTTTGGTGTTGACTTTTTTCTTTTTGACTGTTTTCTTGCTGACTGTTTTCTTGCTGACTGTTTTCTTGTTGACTGTTTTCTTGTTGACTGTTTTTTTTGACTGTTTTGGTGTTGACCGTTTTCCTGTTGATTGTTTTCTTGTTGACTGTTTTCTTGCTGACTGTTTATGTTTGACTGTTTTCTTGCTTGTGTCGGCAGTCGTGGCCAAAGGAGGATTCAGACAATTTTCCGAACTTTCTGGTTGGTTTCTACTGTCCGATATTGTAGCACGCTAACTTTGTTTGGGCTCCTGAACGACACGGGGGAGCAGCGTCTGCCTCACAACCAATCAGGTTAGAGGAGGTGGAGAACGGCTTTGTTTACAGTCAGAAAGAGCGGACCGCTCAAAAATGTTCAAATGTTGACGACACAGACATAAGAGAACACAGAGATATCGATATATTACCAAATAATCAATAACTAATAACTATTGACTGATATTAGAAGAGTTTTTGTATTAAAACCACAAGATAAAAAGCTTCTTTAACGTTTTCCTGCCTTCTCCACCTTTAAGGGGAAGTTGTTTTACGTCGTAAGCAGGCAGGATGCAAACGTGTCAAAAATAAACGTACATATGTGTGTTTTTATCTGACAGGAAGTGATTCACCACAGATCACAACCACACGGTCGTGAATCATCCCAGGAGCCGCACATCGACCTTCACATTCACGTCTTTGTGCTCAGGTCACAGACTCGAAACGTAGACCTGAATCTGGACTTTACTGTGGAGCATCCTTCAACTCTCATCATGGGGGGGTCAGCTTCACAGGAAGTCAAACTACAGGGGTGTGCATGTTCACCTCACCCACACTCACTCACTCACACCCACCCTTATCTCCCCCCTCAGCTCTCACAAACAAACACGGACTCTCAGTGAGATCTCCGTCTGTCAGCGGGTCGCCTCCTCAGGAAGTTGAAGTAGTCACTGGAGCGCTTCCCACCTCTCTTCCTCCTTAAGAGCCGAATAAATAAGAGGACCGGTGCCAGAATACTGTCAGCACCCCGGGCCGCCTCTCGCGAGTGAGCGCGTGCAGGAGCGTGTGCATGAATGAGCGTTGTGGTGCGTGTGTGAGGGCTCGGCCTCTTTGTGTTTGTGAATGAAAGCCGAATGCTTTGTGTGTCAGAGAGCTGCTGGCTGTGTTAGAGAAAAGGGAAACGTGGCCCGCAGTCCTGGGAACGGGCTCGTCTTCCTCAGGTACTATGGTTCTACCCGGAGTCAGACCCGGTCTGATTTCAGGACTCAACCGCTCTCCATTGTGTCCTCTTCAAACAAAAGGACTGTGGGTGTGACCGAGAGACTTCTTAAAGACCGGGACAAAGGGACTGTCAGACGGTCTGGGCTTTGATTAGGAGCCTTCAGCTGCTTTTCTACCAGACAGTTTACCGGATCACCTGTCCGCCTCGCTCTGACAGGTGGAGCTGATGGGGGACTATAGGGGAGTCAGGGCCGGTCTAATCAGAGAGGGACCATGTTTCAAAGGACGCCAGCTCAGAGAAATATTTCCCACAATCCAACAGTAAACAGTATATCTTAGCTGCAGCGTTGCACAGAAACAAGTGACAGAAAGGACCGATCATGCTTTTATTTTGAAAGGAACTGTATTTGTATCCGTATCTACTAAAAGGTCGTATCCTCCGATCGTAGCTGATCGTAACCATTCAAGTTAACGTGTCAATTTACACCGACTTCTTTCCGTTCCTCTGAGGATCGCCGGACTCCAGATAAATTCAGCACAGATTAACCCGTGCTGGAAAGGAAGTCGGGCACAGACACAAAATAAAACATCCGGCTTCTTTTCAAAATAAAACACTCCGTGTTTCAGGAGGATCGTATTTCACACCATGCAAACGGGCGGAGACGAACAAGTGAAAGGTTTTTAGACGTCATTTCACCCCGATGACACCATGGATGAGGAGATGCTGATTCTAGAAGTCTAGAAGTAGATTTCCTCCTCTGGAAGGACACAATCTACTGCTTATATGTCTATGTGTCTGTCTTTAGAGAGACAACTTGTTATCGCGTGATTGAACGTGAATCTGCAGGTTCTTGTGAGTTCTTGCGATTCCTGCTGTCTGTAATCCACCATGAAATTCGCCTCACAAATGGATCCGGTAGGAATTGGCGGACGGCGAAAATCGGCACCGTTTTAAATGCGGTGGAAATCCCAGGTTAGTCATGCTTGTGACATGAATCCAAATCCAGCTCTCCAACAATAATCTCACAATAATTCAGACCTAATGTCTCCTGAACTCCCACAAAAATCAAACTAAAAACTTCCTGAATTTCTGAGCTGCATGTGTGAACACAAACAGCCGACATGTTCCTCCTGATTTTGACGGGACTTTTTCCTGTCATCACCAGAGTTTGACGGAGAACATCATCTGCTCTCGCTAATACAAATGCAAAAGTCGTCATCATGGCGAAGGTCTCTGTATGAAACTGATCCTCCATCTTTAACTTCATGTGTGAACTAAGAACTCCAGAAAACTTGGATAAATTTCGGACATTTTCAGGCGTGCAGGTTCAGGACAGAGACTCACCTGGACCGTCCATGGCCAGTTGTCCCAGCGGGGGGTAGTTACAGCGCTGGGCGAACTCATGGCAGTACCACACCAGGAGCTCCTGACCCGGCTGAAGAGCTTTAACGGTGTAGAAGTAGATCTCCAGACCGTTCTGACAGGCCACCAGGTTCTGCTCCTCCACGGTTCGGGCCGGGTTCACAAACCGCATCCAGTTGCTGCGCTCCTCGTTCAGACCGTCCAGGATGTGGTGAAAAAACCCTCCAGAGAAGACCTAGAGAAGAGAGCGGTGAGGCGCCTGAATTAGATCTGTGATCTGGATCTGAAACCGTGATCTCACTCTTGATGATGGGAACTCGTGTATGTTCTTTCAGCTGACATAACAAGAGTCAGCCACAGCTGCCAGAGCGCGTCTCTCTCTGTATGACTGGACTGTAGTACTGGTTATAAACCATCACGCCCACTGAGCCTCTCTGCAGAAGAATCATCTCTGCATCTGCTGACCTTTAAAACCCTCTTTAACACTGAGAACCTCTCTGACGACTCTCAAGAAACGGGATCAACTCACAAAACCTACACCTGGAGAAAAGTACCTGATGGGAAAATAAAATAGAGAGGGAGAAAAAACAATAATTTACAAAATATAAACAACAAACTCTTATTATCTATGGATCCAAATAACTCTTTAAAAACAAAGGAGAGAAGGGAGGTGGAGGCCAACATCCACGTTTCTGAGGAGGATCGGTACAGAGTATTTACTGAAGCACATCAGGTTATAAACTGGAATACATGGAGGGAATTCAGATGGAAAATAATAACTCGATATTTCAGAACAGCAGAGATAGAGTCAAAGATGGGTCCACAATATCCCAGTTCATGTTGGAGAAACTGCAGAGCCCAAATAGATAACCACACCCACATATTTAGGCTCCGCCCTAAATCAAGAGTGTTTTAGACGGAGGTTTTTAAAATGAAGATCCCTCGATACAGGGAGTAATGTCTGAAGGTTTGGACAGGAGGTCAGAAAAATAAAACATCTTCAACATCTTATTGAGTCTAGAACCATCAGAACCGACTGAATGGTCGTCTGTTTCGGCTCCTCGCTCCTCTCGGGGTTTGTAACCTTTGGCGTTGCGCGTGCTCTGCGGCGTGGCGCTGCTTCAGGTGGTGAAAAAGATTTGAGGTATTCCCCGACTTTGTGAGAACATGTACTCGACATAATTTACAGTCCACATTACTCTGCTTCATGTCCGACCTCCAAAAACCAAAATACCTCCACACCACCGACGTTTTCCTAACGCCAGTGTTGTGGTTGACATTGATGTGGTCATCTGTTGAGCCTTCATGGTCATTTCTGTCGGGGGTAGCACTCATTTTCTTTGTTTCTCACCTTCTAATTCAGAACATGATTGGTTCAGACCCGGAGAAACTCCCCTTTTCATTGGCTGTTCATATAGTCGACCAAAACATGTCAGAATGACGACTATTGAAAAGGATATTGATCATGTTTTTTATCGATATTAAGGTAAATTAATTTTTTGATATATATCGTTATCGTTTACACTTTTTTGTTGTGCTTAAAAATGTAATAAAAATTAAGTAAAAAAAAAAAATAAAATTTTTAGCTGACTCAGCTTTTTCTGACTGTCAGCTCCTTCTCTCTCTGCGGTTCGAGTCTCGGCTGTAAATCTAACAGGCCGTCTGTGTTTTTATGGTTGCAGGATTTTCTCCAAACTGAAGAATCTCACAGACGTCTGAGTGTCATGGAAGAAGATGTCCTGATGGTGACGATGTTTCTTCTTCGTACCCGAGCCGCTCTCAGGCTCAAAGCCACTTCCTCGCTCGCTTAGTCAGCGTGAGAGTTTGTGAGTCTGGAGAAGTGCGGACATGTGTACGTATGCTTTATTTACTGGCAGCGATACCACGGCGAGAGAGAGGAGAAACGCTGCGTCACTGAAACCAAACAGCTGTGTGTGTGTGTGTGTGTGTGTGTATGTGTGTGTGTGTGTGTGTGTGTGTGTGTGTGTGTGTGTGTGTGTGTGTGTGTGTGTGTGTGTGTGTGTGTATGTGTGACCTCAGAAAGCCACACAGAGAACTGGCAAGCATCCATCTACTTTGTGATCTGGTTGCATTTTGAAAAGTCATACTTTCACAGGATGTCAGACGTTGACCACAGCTGCTAACTCGTGCCACAGCGACGCCCCTAAATGAAGGTACAGGATGTGAACCGTTTCAAACACACACACACACACACACACGCAAGAACAGGATCCAGAGACCCACTTCGATACCCACGGCTCTCTTACCCTCCAGAAATACTTCCTGTTGGCGTCTCTCAGCAGAGTCTCATTGGAGTAGATCTCTCCAATCAGAGGGCCGAAGCGTGTCCCTTTAGGGATCAGCTCCCTGCTGGTCACCCCGAGGACCTGTGGGACAGAGACGACACGAAAAACTCTCAGATTAGAGACCTGAGGGTGTTCAGTGATGGGCACGGCAGTTCTTTAAGATGGACTGAATCACTAAATAGATTCGTTTAAAAGATTCGTTCATCAAATCAACAAATCATTTAGCGGGAAGAGCCTGCGACTCTGACCTCCTGAACTGAAACACAGCTGAACGTTCAGGATTCAGCTTCTGGGACCAAGAGACGAGAGTGTTTGTCTGTGTTTCTTTGACAAACAGGTTTGTAAAAATGAACTTGTTTATTAGTCATGATGTTTTAAGTGTCCTATGGTCTGATATTTACCAGGTCTGCTAAAATAATTGGAGTCAGTGAGAGATTCACACTGAACATGCACCTTTCCCTCCCAACTGAAGTGAGAAACGAACAAATCACCCAAGGAAGTGATTCGGTTCAGTACGTTCACTTAAAAGATTCGGTTCTTTTGAGCGAATCGTTCACAAACGACACAACACTAATGATGTTTAACCTCCTCCTGTGTTCGTAAATGCTTAAAAGAACCACTTAACCCTTTAATACCTGAAAACACAAATTATGACCAAAAAATTCAATTTTTTTTGAGCTGAAATGTTTATTTCATTTACTACTAAAAAACAAAATCAAAATGTCCTTAAAATTTAACAAATATATTTATTTATCTGGTTTGATTCATTAGATGTTTCTGGAAACTGATAAACTACAAGAGTATATTTTTATCATTTATCAGACTGTATTCAGGTGTTTTTTTTTTTTGGTAATTTGTTGATCATATTGATTTGATGGAAGTTTATAAAAGTATCAAGTATGATAGAAAAAGGCATTAAAGGGTTAAATTAGTTTTTTTGCATCAACTCTTTGACTTTGTCAGGAATCTGTTTCAATGAAATAAAAAAATAATTAAATTGACTAAATTATAAAATGCTCTTATTAAGATTATGTCACTTGTCGTGTTCGAGTCGCTGTTGACCCGCTTAGATCGGACAGTGACAGTCAGATCAATAGTCAGATCCTTTTCCAATCATCGTTTTTTCATGATTTTCCTGCACAAAAAACAACATCAGACATGTCCAGACATGTGAGATCAGTTCAGTACAGATGTCTGTATGAGGACCACAACAAAAAAATATTATAATCAATATTTTCATGGATAATGAGGCCGAACAAGGTAACCTAGAGATGAGAACCAAAGTGGATGATAGAGAACTGTTTTGAATTTACAGCTGATTTTAGACCCGGGTCAAACACGGACCCTGAACATGGAGGAAGAAGGTGAATAAAAACAGTCTAAAGTCGTCTCTCTGGAAAACTGTCCCCTGAAAACGTCTCCAGAGGCCCGAACGACCACAGACAGGTTATTGAGCGCTGTGACAGGATGAGTCCCGCTCTTCACATGCTGAATATTTCATAAACCGATCATCTAAGTTATCTTGAGTTTCTCTGCCGTATTAAAATTTCACCAGCGCTCTTGTTCTGCTCTCTGCAGGTGTGAAACTCAGCCCTGAGAGTGTGGAGCCTTCAGGGTGTGGAGGAGAGGATAAGGTGTCACCGGCACACCCAGGCCGCTCAGATCTGTCTTTAAAACCCCCTGAAGCTATGCCGACATGCTAACGTCCTCTCTCTCTCAAACAGACCCTGAACCCCTGATCCTCAGTCCTGAAGTTTGTCCTCTGACTGTCCCTGTCTGAGCTCTCTGGGGCTGCAGACGACCTGAACTCCTCCTGCTCTTCCTCCAGACGGAGGTCATCAGAAGGTTAAAGTGGTGGCTCAGGTATCTCACCTGCTTCCTCTGATCTCTATCTCTCATCTGCACAAGTTCAACTCTAATCTTGTTTCCGCTCCACAAACAAACAAACCGCAGAGTTAATCTTTCACCGAGAAGTCACCACATCACCGACCAGTTAGACCTCAGAGATCCTCCTCTTTGAACCCCTGTCCCTCCTCATGGTGGGCCTCATTACAGACCCCGGACTGAGGGGTCTTGTCTGATCATAGAGACCCCAGGCTGTGTGCTTCTCTTCGCTTTGCCTAAACACATCCGCCGTAGCGAGGAGGAAAGGCCAAATTTAGACAACAACATGTCAAGTACTTCCTGTCTGAGGATGGATGAGTGGAGCGGAGGATGTTTGTGTGACGCACAGAAACATCAGCTGCATCTTTAATCCACTTTAAAATAAAAAAAACAGGTGGTCTTCACCGCGTACCTCCTCGGAGTCCTGTGAGCGTTTCAGGACCAGGTTTCTGGGTAAGGATCTCTGGGCTCGGGTCCCGCTCTTGTTGTCCGGCTCCTCTTCAAGAGGCTGGTCCTTCACCATGTAAGTGCACTGTTCCTCAAAGTCCTCCTCTCTCCACGACGCCATGTCGCCGTCTCGAGGCTCTGGCGTCGCCGCTGTGATGACCCCTGAGCTTTGAGGCGACCTTCCTGAGGTGAACATGGCGGTGGAGCTCTGAGAGGAGGAGGAGGAGGAGGAGGAGGAGGAGGCCTGTGGAGGAGACAGAGATGTTGGGAGTGAGGTCTGATCGTTGATTATTTTCCATTTTCCTCCTAAAATCTCGATTTAACCCTTTAATGCCTTTTTATCATATTTGATTCACACTTTTATTCACTTTTATCAAATCAATATGATCAATAAATGACTGAAAAACACCTGAATACAGTCTGATAAACGATCAAAACGTCCTCCTGTAGTTTATCTCATGTATCAAACCAGAGAAATAAATATATTTGTTAAATTTTAAGGACATTTTGATTTTTTTGGTTTTCAGTCGTAAATGAAATAAACATTTCAGCTCCAAAAAACCTGAATTTTTTGTCCATAATTTGTGTTTTCAGTCATTAAAGGGTTACAGACGTAGATTCAGGCTGAGGGAGTAAAGTCTGATTGTTGATTATTTTTATTTTCCTCCTAAAATCTGAAGAACAGAAACAGCTGATCTCTAAAGATGACAGAGGAGACGACAGCGGCGGCGGCGGCAGCAGAGAGTCGGGATGTTTTGGACAAAGACACTCAGAGGAAATTCTTACTTTCCCATCGACTGGTTCTACCGGACAAACAAACTTCAAAGTGGACCTCTCCTGCTCGCCGTCCCGTCCCCCCCCCTCCTGTCCCACACATCCTGTGACTCTCTGAATCACGGCCCCCGGGCTATAAGAGGGGTTCCTGTTCACGTCATCCCTAAAGCAGGACCACTTTCACGAGGAAATCAGCGCTCTGAGTGAATCGAGCAGACTTCCTCTGAAGTGACGGAGACCTGGCCCCAAGCCACTTCAGGACCTCCTCTCTGTCTGTCTTTGAGATTATCCCAGAGTCTCCTCCTCCTCCTCCTCCTCCTCACTCAGGTGGATCCTCTGACAAAGTCTGAAGTCCTGGACTGAAGTGATGAAACAGTGAAATAGAGAAAGACGACCTGTGATTGAAAGACAATGCTCAGACTTCCTCTCATCAGTTCTCCGCTCTGATAGTGACAGATAAGGCGCTAATATATTTCTGTGAACACCTGTGTCACTCTGACACAGTCACCCACAAACTGGTCTGAACTTCTGATGAGTCTGAAGAAAGTCCTCTCCTCATTGACGGAGTTCAAACATGCAGATTAAAGGAGCAGAGGTGAGATTTACAAATGTTATTTCATCCTCTTTTCTCTGAAGTCCGACCACAGCGGCTCTGAAATGACTGTGAGGCAGAGACAGCGTCTCAGTGTGAAACCCTCAACCTGGTGACACAGCAGTAAATATACTCTGGAAATCAAGACATGAGTCAAAGACGCACAGCTGGGGCTCCTCCAGCACCTCCTCCTCCTCCTCCTCCTCCTCACCTCACTGAATTTAGAGAGCGCTCTCTGATTGACTCCTCTCACCTGCAGGACGACCGTGTCACTCAGAAATACAGAGTTTAAAAACCTTCAGAGTCGTTATAAAACGGTGAATTAAACTCACCGTGAAGCCTTGAGAGGAGCCACACATAAGGCAGGTTTGGGTGTCCTCCTTCACAGCTGCTGAAGTGTCTCTGAGCAGCCGCTGCGTCTGCTCGCTCGCTCGCTCGCTCGCCGTCTCTCAGCCTCTGACTCGACCTCAGTATCCTGTGAACCTGTTGACTGAGCGAGCGACTGATCACTCGAGTGTCTGACTCTTCGCTTTGAGAGAGAGAGACAAAAACACTCCCTTTCCTCTCCTGCTCCCTCCTCCCTTTGGCCCTCTGACTCCTCCTCAGTCACCGTCTGTGTGTGTGTGTGTGTGTGTGTGTGTATACGTGTGTGTGTGTGTGTGTTGCCCCCAGGCGTGAGGCTTTCTCCAGGCGAGGTGTGTGTGTGTGTGGGGGGGTGGCTGTCACACAGCTATGTCCGGATCAGACAAATACGTCTTCATTTTCTGACAACTACCTGTGCTGCTGTGGAGATGAGATCATGAGTGTGTGTGTGTGTGTGTGTGTGTGTGTGTGTTAGAGCGACTATTGTTGTTGTTGTTGAGACACATGAAGTTGTAGAATTGAAGAGTTTAAACTCGTGTTTTTGTCACTTAATTAGAAATAAAAGAGTTAAATTATGAGTAAGTTGTTGAAGTTTTTCTGATTCATTTTAACTCTCTCAGTTAATTTATGTTTGTAGAAGTTTTCAGAATCAGAAATACTTCAATAATCCCCAGGGGTATATCGCTTTTTGTCACAGTAACTCCAGTACAAATAAAGTAGAAAGAAGAGATAAATAAAAGATAAAATAAGAAGATTAAGTAAAAATAAAGAGATGAATAGATAAAATAAATAAAAAAGTAAAAAATATGTGAAAATAAAGAGATAGATAGAAAAAACAAGTAAAAAAAAATAAGTAAAAAATAAAGAGATGAATAGATTAAATAAAAAGATAGTTAGATTTAAAAAAAAAATGAAATTAGTACAAAAATAAAAAAAAGGAGAAATGGGTAAAATAAATAAAATAAGTAAAAAAGGTTAAAAAATAAATAGATAAATAGATAAAATAAATTAAAAAAATAAGTAAAAAAATTAAGAGATAAAATAAATAAAATAAGTAAAATAAGTAAAAAATAAGTAAAAATAAATAAAGAAATAACTAGATAAAATAAGCAAAATAAGTAAAAATAAAGAGATAATATACAAGTATTTACACTATATACAACACAAAATAGTAAAGTAGTATGCATGTAAAACAGTGAGCAGAGTCCAGGTAAGGATGACTGACTGACGGTGTCCGAGACTCTGAGGGAGGAGTTAAAAAGTCTGATGACCACCTGCAGGAAAGATCTCCTGTGGCGCTCTGTGGTTCATCGTGGAGCGAGGAGTCTTCCTGCTGAAGGTGCTCCTCCTCTGTAGGACCAGTTCACTGTGGAGAGGGTGGGAGACATGGTCCAGTTTGGAGTGGAGCTTGGACAGCAGGGAGTCCAGCTCCACCCCCACAACATCCCCCTGCTGCTGCTGTAGAAACCTGGTGAAGTGACCCTGAATTTAGATCAGACCTGAACTGGAGTCCCTTTACTGACCAGTCTGTTTTCCCAGACTCCTCCTCGAACCCTGGTTTTCTCTGCTCATCGAAGGCCGACACAAACATGAATCAAACCTCCGAGTTATCGTTCAGAAACGTGAGTTTAAATCTGTAAACAGAGTGAATCACAGTGAAGAGTGAAAGATGATGTGACTCAATTATAACCACAGATGAGAAGTGAGAGGAGCGGACTGAGGTTCGACTTCTGCAGAGATCAACGTCCAGAAACTTTAGTGGATCTGCAGCCTGGAGTTCACCTCGCTCTGCTCTGAAGGAAACATTTGACTTGGCTGACTGCCAGTCGTCTGGATTTTCAGACTCGTCATCCACGGGTTTGACAGGCGGCGTGCTGTGAGTGTGTGTGTGTGAGTGTGTGTGTGTGTGTGTGCAGGTATTTCATAGGTGAAGGTTTAGCCGTGCAGAGCTCTCCTTCACTTCTCTTCTTCTTCTTCTCTTTCTTGGTGGGAGTTCATGTCTCGTTGCCGTGTGTTGTCACGTAGATCCTGTGGCCTCCTCGTCCCTGCGGTGTTTCGTCCTTCTCCTCCTGCTTCCTGTCCAACTCATCACACCTGACCAAACTACTAATTATGGCGGCCGACATGAGCCAGCATGTCATTTCAAACCCACATCTCGCTCTCTCTCTCGGTGCCTTCAGTCATCTCACTCAACACCTCCTTTTCAGCTCTCCTCTTCCTCTCCTCCTCTCCCTCGCTCATGCCTCTCCATCTGAACCTTTTCTTCACCTCATCCACTCATACGTGTCCTCTGACTAATTCTCAAAAGCAGATCTTCTCATCTGAGCTCTGACATTGAACTCTGGAGTTTGGTTTTGCGTGGGCGGTGTGGTTACTCGGTCTACCTGATATTTGACATGACAGTCTTTGAATGACAGGACGGCGAGAGTTGGACGAGAAGAGCGCGCTCACTGACCGTTATTATTATAATCGAGACGTTCGTGAAATTAGAAGAATTTAGGCCTCAGCAGAAAATAACCTGCCAGCCCGATAATGTCGTTTGGGTTTGACTTCACACTTTCCTGCATACATTGACCTTAAAGTTCGTTGTGTTTGTGGTGTTTGTGTGGTCGGCGTAGCTGCTGTTTTTTAGTCTGTTTTAAAATGAGCGTTAATAAAGAAAGGAGAGTCTAAACTCCGTCAGGGTGTCTACGTTTGTTTCATACCTGCTAAAGTTTGTCTAATACAGTAAATCTGAGAAGAAACGAGTTGTTTTTATGAGAGAAGTGACTCAGTAATGAAGTAAGAACAGTCAGAGAACTGAACACGACTCCAGAGCTGCCGAACGTCACGCTTTGAGTGTGACAGTCACGCCATTTGACCCGTCCTCACACGCCATACTTGACATTTCTTACGCTTAATTTTCCCCGTTCATCACTGATCAGTCCTTTGTGCCTAATCCTGCATTCGACTTTCCTCAGAAGTCAGATGTCGGAGCTGAAAATGACGTCACACCCGAGTTTCCGGCGTTTCAGTAACCGAGTTAAAAAAAAGCGAAATCGGAGGCCTGAAACAAGATGGCTACCTCTTGTGTCAGGCCTCCGATTTTTCTTTTTTCTGACTTCCTGGAAATGAGAACAGTCTCACTCTTGTTATTTTCTGAAACTTGGCAGCCCTGATTAGTCATTAACCTCTTGATTACCTCTTATAACTGTCCAGATTTTGTCGTCTTCATTGTTAAAGGTCTGGTTTTACTTTTGTGGGTCATAAAGAGACATCAGTGTGAATCACAGTCTGTTTCATGTCAAAAAGCGAAATCGGAGGCTGAAGCAAGATGGCTACCTCTACGAAAGTTATTTTAGCACTTGCCTTGTCCGAACATAAGGCTAGCGCTAAAATAACTTTCGTAGATGAAGCCATCTTGTTTCAGCCTCTGATTTCGCTTTTTTCCGACTTGGTAACTGAAACGCCGATATTTCAAACCCACTCGACGTGACGCAATATTGACTAAAAATGTATTTTGTCAAAATTCTTGTTACAATTTTCATTTCTAATTTCTGGTTCATTAAGACGAGCATCAGGGAGAGCAGCAGGCGTGGAGGTGAGGACGTCGGTCTGAAGGTATAAATCAACGTAAAAAAGGCACAAAAAAAATTCGCCTTCGACGCTTCAGTCTCACTCTTGTCATTATCTGAAACTCGGCAGCCCTGCGACTCCGTGTCACTCCTGAATCCTGATTGATTATTTCTAACAGAATCTTGAACGTGGACCCGGCTGATGATTTACAGAGGAGGACGTGTTCACCGTCGTAGTTCCTGTTTCTCCTGAACTCTATCACACTGAAGTGAGTTTATTCGATCTTTCTCACATTAATCAGAACTTTAACTCTCAGATGTTTAATTTGTTTATTTCTAACTGAAAGAATATCACTGAACATTCCGGAACATCAAGGACATTCTAAAAAATCAATAACATTCTGTAACATCAAAGACATTCTAAAAAATCAATAACATTCTGTAACATCAAGGACATTCTAAAAAATCAACGACGTTCCGGAAAGTTTGAGAAAATTTTGGACTTTTGGAAACATTCTGGAACAGTCCGGGAAACATCTGTGACATTCTGGTTTGAATGAATCCTGGACCTCAGACTCAGCAGGTCTGAAGAACTCTTCGGTGGACTGTTCAGGGTTCAGGTCATATTTCTAAGACTCTGGACTGAAAACGCCTCCCCTGCTCCCTTGCTCGCCCCTCCAGCTGCTGAGGTTCTATGAGACGGTGGCCTTGGAGGTCCAAAAACGTGTGTGAAGCCTGATAAACATCTTCCAACTGTCCGGTTTTGACCCATAAAAACTTTAATCAATCATATTTTTTTGCACACATTAATACAAACCGTTATCTTTTCTTCATTTTCGGTTTCCTTTAGTTTTCTAATTCTGCAACTTTAAAAACGAGGAGGGGAAAGATGGCGGTTCCCCTTTGAGTCAACGAGAGCGACCTGGAATTTCCCAGGTTCATGTCACAAACGTCGTCTCTTCCCAATTCTTCAGTGAAGTTTCCTGAATCTTTCCTGCTGTGAAGAAACTCCTGATGGCGTCGGTCTGAAGACGCTCATGTTCATGTTTGAGACATGAATCTTGTTGGCGAAGGTTGAGGAGCAGTAAAGCTCCGTACAGTAAACTCTGAGGGTTTCTTTGAGGGATCTGAAGACCTGTAATTTCCATGCTTGGGTCTGTACCTGCCTGGGGTCATTTCTCGCAGCGGCGCTTAAAGATGGCCTCGCCTCTTTTGTCGCCTCCCCCGTGGACGAGGACAATGGTCTGTGGTCGACATGCCTGCGACTGAGCGTGTTTTATAACCCATTAGAGCTGACATGTTGGAGGCGGCCTCTCCTGAAGGTTTTATGGTCGACTGGAGGAGAAATAATTCACATCTTAACTCTTTGGGACTCTCACATATGTCAGCCTCACTTTTCCCGCCGTGCTGCGTCTGTAATCAGCCTGTCAGCCCGTCAATGTCTTCTTACTTTCTGTGATTTCTTTGACCGTCCATCACTGTCTCTCTGCTCATTTCCTGAAGGAGGTCAAGTGTGCTTTTCTGACATCTCTGAAAAATAGATGTTTAATTCGTCTTTCTCCTCCTGTTTTCCATCTCAGGTGTGAATAAATGTCAGCGCTGCTCCGGAGTCACCACCCACCGAGTCGTCCTCTCAGCCCGTGGATGATCTCCTGTTGACATGTGGAGGGTTATTATCCTGGGTTCAGGACTAACAGGAATGCTACCGGGCTTCACAACAGATGTCTTTTCAAATCTCCACGAAACCACCCACCGAGATCTCCGCTCTCAGCTGACCTGCAGCGTAGACGTGTGTGTGACAGATCTCTGATGACAAAGTAAAGATGTGTGTTGGTTTTTGGACTCTAGATTAAGAGTTTTGAGAATCTAAAAGTCCTGACAGTTCGATTATCTAACTGCAGTATTTTTCTTCTACCTGGTCATCAGGCTGCTCAGTATGAGAAATATGACCTGTGTATCTGGACTGTTTGTTATAAAATATTTTAAATGATTCCACATTTTGAAATAGAGAATAATGCATACATTACCAACATGATAAAGATAATTGAGATTACTGCTGGGGCGGTTCACGGCCGAGTGTGAAGCAGCTGGGATGTGAATCAGCACCTCCAAGTCCGAGGCCATGGTCCTCAGTCAGAAAAAGGTAGATCACCTTCTCCAGGTCGGAGGGGCGGTCCTGCCTCAAGTGGAGGAGTCCAAGTATCTCGGGATCTTGTTCAGGAGTGAGGGTAGGATGGAGCGTGGTGAAGAAAGAGCTGAGCCGTAAGGAGAGACTCTGGATTTACCGGTCGATCTACGTGCCGATCCTCACCTATGGTCATGAACTTTGGGTAATGACCGAAAGAACAAGATCGCAGATACAAGCGGCTGAAATGGGTTTCCTCCTCAGGGTGTCCGGGCTCAGCCTTAGAGATAGGGGAAGGAGCTCGGACACTCGGGAGGCGCTCAGAGGAGAACCGCTGCTCCTCCACGTCCAGAGGAGTCAGCTGAGGTGGCTCGGGCGTCTGGTTAGGACGCCTTCTGGACGCCTCCCGTTAGAGGACTTGGACCCGGATGAAGCAGAAGAAAATGACGACGATGACGATTGTTTAGAAACTCTCGTCCCCATCAGAACATTCTGAACATGAGTTTGTGATTCAACAAGAATTACAGACATTAAAGTCTGAATTAGTGAGAGAAAAATACACAAACTTTCATGCATCTGAACATGTTCTCCAGATTTCTGTCTAACATCATCCAACCTGCAGCTCCCTGAGGTTTTTACAGGATCAAAAATCTGATCGTTCACTCTGACCCCTCAGATTCTCCTCCAGGTGTCCGCTGAGACCCGGATGGTGGTTTTGAGTCACTGACTGCTCCACCAAAATCAAGTCTTACAGTAAAAGGTTATCTTTATATCCTGTCTGACTTCATTTGAGGCTGTTGAGTAAATCTGAGAGCAGGATGTAAAACTTCATTTCAAGAAACCAGAACTGCTCTGACTCTCATTTGGACTCTGTCTAAATCACTCAGTCTTTGTTTTTTAACCCTAGAAGACGATCTCTGGGTGATTTTGACCCTCTTAAACCTGTTTTTAGGTGATCTTCATGATGTTGTGTTTGTCTGAGTATCTTCAGTGTTTCCTTTGACATCTTTGAAGACATATTTGTTTCTCTGATCCAAACCTGTTTTTTCCTACAGACTCGTGTTCACAGGCTGATGTTAGTGATGGAGGGTAAAGTAGGTTTGACAGCTGCATGTAGAGAATAAGGTCAGTCAGAGTGGTCCTGGAGTTTACATGTTATCTTTATTTAGCACAGTGGTTATGAATAACTATCACAAAGTCGTGATTTTAAGTGAATTCAGATGGAGATCAGAAATATTGGAGTCAGCTTTAATCATTTTTACTCCAAATCTGACAGATTCTGGAAAACTACTTTAATTTCTCATGTTTTGTCCTGTTTTGATCTGTTTTGATGACAAGGCCTTTTTCTTGGGTTTATTATTTCAGGTAAAAATCACCTGATAGTGATGGTGATGGTGTTACTGATTTTAGTGATATCATGAAGCAGACCTAAAAACCCCACACTGGTCTTGTCAGCTGGTCTGAGTCCTGGTCTGAGACCTCAGCCCTCGGTGGTTGAGCCTCGGTTTCATCATCTGGTCAAAGAAAACATCCTTTCTGAGTATTTGGTCTCCGCTGAAGTGCTTCCTTTTTCCCACGCTCGCTTTATCAGCGCCTCTCAAAGATCTCAGATACTGATATCAAACTAAACTTCAACCTTAAACTGACCCCACAGGGACCAGGACTGCAGAAAAACCTGGATCTGGACTGTCAGGACTGATCATCAGTTAAAGCAGCAGCAGCTCAGCTGGTCTGTAAACTCAGACTCACACAAACACGTCTGTGTTGTGGATTAAAAATAGACATAAACAGATGAATCGGCCTCTTAATGTGGATGGTAGTGAAGAGGAGGAAGTCTCAGACCCTCAGGACCCCCACACCTGACTGTATTAACCCCCACCACACACACACACACACACACACACACACACACACACATTGTTTTGTCTTCCTCTTGATTACTAATGCAGACTGTAAACGAGGGGAAGGATGAAGGATGCACACTCAGACATGAACAACAGCAGAGAGACACAAACAGTCCTCCTTTATACTGAACCAACTAACATTTATGAACGTGTGTGTGTGTGTGTGTGTGTGTGTGTGTGTGTGTGTAGAGCAGCTGAGCGGTGGTTCGTCTCTCTGCTCTTCTCAGATTCCTGCCATATTTCTGGACGGCTGCTGAACAAACAGAAGAGAACCTGATCCATGCGGTCTGGCTCAGGCTCAGGGTCAGTTCCCTCTAACTTTCTCTCATTCACACACACACACACACACACACACACACACACACACACACACACACACACACACACACACACACACACACGTGTAGGCCTCCATACTAACACACACGAGTTCCTCTCTGACATCCTAAACAGAGACTTTATGACTGACAGTCTGACCTCTGCACCAGTCTACACTTTCATTCATATGTATATATATATATATATATATATATATATATATATAAATATATGTTTATATACATATATGTATATAAACATATATATATATATATATATATATATATATATATATATATATATAAATATATGTTTATATACATATATGTATATAAACATATATATATATATATATATATATATATATATATATATATATATATATATATATATGTTTATATACAGTATATATATATTGTGTATATTATGTACATTAGTCTATGTGACAGCAGTCCTTCCTTTCAGTTTCTTAATTCAAACCGTGGAAGAATCAGGGTAAACCTGTTTGATCAGACGGAGTTATCGTCGCATCCATCCTGGTCAGAAAGGAAGAATTTCATTGGCTGAAAGGAGAGTCTGATTATTTGACAGAGATCCTCTGACATGTAGGTTATAATTCAGTTTATTTACAGACCTAAATATGGATTAAACTTTAAAAAGTGTTTTTTGTCTCTAACAGAGAGTCACCCTCGTTTATCCTTCCTCCTGTGTTCGCTTTTACTTCACCCTCCATGTTAAGGGTTGGTTTCCACCAGTGTCTTAAATCAGCTGTAAATTACACTAAAACAGTTCTCTATCATCCAGTTTGGTTCTCATCTCTAGGTTACCTTGTTCGGCTTCCTTATCCATAAAAATATTGATCATAATAGTTTTTGTTGTGGTCCTCTGGGCCTTTCTTTGTCAGTGTACCCCTCACACAGACATCTATACTGAACTGATCTCATACGTCTGGACATTCCTGACGCTGTAAAAACATGAAAAACATGAAAAATAAGAATTTCCGAAATCTCACATGATTAGAAGAGGATCTGACTGTCAGTGTGGTTCCTGAAAGTGCACATATGATTTTACTTTTTGCTCTAATTATTGATTTTAAATCAAACCGGGTCAACAGCGACCCTAACACGAGCATTTTATATTTTAGTCAATTTAATTTTTATATTTTTATTTTGTCGACATAGAGTTTCCTGACAAAGTCAAAAAGTCTTGGTGCAAAAAATTAAAGTGGTTCTTTTAAGCATTTAAAACAAAAACAGGTCAGACTCTAACACAGGAGGAGGGTTATATGAAACTGTGTAGGACTAAGATTAAGCAGATCTAAGATGAATAAAACTCTATTTCAGTCGATTTAAAGTGACTCAGTTCATCTTTATAAAGTGAAGTTTGTAGGTCTGACTGCACGTCACTGACTGTTGCTTTAATTCACAGATCGGACGTCTTCTCAAACACACACCTGAACCTGCTGAGCTGCACAGATCACGGAGAGCTCTGATTTACCTGGAGAGTGTGTGTGTGACTGCTCAGGAATGGCGTCCATTTACCGCCACTCTGTGACAACATCGATGACATCACCAGGTGCCACTGAGTCTGTCTGCACACCTCCGTCTGTGTCTGACACTCTTAACCCACTCACACACACACACACACACACACACACACACACACACACACACACACACACACTCTCTCTCTCTCTGCTGCAGGACCAGTCAGACAGCACCGTCCTCCTCCACCTGTCTCCAGTCTTACCTGTCCCAGTCATTAGCGGGGTCCTGGATCCCCACTGTAAGTGCACATGTCAACAGACAAATTACAGGGCCTGCACACACACACACACACACACACACACACACACACAGTTGTTTGCCTTTTAAAAAGGGTCATATCCGTCTGCACGCAACAAGCAGTACGTTTCATTTTCTCCCTCCTCCCTTTCTTCAGAGTTTTCCTGACAAACAAAGAGGTGGAGGTTCAAAGGCCGAGCGGAGAGGAGCAGACCAGGAGACACACACACACACACACACTGTTCCTCACAGATCTGACCTGATCAGGTCTGGAGAGTCCTCAGATGTTTGTGGTGAGAGTGTCTCTGACTCTGGAGAGTCTTAAGACCGTGGTGTGGAGGGACGAGCCGCACTGACAAGTCCGACCAGGAAGGAAACCGAGTGTTTTGACAGCGAGATAAAGATCCTTGTTCAGACGGTGACATCAGTGCGGCCCGCTCTCCTCGAACCTCCAACCCTGTTTGGTTTATTATAGGAGGATATAAATACACTCTGATGTTTGTCTCTTTTATCTCCAGCTCTGTCACCAGGTCGGCTCTGGGTAACCTGAGCGCTCTTTTCCTCTTTTCAACATGATCACCATAAACAATGACGAGCTTCCCTCCTCGTCAGGCTCTTACTTTAAGTTTGTCATGTTGACAGAAGAGCGAAGTGTAAGTCTGTAAGAGAGCGAGAGAGTCTGAGAGGACACAAAAACACAGGTTTAGATTCATCTGGAGGTCTGACATGAACCGCAGGACGACATCCTGCTGTCTGAGGAGGACACCTGAGGGGCTGGACAGGTTACACACACACACACACACACACACACACACACACACACACACACACACACACTATCATCCTGGCTCTGCTAATGACAGGAAGTGGTCCCCTGTGATCTTGGCGTCCCCCTCTTTGCCTGAGTGTTTTCTTTTGTTTTGTTCCATCAGGATCTTTTCTGACGACTGTTATTAGGCGCACTGACGCTGACTCGGCGGCGGCGGCGTTACAGTTTAAGCTGAATGATCATTAAAGGACATGTGGACCTGTGGTTCTGCCCGTGGTTTCATGTCAGACTGAATTTGTTGTTCTGTCCTGCTGGTTCTGAAGATGCTCACGTGTGATGAGACAAACAAAGACGACTGTTAAAGTCCTGGTTGACGATCTGAGAAGTAGTTAATAAAACTGAACCGTTGAGGCAGATTTGAAAAAAGCGTCCAACCCCACACACACAAACCCCTCCCCTCTGTATCGCCCTCCCCCTGACACGCCCCCTCTGGCAGAAGATCCTACGCTAGCTTCAAATAGGATTCACCATGTAAGATTGTTAGTAACTAGCGGCAGTAAACGCCAGCTCTGCTAGCCAGCGCCGTCTGCAGCTGCCTGGACGCGAATTTTTTTTTTCGTAGCATGGTAGGGGAAGGTCCCGCCCTCCTTCGCCTCTGATTGGCTAGAAGTGCTGGGCTTTGATTGGTTATTGCTAATGGCTGTGAAACGTCATCGTCTGTCGGGTTAGGAGATTCAGAAGTGCGATAATGTTCTGTTCGATGTTCAGAGCCGACAGCTCGTGTTTGGATTGAGCGTGTGACGACGTTTCCATCTCTACTAGCCAATCAGAGGCGAAGGAGGCGGGACTTTCCCCTACCGTCCTACAAAAGAAATATCTCATCCAGGACCGATGGCTCCCATTGGTCAATGTTTCTGCAGCCCTGAACGGATTTTTTCCGATCTTTTTTCTCTTCACTTTGTGGAGATCGCACTATAGGACCATGATCGCCATAGAAACCAGGTCCATAATAATCACCGATCTCTACAGTTGTCAACCATGACTTTAAGGATCAGGTTTTGAGTTGCCTGATGGTCTCAGAGTGGATGTGACTGAAGTCTGATGGACGTCAGAGTCTCCTGAAATATGATGAGGTTGATGAAGACGTCTGTGCCTTTAAGAGAAACAGCTGATTCCTCCTGGACTGTCATAAAACAGTCATTCACACGTTCATCCTCATCAGTTCATCAGAATCTACATCTACAGACTGAAAGACCTCGTCTCAGAGCAGGTCTGGGTCATTTTTCACCGACCTTCTGACCCCACATGTGCAGTAAACCCAGCAGGTGGTCCTCCTCCTCGTCTGTGGGCCGCAGGGACAGGTGCTTCCGACTGTGGAGGACTGATCACTGTTGACTCTGAACAAAGGAGGACAGCAGGTCGAAATCCTGCACGCTCACTTCCTCTCACAGACGCATAAATCTCTGCGTCTCTATGAGCGTCAAAAGTCCGTATTTCAGAGCAAAGACAAACCTCCTCGTTCAAACAGACGGCGTGTTTTTGTTTTAGAGGAGGAGGAGGAGGCGTCAGAGGAGGATGGATCTGTGAGCGTATCTGAGACGGACTAAAGGCAAACAGGATGTGATCCCTGTTGAAATGAGGGGTATTCCTGACTCCAGCTGAAGGAAGGAAAGAAGAATAGAGTGAAAAGGGGGAAGGGAGAGCGTCCACAAAAACATCCACCTCAAACGTTTCCTCCACCTGAGGTCAGAAAGAGGATCAACTTAAAAACACAGACTTTTACAGATGCAGATTTTATTTTTTACTCCACTTTCCCTCAGCCTGACAAACGCTCTCGTCTTCCTGTAAAATGTGGCCTGATGGCGTGGCGGTGGGGCGGTGTGGCGGCTCAGACTCGCCTCATGTTGAATGTGAAAGTAACACGACTTTGGAATCTCCTGGTGAAGATCTGAGAGTGTGATCAGCTGTGGTATCTGAATTATGCTTCAGTTTCCTCTCTGAGTGAGTAACTGTCAGGTAATTACACCTGTCTGCTGTCGCTCACCTGCATAACTTTACTGTGACATCACAGCAGCAGCACATATTTGGACGTATTTCAACATTCAGACAGATGAACTCCTGATTCTCCCCTTTAATAGACTAATCATTAACCGCACTGACTCCGCCCATTTCCTGTTGAGCCTTATCTGCTGCCATCAGTCACTCTGTGTCAGAAGGTGCCGGTGATAATGACGGTCACATCAGGACTGATTGATTAAGTGAGGAGAGGAAGGAAGGAGGGAGGATGATGAGCAGAAAGAAAGAAGAGTGAAGGTTTGACCCTCCACCTCTTTCTGTCACACAGATAAGAACGGTGATTGAGACCCTCAGTGGACTCAGGTAACCTTTAACTGAAGAGTCTTCACGGTGAACTCGGCTAATACTGTAGTTCAGCTTCTTTTTCACAACACTCTAGTCATGAAACTCAGTATTTTTTAAAAATGTGCAAAAACAACAAATCTTCTGTTAAACTGGAACATTTTATTGTTTTACAGACATTATCTGGTCATTTAAAACTTGATCATCATCAAATTAGTTGACGAACATTTTCATACTAATTAGGTTCATTTGTAATCTGACAGGTAAACAAATGTCATTTAAGAGAAAATAAACTGAGGTAGGGATTAAAAATACAGAGATGTAATCAGTCTTTTTTAAAAATTGAGGATGTAGATCGGTGTCAGATTCATTTCCATTTTTAGCCGTTATGAATTTGTAGTGAAGTTTCTGCAGCTTGATTTCTCAGAGTCAGTGGTCAAATATAAATGTGATTTTAGGGTGAGTGGAACATCATGTGAAATATTTATTTGTTGATCTTTTGATTTGTTAATTTGTTCAGGAGTAAGTGTATAACCGGTAAAATGGTGACAATAATATTTTCCAGTGGTTTCCCATGAATATCATACAGTCCAAAACCAGCCAACTTAAAGGGATATTCCACCGTAAAATGAATTTAGGCCACTCTATAGCCACAAATAATGCTCAGAACAGCACCTAACTTCATCAACAGGACATATAGGGTCACAGACATAGTACTAGACACCGAACATCTTTTTAACTTTGACTCATTTCTTTAGCAAAGAGACTAAACACAACTCACCTACTCTCTTCCAGCAGCTGCTTGTTTGTAGAGAGACCTCAGGCCAGTCCATTATGGACTACAGCGGGGTGACGCAGCTCAAGGAAGAACATTTATGATCATTTCTTTATCATTTTCTTGAAGTAATAATCACCATATTAATCATTTGCACTGCAGAACGGTAGTTCTTCTGCCTTAGCGTCTTGGTCTGATAGAAGAAATGATCATAAATGTTCTTACTTGAGCTGCGTCACCCCGCTGTAGTCCGTAATGTTTCGGGCTTCACACTCGTGTGTTTTAATGACTTTTCTAATCCGAGTCGTAATTATCTGACAAACACAGTTCTCTTTTCTGTCACTAGAGGGCGATCTGATATTTCGTGGTTCTTGTCCCGGCCTCTCGGACCCTCTTTAAGTCCGTCCTTGTCTGTGTGTGAGCAGGGTCCTGTTTCTGCTAAAGCCTGAAGTTGATGTTTTTCAGGCTCCACGGAGTCTCTTTAAAGCCGCTCTTTCGCTCCCTGACTCATCTTCTTCTGACCCGGAGATCCAGAAAACTGACCCCCAGAATGGCCTTCCAGTACCCGCAGGCTTACCGCGACGGAGCGGTGGTGAGTGGACGGAGTTAGCTCTGTTAGCCTCGCCCTGTTAACCTAGCTTTATTAGCCTAGCTGTGTTAGCCTAGCTCCATTAGCCTAGCCCTGTTGGCCTGGCTCTGTTAGCCTAGCTTTGTTAGCCTAGCTCTATTAGCCTAGCTCTGTTAGCCTAGCTTAATCCTGATCTTCATTCATTGGCAGCAGCTTCTGCTTTGTTAGCATGCTAGGTAGCTTAGCCGGGTTTGACAACACAGACAGATTCGGAACTTTGGACCGGGTTTATCTGAAGACAAGGTTTATATCAGCTGTGAACAGAGCTGAAGGGGGTCCAGTTTAACACCAGCAGGTTCTGGTTCTGGTTCAGGTTCTGAGTCGTTGCTGACTCAGTGTTTTCTTCCTTCCTGTCTCACCTGTCTCAGGTGGACGACTACCATGGATGTAAAGTCCCGGATCCTTACAGCTGGCTGGAGGACCCTGACAGTGAGAAGACTCAGGTAAACATGGGTCCATGTCAGACCTGGTCCCTCAGATGTTGGACCTGAAAGGTTCTGGTGGTTCTCCTGCTTTGACTAATCAAACTGACACATGTGGACAAAATTGTTGGTACCCTTCAATTAATGTAAGAAAAACTCCCAATGGTCACAGAAATCATTTAAATCTGACAAAAGTAAAAATAAATAAAAATTCTAAAAAAAAATGAACAAATGAAAATCTGACATTGATTTTGAACCGTGCTTCAACAGAATTATAAAAAAAAAAAAATAAACTCATTAAACAGGTCTGGACAAAAATGATGGTACCCCCAGAAAAGATTGAAAATAATGAAGCGAAGGAAGGAATGCGTTGTCTCAAGAGGTTAGAAATAAAATTATAGACAAACATGTTAAAGGTAAAGACTGTAAGACCATCTCCAAGCAGCTCGATGTTCCTGTGACTTCAGTTACACTTATTATTCAGAGCTTTAAGATTCAAGGTGAACTTCAAGCTCAAGGAACATCAGAGTCAGATCACGCCATCCGTCGTAGTTTGAGTTAAAGTGGACTTAATGGGAGATGACCAGGGAGGAAACTATTGTTGAAAAGAAATCATAAAAAAGACAGACCTGACTTCACCAGACTACATGTTGACGAGCTACAGAGTTTCTGGGAGAATGTCCGATGGACAGATTAAGGGTACCAACAATTTTGTCCACGTGTCTAAGTCCACTCTCACTGTGTCCTCTTCCCCCAGGCCTTCGTCAGCGCTCAGAACCAGCTGACCCTGCCGTTTTTAGAGCAGTGTAAGGTTCGAGACCTGTTCAAGGAGCGCATGACGGAGCTCTACGACTACCCCAAGTACAGCTGTCCCTTCAAGAGAGGGACCAGGTGAGGACAGACGGAGTCCTGTGTCTCTCTAGGTCGACATGTGTGTTTGAGGTTCTTGTGGAGACGCTTTACCCGCTCCTCCTTTTCCTCCAGGTACTTTCACTTCTATAACACGGGCCTCCAGAACCAGAGCGTGATGTACGTGCAGGAGAATCTGGACGCTGAACCCACGGTCTTTCTGGATCCAAACACATTTTCAGACGATGGGACGGTGGCTCTGCGAGGTGAATGATTTTTGTAAAAGCAAAACCGTTTATTTGGTTTTCTTAACTCTCAGTTCCTGTTCATTTGAAGCTCCATCCAGCCTCCTTCGTCCCCAAAACAGACATGCAGAAAAGTGTTCATAAAATAATCGTTTTTAAAAACATTTTTACTTTGATGTGCCGTTCCTCCTCTGATTTTTAAGGTTATGCGTTCTCTGAGGACGGGGAGTACCTGGCGTACGGTACCAGTGCCAGTGGGTCCGACTGGGTGGAGATCCGCTTCCTGCGAGTGGAAGACGCCACGCCTCTTGAGGACCGCTTGGAGCGAGTCAAGTTCAGCTGCATGTCCTGGACTCATGATGGGAAAGGACTTTTCTATAACTCGTACCCTGACCAGGAGGGAAAGAGCGACGGTGAGGACCGGGTTATGTTGGTCTGTCTTTAGACCTGCTCACTGACGGAGGCGGAGCAGATCTGTTTGTACCGCCACTAGAGGGCAACAATCACGACTCACTTCCTTTTTCAGGCACTGAGACGTCCACGAACCTTCACCAGAAGCTTTACTTCCACGTGTTGGGGACCCCCCAGTCTGAGGACGTGCTCTGCGCCGAGTTCCCCGATCACCCAAAGTGGATGAGCGGAGCAGAGGTAAGATCCACCGATGTTCCTCTTTGATATAAACCTCTAAATTTACCTTCAGACAGGTAAGAGGAAGTGATGTCATTCATGCCGCAGGTATCAGATGACGGGCGCTACGTTCTGCTGTCGATCAGGGAAGGTTGTGATCCGGTCAACAGACTGTGGTACTGTGACCTGCAGACCACTCCTCAGGGGATCACAGGTCCGTCTTATTTGATTATCTCTTCTTTCGTCATTTTTACGTTAGTTAATAAGTTTTTATATTAAAGTGATGTCTGTGTGAAAGTATCGTTGAGTCTCTGTCCGTAAAGAAGTGAATCTCTTCTGTCTTTCATTGTTTGTTTCTAACCTGATCTCTAA